CAATTTTTTTTATAGTCAAAATTTTTATTATTATTAAATTAAAAAATTGAAATACTTTCAATACTTTAATACCATCGACAGTAAAAATTAACTCCTTCAGAAAATTACAAAAATAATTATTCAAAAAAAATTATTATTATTGTAGAAATTATTTTTAATTTTAATATTTATTATTTATTTAAAATTTTTAATATTTGCGAATTCGTCAAGTCTATTTTTTAAAATAATAATAATAATAAATTACCAGTAATAACTTATTTAAATCAATTATTTTTTGTTATTTTTTAATAGTTAATTTTTATTGCCGATCATATTCAACAAGCACCAGTCTCGTTCCATCATCAATTTCATGCCGTCAATTTTCAATTTTGCACTCTCGAGCTTATTTTGCATAATGTGACTTAATTTCCTTGTTTTTATTCCTCTTTATTTCTTTCCTTCTTGTTGGAAAATTGTTGATTTTCGAGTAAAGTGACTCTAATTGGTAATTTAATTAACACATTCAAAATAGAATTGTGTTTTTACTCAAAATCTATATTAATAAAACCAGACTTCTGTCTGTACATTGCTCCAATCTTGAAAATTCTTATATATTTTTTCTTCTTGAGACATGAGAATTCGAAAAATGTAAAAAAAAAAATGTCTGTCTGTCTGTCTATCTGTCTGTCTGTCTGTCTGTCCTTCTGTCTGTCTGTCTGTCTGTATGCAAAACTTTGTTCGCGCATCACTTGAAAACGGTTCAACCGATTGAAGTGAAACTTGGCAGTCTATTAGGTATTAACGTAACTTAAAATCATAGCCTTATCCGATTAAAAAATATTAACTTAAACGAAAGTTACGACATTTTTTCAAAAAATTCGAAAAATCAAAAAAATGAAAAATTTTTATTTTTTATAAAATGGATGAAAAACTATCCTTAACTAACTTTTTAGATAAATACAACCCATTTCTATACTAAAATTTCAAAAAAAGACGTATTTTGAAATTTTTTTCGATTTTTCTGATCAAATTTTTTCTACAAAAATGATGATTTTTGATTTTTAAACAAGCTTTTTATGGAAAGTTATTAAACTTTTTTTATTTAAAGACCAGTATTTAAAGCAAGAAATTTGCCTCATTTGACCAAAAAAATTGTTTCAATATTCAGTTTTTAAAATCAAGAAAGTTATACAGAAGTTAACAAAAAAATGTTCATATAAATTAAATGTATCACTGCTACTCAAAGGGTTAAATATTAATTAATTCTTGCATTAAGTTGGTATTGATATTTTCTAATTAATTAATTAATTTGTTTTCTTGGTAATTTTAATTTCAATTTTATTATAAAAATAGAAAAAAATAGGAATTTTAAATATAAAATTTAAAAGTTTAAATATTTTTACCCATAAAAATTGAAAATATTAATATCTAATTTTTTTGATTTTACCTACTTATTACTTCTAAATAAGATGTTTTTTGTTTTTACAAATTATGATCCAAGATAATTTAGTAATACTGAAATAAAAATGTTTCATATTTTTTATCGAATTTAATTAACAAGAATTTTTTTTTAGTTTTACAAAGCTCCTAGAGAATAATCCCGAGTAGAAATTTTGACAGGGGCCTGGCCGGGTCCAGACAGGGGTGAAACAGGGAACCCGCCCAGCGCCATGACGAAAAGCCCGATTGGACTAGCTACCAGGCCGGGGCCCGGTCGGGTTCCCGGTTTCATGCGGGGTCAGGGCCCTGTTAGGGCAATTTCTGCACGGGATTTAAAAACTTGCCAAAAACAACCAATAGTGGTCACCTCCACGTGGTGCTTCTCGGAAAAAAGATAATAAATGGTTTTTTATAAGCTCCAAATGCGAAATTCTAAGACTGCAAAACGGGCCCGTCAGCACTGAAAAAATTACATTCTAATTTTAAGAAAAACTTCTTAAATATGCGCCAAGAATATTCCCCACTTAAATTAAGTAGGAAATATTCTTACAATACTAATTTTCTTCTTATTGTAAGAATATTTCCCACATAATCTAAGTGGGGAATATAAGAATATTAAGATTTTAATATTAAGATTTTCTTAAAATTAAAATGTAATTTTTTCAGTGAATGTCTGCAGAAAACTGGCAAAAACTACTGGACCTATACTGGCATTCAAAACGTCTCATTGCTGGTAACGGGACTTAGCACGGACCAATAGTGGCACATTATTATCAGACTATTAGGCTAAACTTTTCTATTTATGATGGAAAGTTGTAATTGAAAGTATTGGATAAAACTGAATTCTCGGATTTTTGGAAAATCCGTGACAAAAAAATAAAAATCACAACTTTCCTCGCCTCGAATCCTCTTGCAATTTTTTTAAATGGATTCTGATTATTAAGAGAAAAAAATGCTTGCGAGGCGAGGAAACAATAATTTAGTTGAATTTCCAGGAATTTCGGGAAATCCGTGATCCTTTTGTAATTTTTTCAAAAGGGTGTTAATATTAAAATAAGCAATTAGCTAAAGTAAAAATTTTCGTCGAATGAACGTTGGTATTTTCAGTTTCAGAATATTGGGACGTTGATCGGCTCAGTAATGGCACATTAATAGTAAAAATTTTGTATCTGCAATGATGGCAAAATATAATTGCCAATATTGGGACGTAGTTAATTAATAAAAAATGGAATAATTTATATTAGTTTTTGTATTTTGCCAATACTGGGAAAGTAATGGCAGTGAATATTGGGCCGTTAACGTCTGCCGACGTCAAACCGAAATTAACACCACGAGAGTAGTCCCAATAATATCGACCAAGACTAGGTGACAACTTTGCCAGTACTGGGCCGTTATTAAGCCATGATGGTTTTTACATTTGGGAGATTTTAAAAATTGTAAACATTATCATTTTTCTTTCCTTAAAATTTCGTTTTCTTCTTCATTAATTAATATTAATAATCATCAAGAAAATTATTTTCAATGTAGTTGGTTAAATACCAATCAATACTCAATATGGAAAACTATAAAAATACTAAGAAACACGTCGAAGACGGGTATCGCAGCTATTAATATATAACTAGGAATAACAATAACTAATAACCCGTCGAAGACGGGTATCGCAGCTAGTCATGAATATTATACGTGACTGCCATTAAAATAAATATTTATTTTGCAACAAATAATATTTTTATTTTTTCTTTTATATTGTTCCAATTCTAATTTATTAGAAACTTTTTAGTTGAAGAAATTTATGTTTCATTCTTAAATAAATAAATATGTTTATTTGTTGAATTAACTAATTTTAAATAGTGTGACTGACTTTTTGCTTTTGAATTAATAAAAATTACTATTTATTAGTAAAAATTATTATTTATTAGTAAAAATTATTATTAATTAGTAAAAATTATTATTTATTAGCAAAATTCACTAATTCAAAAGGAATAATAAATAAGTTACTAATAAATTTAAATTAACAAATATTTTTACTAATTAAAATTTAGAGATTAATTTTATTGTCAGTAGAAAAAGTCAATTTTTAGTCAGACCAAATATAATATATTTTGTTCATTTTTGTTTTTGACGAATATACCAATTTTTAAGTCAGACAATTTTCAATTTGTTTCTCAAAAAAATAAATCAGTAGTAAAAACAGTTTTTAGTCAGACATATAGTAAGCAATTAAAATCAGTAGTAATAGTCTTCTCTAATCAGACATATTTTAAAAAATTTTTGCAAAATGTGATATGAATAAAAATTGTCTAGTAGAATCTGATTACAAAATATTATTAATTAGTATTGAAACAATAAATTATAGACGCAGACAGTATTTTTGTTTTAATTTTTATTCTAATTTTCGCGTTAGTAGTGAAAGTCATTTTCCCTCGGACATTTACATTCAAATATCGATAATGTTAGTATCAGTAGTAGAAGACAGTTTCAGTCAGACAAGAGTTTTGTGTACTATTTTTACTAAGTGCAAAGGTGGGTTGCCTACCGTAAGGCTCGTTTTACAAAGATCTTCTGTTTACTTCATAATTGAATTTTTTTTATTTGGGTAGAATTTTTAATAGTTTCATTAAATATTAACAATATAATTAGTTAATTACGTTCTTAATTAATTTATTATTCATTAAGATTTGATTAATAATAAATGAATAGCAAAAAAATTAATTCTGTTCGAAATTAATTCCCATTCTTTGATTTTTTAAATATTTTATTTTTATCCTATAAAATTTAAATTTTTTTGCGTTATTAACAATTAACAATTACAGATTAGCTTTTTTCTTCGAATTTTAAAATATTTTATTCAAATTTAATCAAAAATGAATTTTCAAAATTATTTATTGTATTATTATAATTAATTAATAAACGGAGGTTAATTTTTTTCTAATTTTAAAATATTTTACTTTTACGTAAGTTTTAACATTTTAACATAAGTTTTCGAATTTTGAAATATTTTATTTTTATCACCAACAAAATTTTCAGTTTGTTGTGATATTAAATAATTAACAAATAATGATTCGTTTTTCTCTTCGAATATTAAAATATTTTATTTTAACTGTAAAACCAAATTAAAAATTTTTTACTTTGTTATTTCATACAATTTAATTAAAAGGCGGAAAATAATTTTTTCCTTCGAATTTTGAAATTTATTTTTACTGTGAATTTGAATGTAAAACAAATTTTCCAATTTGTGTAAAATTAATAATTTTAATTACTTAATTCATCTACTTTTACAGTTTAATTTCTTTTCTTTGAATTTTTAAAGATTTTATTCTCATTGAAAAGAAATTTCCAAATTTGATTTTTTATTGTATATGTATTTTGTATTTGAAAATAAATTTTTAGCAATATCTATTTTTTTACACATAAAATACCTTAAATTCCCTAATTTAAATATTTATTTATTTCAATATTTATTGACATACCTTTAAATTTAAATCAGTAGAATTTTTTTTCTCTGAAACTCAAAAAACCAGTTTAGATAGTAAATTAAATATGGATTAATTTTATAGCTATAATAAACAGAAGTAAACGAATTAATTAGAAATTTAATTTATTTAAAAATTCAACGTGAATAAATAAAAAATATATTTACATTTCTTAAAAAATAAATATAGGCAAGAGCCTCAGCTTTTTATATAAAGAAGTACAATTCACTATATTATGATTCTTCTCTATAATTTCGCAACAGTGAATACTTAATCTTTTGATTAAAATTTTATTAACACGTTTATTATCGATTTTATTGCTGCTATCGACACTGTAAGTTATTTACTTCGATTAATTTTTTTTTTCAATATACTTTTACTTACAATCTTGTCACTAAATTTTTAACTCTGTCACGCAATCATTTATATATCACTAATTCGCTAATATTTCTAATCAGAAAATGTCGTAAATTCCCAAAACCTATATGTAAAATACGAAATCTTAATTGTCATTTATAGACAAGAATTGAATTTCTAATTAATTTAACAAAAAAGAAAAAAAATGATAAAACACTTTGTTATAAAATGTTAATTTTTCTCTCGATGTTTTTCGATTAATTCGAAGATAATTTCAAGAAAGAATCGAGAAAATGGAAAGGAAAACTTCAAATTTGAAAACTTAGTGTAAAGAGTAGAAAAAAATTCATTACAAAATTCTCTATTAATAAAATTAAATACTTTTTTTAATTACAAATAATTTAAATAATTACTAACAGAATTTATCATTTTCACATTTATACAAATTACTAAACTTAATAGAAAAATTGAAAATTTGGGGAAAAATCTTCGACACTTGATTTTCAACAATCAGGTGACAAGTCAATGAAGATAAATCTAAATTTATTTGAGCAATTGAAATGGCGAAACGATCATAAATTTTTTTTTTTTTTTGAGCGTTTTTTCCAATTTCATGAGAAAATATTTGTGAAATATGTATATATAGTACATTTTATTGTCTAAACTTGTGACTTTCAATAATTGACAAAGTCATTGTTTTTAATTAATAATTTAATGGAGGGAAAAAAAATTTATCTAACTTTCACACAATCATTCTCAATTTACTAAACACTTCTTGCTTCTTCCGTTTCTGTTTCTTGCATGGTACTGTTATCGTGATTTTTATAGGCCGAGAAAAACGCCAATGCTTTCATGAGCTGGTAACTTTTGCTTATTGGAATGTTGCTGTCGTAGAGAGTTTTCGATGATTTGCAATCAACATAAAACCACCAGTTGCATTTTAATATTGTTTGATCGAAGAGAGTTGACTCGGGGCACAAAAAACTTTTCATTATAAGACCATCGTCGGTTAATGCGCAGACATGGAAGACCTGTAACAAAAAAAAGGAGGATATTAATTTTGCATACTTTTATTATTTTTCAGGTCCCTGAAGTTAGCGTCGATAAATATTTTTTGTTTTTTTTATTATTAAAAATGTTAATAATTTACCTCCTTCAGTGAGAATTTATTCTAAAAAACAAAAAAACCAAAAATTTGATTTGAAAGACCAGGGTTGCTTTTTGAAATTAAACGATTTCTAAAAAATTGTTATAAAACATAAAGAAATCGATCACTCCGAGTCTTCAACTCGGAGCAATCGAAATAATTAAAAATAACCGACTGATAAAATCATTATTTTATATTATAAGAATATTGTTACTGTAATTTATTCAAAATTACTTTTCATACTTCAAATTCAATAATTTATTGTTTTCCACAATTTTATACTAAAATTCTTCTTTAAATTAATTATTTTTAATAATTTTTGAAAAATTTCCAAATCCTTTTGTTTACAATTCAATTTTACGAAATTTCATCGATTATGCAAAAATTCTTCAATCAAATATGTATATATTAGAAAATAAGAACTTCAAATAACTTTTAAAAAATTCAATTAAACTGTTTTAAAAAAATTAAATCTACACAATTTTTAGTTAAAAGTATGAAAAATTCAAACATTCAAAGATTATAATTTAAAACCTTTTTAAAATTCAATTATTTCTAAAAATTCATGCTATAATACTTTCTCTCTAAATTTGAATTATTAGTAAAAATATTTACTAATTTGAATCAGTGACTGACTTCTTGCTTTTGAATTAGTAAATTTTACTATTAAATTAGTAGAAACAACTTTAGAGAGTTTAATATTTAATTATCTAAAATTTTAACTGAAATTCATATTTAAATCAATTTTTATTAGAAAATTCTACGAGAATTCAATTATTTAAATTCAAAAATAAATAATTTATTTAACAATTGAATGTTTTTTAAAAATTGAACTCTCGTTTAAAGAATTTATTATAAACAAATTTTTAAATAGATAATTAAAATTCTTTTGAGAAAAAAAAATTGAAAACTGACGAAGAATTAAAAAAAAAAAATTTTTTAATAATTGAATTGCTTTGAAAATGTTCATTTTTGAAAAGAATTGAATTCTTGTGAAGAATTTTATTCAAATTCTATCAAATAATTGAACTTCACAGAATTTTTTAAAACTTTTTGAAAATAATTAAATTCTATCGAGAAATTTTATTAAAAAATTGAAAATAATTGAAATCTGGTGAAGAATAAAAAAATATTTTTTTAAATAATTGAATTCTGAAGAAGAATTGTATTACAAATAATTGAATTATATAGGAAAATTTTATTAAAATTGCAATTTTATTAACTAAATCTTGTAAAGAATCTTGTCAACATTTTTTTAAATAATAAAATTTTTAAAAGAATTTTATTTAAATTTTTCGAAATAATTGAATTCCTCAGAACTATTTTTTTCAATTTTCTGAATATATTTGAATTCTTTCGAGAAACTTCATTAGAAAATTAAAAATAATTGGATTGGTTCGAAGAAATTTATAAAAAAAAAATTGGTGAGTAATTGAATTCCTGTGAAACTGTTATTAAAAATTTTGTTTAAATAATTGAATTCTTTTGGAAAATTACATTAAAATAGATATTAAAAATAATTGAAATGAGGAAAATTTTTGGAAAATAATTGAAATTTTGCCAAGAATTTTATTAAATTTTTTGAAAATAATTTAATTTCGGAGAAGAATTTTATTATTTATAAAGATAATTGAAATTTTGACGAAAATTTTTTTTAAACTTTAGACCATAATTGAATTTCTGATAAGAATTTTATTATTTTTGAAAATAATTGAATTCTTGAGACGAATTTTTTAATAATATTTCTTTTTAAATACCTAATTGAATTCTTTTGTGAAATTTTATTGAAATAGTAGATATTCAATATAATTGAATTTTGATAAATTATTGAAATTAATTTAATTTCTACAAAGAATTTTATTAAAATTATGTTTAAAAAATAATTTAATTGTTAAAAAGAATTTTATTAAAATTTTTGGAAATAATTTAATTCTTTCAAGAAATTTAATTAAAAATGTATTGACAATAATTCTTAAATTCTAATAAATAAATTGTAGCAAAGATTTTTAAAATAATTGAATTTCTTTGATAAATTTTAATAAAAATTTTAAGAATATTTATATTTTTCGAGAAATTCGATTAAAATTTTCATTAAAAATAATCGAAATTCTGCGATGAGAAATATAAAAATAATTGAAAACCTATAAAGTTTTTTTATTATTTATGAAAATAATTGAATCTCTATAAAAAATGTGATTATTTATGAAAATAATTGAATTATTGCGAAGAAATTTATAAAGAATTTGTAAATAATACAATTCTGATGGAATTTTTATTATTTAATTAATTCATTCAAAATTGTAATTTTACAAAATTTCAAATTAAAACCTTTTAAGATTTATCTATTTATGAAAAATTGTAAACGCAACTCTTTTAAAATTGAATAAATTTTGAAATATTTAAGAAAAATTAGATTTCAAGAATAAGCACAATAATTTTCCACACGGAAAAAAATAGTCGCAGAAATTTTCAGCGACTAATCAAAGACTCTCGGATATGAACGAATCTTTTATAGACTTTTAGAAATGTTCTACGATTTTAGCAGAAATTCTCCAAAAAAAGTCGAGGACTTTCTAGAAACCTAGTAGCGGAAAACAGTCTCGGAATTATTCTAACACTTCATAGAAGGTTTCGTCGACGAGTCGCGGAAAATGGTGCGCACAAAAGTTGCGCGCGTTAAAACCAATAAACACTGTTTTTTTAACATTTTTTTTTAACAATTTATGACAATTGATTGTCAAGATTATTATTATTTTTATTATTCAATGTGTCGACATTAATATATACATTAAAAAATTCTAAATAATTTCCGCGACTGTCAATTAAAAATTAGAACGCTGTAGAGTAAATTCAGGTTTGTAATTTTCCGCGACTGTGGCGGAATCGGTTACATGCGCGTGGAGTCTTCATTTTCTTCGACAGTCGCGGAAAGTTTCTTCAAATGTAGTCTATTTCTTCAAAAACTGTGAATATGATTTTTAAAACACTTTCCAATAAATCCGAGAGTCTTCAACAAAGTCGAGGAAAATTTCCGCGACTTATTTTTTCCGTGCAGGATTCCGATAAAGAGAAAAATTATATAAAAAAATTTACCATGCAACCAAGATCTTCATCCGCATACAATCCAGGAAAATGCTTCTGATCCCCACAATAGAAACTCGTATCAGGCAAATCCACTCGACTGGCAAAATTATCATCAAAATTCTTATCGTATCCAACTGGATAATATTCCCGTGGAGCATTCATGACTTTCGTTGTTCCAGAATAATTATTGTTATTATTATTCTTTCTAAAATAAAGATAGCAATTCAAAATATTGGCACATCATTTACATTACATTCTGTTAAAAATAAAAATTTACTACATACACTGGAGATAATGTGGTAGTAGTTGTTGTTGTCGTTGTTGTTGGTCCCTCCTGCTTCTGCAACAATTGCTGCTGCTTCAAGAAAATAGCCGCCTCTAATGCTTCCAAGGTAATATTACTAGCTTCAGCTAAGGCCTTTAATGATGTCTCCATACTCTGAATGGGTTCCAACGATGGAAGAGAATTTCTAATCGAGGATTGAAGAGAATCCTTATTGGAGGATGAAAGAGAATTTTTTACTGACGATGGTACTGATTGTCTTTTTCCGTTTAGTTGTTCAGGCAATGATTGATCAACAAATGGTTCTACAACCACTTGTGGAAAAGACAAGAGTGTTAATTTATGCGATGATGATGTTGGACTATCGTCCCCTGGAATTGGTAGCTGCAAATTTTTGATTGTTTTATTAAATCTGTACTTATTCTGTTATCGTTACTTATAGTGTTATTACTACTTATTCTTATTTTTATGTCGTTATTGATAATTATTCTGATACCACCACAGCATCTTTTGCAGCAAAATTGACAAAATTGCTGCAAGTTTCAGAATATTAAGGCAATGTTGTCAATGTTGCTGCAAGTTTAGATGCTGTTGGGGTATTTACTTATTCTGATACCCTCGCAGCATCTAAACTTATTATGTAAATAATTTGTTCCATAAAGAGTAACTGAGAACTTACTTGCTTATCATCATCTTTCGAGACTTCATTAACAGAATCCTCCAATATTGTTGGACTATGACTGATTCTGTTTGTCAATTGAGCTGAAGATTTAGGCATTGCTATAAACGGTGGCAGTGCACTATTAGGAATTACAATACCAGCAACTGGTTTTGGTAGTGGATCATTAACAACACTTCCAGCAGGTGGTATTGCTGCAACAATTGTCGGCAGTCTTGCAACATTACTCGTGGATCCTTGGACCACCTGAAAGATTTCAGTTCATAATATAGACTTCTATTGATAATTAACAAAAAACAAACAAACAAATAATTAAAATAAATAAACAAAAATTTTGATTCTAATATTAAAATGAAGTTTACAATTTGAAAATAAAAATTTGATTAAAATAAAGTTTGAAATTGAAATAAAAAGCTTTGAAATTATCATTTGAAATTTATATTTCAAGGAAAAAGCAAAATTAAATTTTTGTGGCAACCCTGATTATTCAAAATGCTACAAACCTGCATTCGTTTGGTTTGCATAGCTGCTATCTGCTGTTGCTGTTGTTGCAACTGTTGCTGCTTCAATTGTTGTTGTTGTAGTAACTGCTGCTGCTGCATTTGCTGTTGCTGCATCTGACTCTGCTGTTGCATTTGTTGTTGCTGCTGCTGCATCTGTTTCTCCTGCTGTAACTGTTGTGGTTGTTGTTGTTGCTGCTGTTGCTGTAGTAGTAGTTGTTGTTTTTGCTGCTGCTCTTTCATCTGCTGCTGTTTCACTTGTTGCTGTTGCATCTGTTGCTGCTGCATCTGTTGTTGAGCAATTTTCTGTATTTGCTGCTGTTGAGCCATTTTTTGCATCTGCTGCTTTCTCATTGCCTCCTGTTGTTGAAGTCTCTGCTGCTTCAGCATTTGCATCGCAAGTACCTCCTGCTGAACTCTCTGCTGTTGCCTGGCCTTATCCTCTTCTTTCATTTTTTCCTGTTGCCTTATAATTTCTTCATTTCTTATTCCACCTAATGCTGGTGCTGGAATTGTTTTTAATGCTGTGGAATTTTGCTGTACAACTAATCTTTGGCGTTCGGGTTGTGGTGCCATTGGTCGTGTACCACCCGGTGGTAGTGGCTTGAATGGTGGCACCACTCGCTGTCCATCGCGATTAACAGCCTGAAATATCAATTCATTCATTATTTATTGAAATTATTGAATATTAATTATTATATCAAATTACATCATTATTATCATTAAACTATTGAATGTTAAATTAGTTTTAGATTATTAGTGGACACTCAAAAAATTAACGCTCTCAGGGGAGAGAAAGTAACATTTTTAAAAAATCGTTACGAATTTTTGAGTGGCTCCTTAAATATAAAATTGTTATTAAATTATTTAGCATGATTAAATATTTAGTGCTAAGTTATAAGTTATTTTTTTTTTTAATTACGGTTAAATAATGAACCATAATAAATTATTCAATTATTATTGTTTTGCTTCTATTATTTTTTATTGTAACAATTTTTTTTCTCCCAAGTGTAAAAAAATGAGGCTAATTTTTAAAATATGTATAAAAATAAATGTTTATTATTAGATATAATATTTTTAAAGATTTCTATAATTATATTTGTGTTTCGAAATTCATTTTTGTTTTGTCTCATAATTTTTAAATTCCTGAACCTTTTGACTTGAGGTTTTAAAATTGAGTTCTTCGGAACCTATCAGATTTCTAAGCATATTATTGCGTTACTTTCAGTTGCGCGTTGTTAATCTTTCACAACATCTCGGTCCATGGTTCATCCCCTTTTATCCATAATAGTATGAATGTCAAACTCGCTTGACAAATAGACAATCTTGATTTTTATATTTTAATTCAGTAAAATATTGATTCATTAAATATTTATACGAGATGAGTGAACGCTTTCTATTCTAATGTTTATCATAAATATTAGTAATGAGATTCTAAATTATAGTTTGCTCTTTCATTTTTGAAACTACATTTTTATTTTTTTTTCTATTTTCTCTTTCTCATTTTTTTTTCCTTTTTTTATCCTCTATTTTTTTGTTTCTAAAGACATTAAATTTTAAGAAATTTCTTTTTTTTAAACTTTATTAATTACCTCGTCCTTGAATGATGCTCATTAATTTTTTGTACATAATAAATGTTTATACGATAATGCTTTGTCACTTTCGAGAAGATTGTGCAAAATTTGAACCTTGAATTATTGCAAAACTATTTGGCACATAGGTTAAATGTTTTTGCAGTATTTTTTTTTCGTAATTATTCAGATCATTAAAAATGTATTTTATTTTTTGTTACATCCATAGTGTAAGTACAATAAAAATAGAAAATTTAAGAAAATTTAAGAAATAAATTAGCAAATAAAATAAAAATATTTTGTTACCGTGATTAATTTTTTAATTTTTGTTATAATGCAATTACAATAAAAAAAACAATAGAAAATTTAGGAAAATTTAAAAACACGTAAAAATGAAAATAATAATAGAAAAATTGACTTTAAAATTAAAATATTTTGTTACTGCAATTAATTCTCTTTAATTATTTGTTACAGGAATCAGTGATGAATCTGGTGAGTAATTAAAATCTATTTCTTACAATTTTTCAAAAAAAACCTATTTTTAATTTAAAGAAAAATATTTTCTGATCGGAAATCTTCACGAAATCATAAGAAAGTAGAAAGGAAAAAATATAAAGTTGTAAATTTGATTGAAGGCGTCTCTTTATGTCAAAAGTACTAGAGTGTAACGATGGTCATGAAACAGTCTAAGGAAACGGAAAATCAACCAGATTTATATTATATATAATCACATATCGAGCGGTTTAGTTTTTTTTCAATTTTTTTTTTCAATTATTTTTGTCCAGTACGCAATAGTATTACAAAATGAAAGTATTTTGTTCGCTTGCGATATATTTCGATCATATTATCAAAGGAAACCTGAAAAATTTTGACGCAACTGCAATTTTCCAAACTATATAATAAAGATCATTTTCTAAAATTGCAAATTCTCAAATGGATTTTAAATGCGATTTGAAATTAACGAGGAATCATCTTATGTGATCGGGAAAAAATTATAAAACGCTCAGACTCGATTAATTTACGAGTTGAAAGTAATCAGGCAATTAGTGAATATCGTTTTATTAATTTTTCTTTTTTGCGCACGAATTTCAGAGAATTTGTTGATAAATACTAAATAATGAGTTTTAGAATAAATTGCAAATAAAAATGTAAACGAATTAATTGAAAGTATATTTTTTAATTGAAATGCAAATTAATTATAATTAATTAAAAGTTACATTTTAATTTTTAATGAATTAATTTTATTTTAATTTCTAGAATTAATTTTTCGAATAAAAAATTTATTTATTATCAATTTTATATACTGGAGAAAGAAAAATATTTTCAGTCGATTATAAATAAATTTTCCAATATAAAAGGAAGTTAATTCACTCGATATTTAAAAGAAAAAGTGAGATGAGTTTTACGAAAGTTGAATTGCAGTTTAGTTTCCGAATAGGACTCGATAACGTAAATATAGATCGAAGTATAAAAGTTTACATTCACGCGCTAGTTACGACAAGGCCAGTACAAAACACAAGTGTCTGATGTCCATTAAAACAATGATAATTTCACCCATAAAGATTTGAGAAAAAGTATATTATTAAAAAAAAAAATTTCTATTTTTACATTTGTAATTGTAAATTAAATTTTTCATTACCACATTTGATGGATTTATGGCAATGAAATTTCCCCTTCCATCTTGAACACTTCGCCTCTTGCTCAGTGCTTCTGTATTACTTAAGGAATCACGGAATCCAAGTTCGTCTCCAACTGAAAATCCTGTATTGCAAAAAAAGTAGATTAGAATTTAAAACAATTGGTAAAAATTCTCCTGATTATAAATTATGAATAATTTTTTAAAACCCTCTGGTTTTTGTATATAGAAAGAAATTTAAAATACCTTTTCTCTTTACAAATGAAAATTTTCTTTTGAGAAGAAAATACAATTCAAGAAGAGATCAGAGATTTAGAAGAAAAAATTTAAAAAAAGGAAAAGTGGAGAAACGATTTAATAATTTTTTAATATACAATTTATTATTCGAGGTGTTGAAAGAATACTAACGAGAAATGTTATTTGTGTCATATTTTTCTGTAAACAAAGAGTGGATAAACAAATTATCAAAGATTATAATTTGTACTATCAACTTTTCTTCATACGCAGTGTCAATTTCTTTTCAATATACCTGAGATGCAAATAATAGAAGGAAAAAGATATTTATGCATAAGTGCAATCTGTATATTTCCAGCAAAAGTAGGTTAAGCAAAGGATACATGAATTATTAATTTGTCGTATTAGATTGATACCCAAAGAAAGAAAACAGGCTAACAAACAATCAATTTTTTTCTTTTTTTCTTTTATCTATAGTTTAATATATACACAAATCTGCCTTTTTTTGTTTTATTAGTTATATAATACACTATAGGAAAAAAAATTTTTTATTCAAATAATTGACTAATTAAATTATCATCTAAATATACTTATTTGCCACAAGTAATTTATATTTGCAATAAATAATATTCATTTATGACAAATAATATATAATCCTACTCTCTAAATTAGAATTTGTAAAAATGTTTACTAATTAAAATTAATGACTAACTTTTTGCTTTTTAATTAGTAAATTTTATCAATAAATAGTAATTTCCAGTAATTTATTAGTAAAATTTACTAATTCAAAAGCAAAAAGTCAGTAACTGATTCAAATAAGTAAACATTTTTACTAATTCAAAATCAGAGAGTAAGTATTTACAATAAAAAATAGTTATATGGAAAATAATTATAATTTACTCACAAAAATAATTATAATAGCTATTTTTATTTATTTTTTTATTTTTATGTAGATTAATAATAAAATTTACAATTTATTAATTGTAAAATAGTTATTTATGATACAAGTGCGTAAAATCGTTGATTATACGAGTGTGACGTTTGCAGCTCGAGCCGAAGGCGAGTGCTGCAAGTCACACAAGTATAATCTGATTTACGCACGAGTGCCATACGAAATTTTTTGCAACACTACAACAACTAAACTTGCAGCAATATTGCCAATATTACTGTAACTTTAGGTGTAGTGGGGAACTGTTAAATGAATTTTTCTAGAAGCTAAAATAAAAAAATGTGATTGTAAATTGTTAATTAAAAGCATTATTTCATTGTTTCTCATCAAACAGTCACAAGAATGCGTAAAGTAACCTTTTTACGCACTGAAAATCACTTTACACACTGGAATTCACTTTACACACTGCTAGCGGTGTGTAAAGTAACACTTTACACACCGCTATAAAAAGAAGTACTTTACACACAGTTTTCTGTGTGTAAAATTCAATTTTACAGGTTAGTGTTGCAAAAAATAATATAATACGTAACAAATATTTCTTATAAGAAATTTATAATAGAAAATAATAACTATTTGTAGGAAAAAATTATTATTTATACAATTTTTTTTCTAATATATACAATGATCGAAAAAATAAATTATTATTCGATCCAGAAATATTATTTTAAATGTTTTTATTTATATATATTATTTTTTATATATTTTATAAAATTTTATATACTTTTTTATATTTGTGAAATAAATAGAAATGTAAAATTAAAAGAATTATTAATAATAGAATAGTATATTTAAATATATTTTTACATATATAGTAAAATAATTATAGCATTATATTAGATATTATAAGTATCATCTGTATTTTATAGCTTATTAATATAATTTGTACTTATGAATAAAAGATAATAATTACTAGAATAGATTAAAATTTATAAGAAATGTGAATAATTATTTAAAGTAGATCAAGGTCATCTTATGTAAAATTATGTACGATTTTAGTTGCTGAATATAATCAATGCTAGTTATTAAAATATAATATTAAATTAGTGATGGATCACTGAACAGAGTTTTATTATTTATAAGAAAGTTATGTAGGTTTGTGATTATAATCAAAATTTGATAATATTACTATTTTTTCGGGGGTTTTTAAATATTTTTTCATATTTTTTTATTTTATTTCAATATAGTTTGATTTTTTCGTATTTTTCATTTTTCAATTTGATATTTTAATTTTACATGTTTACAATTTTGTTTTTTTTTATTAACACTGATATTTTGCTTTTTTCTATTTTTATTTTTTACATTCTGATATTTTACTTTCTTACATTTTTATGTTTTATTTTGTATTCACTTTGATATTTTTCTTTTTAACTTTTGTATTTTTTATACTTTGATTGTTTATGTTTTACATTTTTCAAGCGTGAAATATTGTAATCGCGGGGGGAAATGTGCAAATAATTTTTACAGTTTTATTTTTTCCTTTTTGATATTTTAATTTAAATTTTTTATCACATTTTTTAAATGTTTATAATATTCTTTACATTTTTATTTATTGTTTTTAGTTTTACATAATATTTGTTTACATTTTCTACTTTTAATTTTACATTTTTTTATCGTATTTTTTATTTTTATACAATTACTTTTTTTTATATATACTTCTCCATAGTTATTATTTTTTTCTTTCATTTTTATTCTATCTTTTAATTAAAAAAAAAATTTTTTTGTTCTTTATTTTTCAAATTACTTTGGCTCCTTACATGTCTAAACGACCCTAACTTTCTATGCCAATCATTACGACAAATGCAATGCCAATTATTTTCACTGATAGACGATATGTCACTTATTAACTTCTCAATGTAAAGACACATTTTTATTTCATTCTTTTTTTTGGTTTAACTAAACTGACACTTTATGCAACTTTGCGTGCAAGGACCTCGGAAAATTATTATATTAAATAGAAAAAAGCGCATGCAAACACGGGAAATAAGAAATTTTTTCTTTTTTTTTTGTTCTTTGCTAATAGTACCCTTGACAAAAATGAAAGTTAAGGTGCTAATTAGAAGGTCCAAATGACTATATTAATGAGTTTTAATAGCTGTAATTTGTCGTTTAGATAATAAATTTTTTATTCTGTAAAACATTTGACAAATTCTTGCTTTGAAAGTATGTTTAAAATCTATTTGTATAAAAAACGAGGGAGAATGTGAAAAAATTTTAAAATTTATAAACAATTAGATAATTTTCATCTAACTATTTTTCTTTTTTTCTGTTTATTTTCTTATTATTTTTTTCTGTTATTTTTGTTATTTATCTATTGAGTATTTTTTATTATACTTCCTTTTACTTTTTTATTATTTTTCATTATTTCCTATTATTTTCTACAATTATTGTAAAATTATTTCTTTATTATTTTTCTATTATTTTCTATGATTATTGTCCCATTATTTATTCTTTTTAATAAATAATTTTATATGTTTAGTAAAACAAAATACTAAATACTGAAAAGTTTAGTTTTTCTAACTAATAAAAAAAAAAAGAAAAAAAAACGTCTAAATTGTTTTTCAGTTAAATTTCTGTACAATTATAATTACATTCAATTACGTGTAACAAATATTCACGCTCCTTCAAATGTTATGTAAAGATGTTGGCAAATTTTTTTCCTTCATTATATTTTTCACACATGCAAGTACATTGATTAAATTAGAATTATCTAGTTATAAAATCTGAACTTAAAGATCAAGATGCATTTCTGAAATACTGATTATTCATTATTCTCTATTTAGGTGTAGTTGAAAAAATATTATTTCATCGATTATGAAAAATTGGTTGAATTTTTAATTATTATTTTATATATTTAATATAAATAATCAATTATTGTAAATGATTTATTATTAGATAATTTATTAGAACAGGAAATTTATCATTAATAATATTTTAAACAATTATATTACAAAAGAAAATTTATATCATCAAATTTTATTGTTATTTATCGCTTCTTTGGGCATTAATCTTTTTTTGATTTATTCTCCACACGCAACGATACCGAATTGAGAGTGAAAGATATTTTGAATTTTGCATTTATCAAAGGATTGCCTCTCTCTATATAAAGATATTAACACCTGTTGAAGGATGACTTTCATAATCGAATTCCGTTCGAGTATTACTTTATCACTTGTGGCTCATATTCAGGCCGAAAATTGACTGAGAGTTTTGACAATATAATTCATAAGGTTTAAATTGCGTGGAAAATTGTCAAAAAAAATTTTTACTTGAATAACTTATTTAGATTTTTATGACTTTTTTACTTTAGAATTTTAACTTCTTAATTGAAATAATTAAAATTGTGTCATATTAATTAAGTAATTAGTTAATTAATTTTTATGAGACTTATTAAAAAGTATTTATTAACTATAAAATTGTTTGCACGACAATGAAGCAACACGAGAATGTTGACTATATTGAACTAAAAATTGCAGCTAAATATGATGTCAATATTTGACCAATATTGTAGTTAATGTTTTGTTTGGAGAAAATGAATTTTATCGAATGATTTTTTTTTTTTTTTTTGATGGAATGGTGAATTTTCTTTTCTTTTTTTCGGACACTCACCGAGTCCGACGTAACCTTTAACACCTCCCAGATTTCGAACCCGGAAGAGACCGGATTTTTTGAAGGCACAATTAAGAACGAAACCAAAGTCGGATTCCAATACACATGTGTTTAAAGCCTCCCGCCACGTGCAGCCTAGAATCAAATTGGAAATACCATCTCTTTATAGCTTTTTAAAGCCTTTTTTTAAAAGGGTGTTTATTTATTTACGTTTCATTTTTTTTTTATTTTTACTTAATATAAAAAACTTTTTTTTTTATCTCTGTGCTATTGATTCCGACTTTAAATCACTTTTCTTCCTTTATTCCAAAAGGATTTTTTCTATAAATAACTATTTTTTACCTATTTCATTATTATTTTTATTATTAGGTATTAATTTTTTTTATTACATATTATTTTATTATTGTTATTAAAGTTATTTATTTTTATTATTATTTAAAGTAAGTAGTAACTTTTTCAATGTCTGCTTTTTGGGGTTTTTAATTAATTAGTAAACAATGATTATAATGAATTAACAATTAGTTATAAATGTTAATTAAAAATTAGAGACGATATTAATGAAACAAAAATGATAAATTTTCGACCAATTAGTTTTGAATGCAGAAAAAAATATAATTATGCAAATTGAACCGGTTTGAAGTATTTTTTCCACTAATATAATATTATTTGTTTTTCCGCCTACAAAAGAAGATTTTGTAAAGATTTTTTAAAGGAGGTTGAGTAAATAATAATATATGAATCAGGAATAATGTGAATGCTTTTTGGAATACTGATGATGATGATGATGATGATGATGATAATTTCTTTCTTTTTTTTGCCCTCAGCAACCTTTACTTCTTTCTTTCAGTAAATTTCAATAGTTCTTTGAAAATTTATTTTCAACGTGTTTAGTTTTTTTAATTTTACATAAATAATGAATGAAACCAATGACAGTAATTTTTACTTTGATGAATGTAATTTCAACACATGTTCACATTTCAAAATGGGAAAAAAAAAATTTTCTTGTATTTACATTTAAATTAATTTCCTTTATTTTTACTAATTTTTCAGAAAATAAAAAAAATTTTCTCTATTTTTTTATTCCAACCTTTGTAAATTATAATTGAATTACAAAAATACTTCAAAATTTAAAAGTAAATAATACTTTTTAAAACTTTTATAAATACTTTTGAAAGAAAAATATTTGAAACTAAAAATACTTTTTAAACTTTTGTCAACTATTCTATATTTAGATAGAAAATACTTTAAAAAGCGCGAGTTCCCTTTTGCTTAGAGTGATGAGACAATAGTAAATAATGTTTACTTTCAATATTATTTTACCCCATATATAAATCATAATATTTTTTCCATTAATTTTTTTCTAGTCACTAATGAATCATTATCAAATATAATTAACATTTTATTTATTCGCAAACTCATGCTTCCTGCAAAAAAATTTTTTTTATTTATAATTTTCCAAGTATTGGGCATCGAAAGAGAAATCTTTATGACACGAGACTAACGTTGTTAACCTGAATTGAACACCTTCATACATCCGTGTATTTGAATTTCACATCCCAATCATTTTTATCAATTGTCGCTAATTATTTAATATTCAATTATTGTCGCTATTCCAAAAATGATTTATTTTCGAAAATTTACGATAATTATTTGGTATTTTGTCTCTTTTTTTAGTAAATTTTATTATTATAAGTTTATATTATTATAACCTTATATTATTTATTAAATAATAGGATAAAATAAACGGAGTTATTAATTATAGAAAATAATTAACCCCTAATAAATTAAATAATTAAGGAAGTGTAAATAATTTATTAATAATTAATTATTTTATATCCTACGATTGCTTGTGAAAAGTAATTATTGTCAATTAATTGTTTATAGTAATTATTTAATTATGTTAAATAATAATTTTACAGTAAATAACTATATTAAGGGGAGGGTTCACCGATATTTTAAACTATTTATTTTATTTATTTATTTATTTATTTAAATTTGAACGGACAAAAATGTCCTTAACAAAAGAAACTATTTGTCAAGAAAATAATTTAAATTTTCCATAAAATTGTTTTTATAGTAAATTTTTTTAAGTAATTCAATGATCATAAAATAAAATCGGTCAAAAAATGTTTTGATCATTTTTGAATATCTGATTTAAAAAATTTAAATATTTTTGATAAATTAAATTAATTATCTAGAGTAATGCATTAATTACTTCATAACTTAACATTTTTGCAAATTTCTTATTATTTTCATTACTGTAATTGGTTCTAATAATGTTTGCTAAAATTTTTATTTGAATTTTTTTTCTTTTAAATTAGTTTCAGATTAAATTGTGAATGGAAGAACGTTATTTATTGCGATTCATTTGACCTTAGCGCTCTTTTGAACTTTAAAATAATAGTTTATAAAATTGTTGAATATAATAGGTAAATTTTTTAAAACAGTTTTTTTCAAATAAATTTTTCCATTGCGTAACGATTCCCTTTTATCGTCTCTTTGAAGATTCTAAATCAACTACGAATCTATTTCTCTATCGGTTTTTTTTAATCGGAATTCACATTATACTATTTAAATTGACATTTTTTCTTCTTATAATCGAATTAGAAATCAGTGGAAAATTGAGAATTTGGAATTGAAAATTTGCATAATTCTCTGGAAAACGAGAGATTTTTTTTTAATTATGCAATTTTTATTAATACTTTAAAGGGATAATTAAGTATTAAATTTTAAATTATATATGACTTTCCTTGTTATGAATCTCAATTCCTACAGATTATTTTTTTTTTCCTTTCAAAATGACTAAAATTTCTAATAAATTATTATTAAATTATTAAATTGTAGAAATTTTCCAAAAAAAAAGTAAAGGTTGAAGGAAATTTAAATTTTTTTGATTTATTATTGATGATTAATCTAAGGAATCTTTTGCCAGTTTGACGAGATAGAAGTTGTGCCATTGGGCCATACCCTAGTGACCCACTTGAAACCTGACTAAACGTTCCAAGACGACCCATGAATGACCACACCATATAGTGCGTATAGCCACTCGAATACTCTCTTTTCAAACTGTTTGAAATTTTTGGACAAGTTTATCACATGATTCACTTTTTTTTCACTTTCAAAAAAATATATATACGTACATAAGCACCCAGATTTGTGCTGAGATTTAAAATCGTATTTTCAATTGTTTTTAAAATTTTTTAAAATCATTTTCGTATTTTTATAATGAAAAAAATTCTTTGGAATTTTTTATTTACCTTCTCATTATAATAAGAAAGTTTTTTTTATCTTGATATCTTTACATTTTCCACTATTTATTAAAAAGAAAATTTTTCAATATTTTAATGCGCTTTGGTCGTGATCGTTAAAGCGTTGAATTGAAGAAAGCGAATCTGACTCGTATTCGAATCTCCCTGGAGGTTGACATTTTTTTAAAAATTTATTATTAGGGACCATTGAGAAAATACTTGACGTTCTTTTTAATTTTTCGAAAATTTAAATAAAAATTTTAAATTTAAAAAAAAAATTTCATTACTTTAATTATAATTAGGGACTATTAAAAAATACGTAACATTTTTTTTTAATCCCTCGCCCCGTTTTCAGGGGTGGATTTAAAAAGAACGTTATGTATTTGTGAATAGTCCTTATAAATAACTTTTTATTTATTTATTTCTTTCATAATTATTATTATTATTATTTCTCACATATTTTTTTTCAATGGTAATTTATATACTAGATTGAAAAAAGGGAATGTAATGAATGAAACAATTTTAAAGAATTAAAAATTGTATTGAATTTTTAAAAAAATAATAAGAAATCTTTTTCATTTAAAACGGTTTTTAACAAAGATAATTTTGTACGCACAAAGAAAATTAGAAAAAGTCTTTTTAATGTTTTTTAGAGAAAATTATTTCACTCCTTTTTCATGAGATTGAAGTAATAATTTAAAAGAAAACATAAACGTTTTTGCATTTCGCCTAAATAGCTCATGTTCATAAAATTAATTCTTCGCTTCCTCAATGGTAACGCGCTATTAAGAAGATGCAATGAAATACGAATCATTATAATCTTCACTTATTTAAAATTATGCATTAAACGAAACATATATATAAAATTCTTGTCATTACTTCACACTTGTATTATCATTATTATTATTATTATTTCACACCTCTCTTGATTAATGAACATTGTGAAAGTTTTATTTATTCATTTATTTGTTTGTTTATTTATTTATTTAATTGTTTATTTACATATTTATTTGTTTTTTTTTATTTGTGTATTTGTTTATTATTTATTAATTTATTTTTTTTATTATCTATTTGTTTATCATTTATTTATTTGCTAATTTTACTTCCTCATGAGGAAGTATTTTGTTTATTTATTTGATAATTTATTATAATTTAATATATTTTCCTGCTAATTTCGAGCAAAGAACGTGTTCCATTTCACATTTTGCTATTTGTCATCGAAGAAGAACAAAATTTGCATAATATGTCATTAATATAAATGGATTTGCTAATTGCGAGCATACAAATGTAAATCCAGGTCTTCAACTCGAACATTAGACTCTTGCATTCGAGGTACAAGTTAATCTAATTGAAATCTTATTTTCCCATAATATTTATCTCATGATTTTTTTTTAAATAGAAAAAATTATTCAGATCAAGGGGAAATTAATTTCTCGAATAAAAGAAAATTTTTTATAATCAATCTATTATTTTTTATAACAAAATATTGTTTTATTCACAAATGTATTTACTGTTTATTTTACTATTTCTTATAACTATTACTATTTATAAATTAATATTTTTATGTTAATTAATTATCATTCGTGTTCAAATTTTTTAATAGTTTAAATATAGTAATTGTTTTAATAACTTTTTATTTTAATAATAATTAAAAATATTTGGTTTAAAAGGGCACACCTCGATTATTTAAAACATTTTTCAAATTTATGTTTTTCAAAAAATTTTGAAAAAAATAGTAAATTTTTTTTAAAATTGAAAATCAGTCGTTGGTCTGTAAATTCAATGGACACATGTATATAAACGTGTCCAAAGCATCGTAGAAAGTGTCTTACGTATAAACGGAACATTAGCACAGTCCGGCTGGCCCGATTCCCTAAATACACTCCACTGACAAAATATATAATAAACTTATTATAATTTTTGTTTAATGGACATTTTTTTTGCAGCAATAATAACTATCGATTTACATAAAAGCGATTCGTTTTTTTCCCTCTCTGTAAATTAACATTTACATCGTTGCTAATTTACACATTTGCATAGCGAATTTAATTATCATTTAATTCGTTCACCACAAATCACATTTCAGAAATTTTTCCCCAAAAATTTTTGTTAGTTAATTAAATTATAAACTAATTAATTTACAAACAAAAAATAAAACCAGCAATAAATACAGCGATAAATAAATTATTATATAAATAAATTGATAATAAAATTATCACAAATAAATTACTAAAAATTTTCAAATGTTTAACTAAAAATTTTCAAATAGATTCATAAATAAATAAATTAATAACCAAATAAACATAACTTCTTGAAGAATGACGTCACAGGTTTAAAATACTTGCTTTGAACAATCTCTTCAATTAAACAAATAAATTAGTAAATAAATAAATCTGAAAAAAAATTTATAAACAAATAAAAGAATTACTTTTTTTGTTAATAATTATTTTTTATAATTATTTTATTAATTTAAAAAAAATTTGAAAAAATTTAAACAGTATGGAAAAAGTGAAACAAAAAATTGACTAAATATGTATTAAATAATTTTATTGATAAATAAATAAAAAAAATGTTAATAAAAATGTAAAATAAAAAAAATGTTTCTTTCTGTAAACTAGAATAATAATGACAATTGAATGAATTTCACTATGGTTGATTACCCATTAAAGAGGTTTCGGTTTCTACAATAATATCCTCCCCTTTTTTCCAGAGAGTGAATCAATGATATGATAATTATCGACTTTCGTTATCGATGTGTCCTATTTTTTTTCCTTTCTCTCTCTTTTTTTTCTCCCAAGACATCAAACGTCCTCGTGTACATTTTTTTTTCTTTTTTCTAATTGATATATATTGGTTACTGACTATATATATATTTTCTCACTTTCTACCGAGATCATCGTTCCTTGACTATGTGTATTTATAGTCATTGCTTTCGATGACATCTTGTTCCTTTTTTTCCATCTCTCCCTCTTTTTTTTTTAATACACTTTCTTTTTTAGATCAAAATGTACATCATATATTATATTGATTTGCACTCATGCGAATATAATAATAGTGCAAAAAAAATGAACTTATTCTTGAATAATCTAGAAAGAAATTATATGATGTTCACATTCTATAGTCAAAGAACCGTTAAAATTGCACGACTGTGATACAAAATAGGAGTCAACATGCGAGACGATTTTTTTTCCATAGTTTAGTCGCATACTCGGTCAATTTTATGTATTTCAATATTTTTAACTTCTTTTTATTGTTTCGTAAATAATTTTTTCCGTTTTCGAAATATTTCCTCATTTTTTAAAGTTTTTTGTTTTTTATATTACTTTTATTTTTACCAGTTTTTTTATTATATTACTAAATCTAGTTGGATTTAGTGATGAATAGTTAAATTTGTTAAATTTATTAAATATTTAATGAATTTTTCATAATTTTATAAATCAAACTTTATAATAAATTAACAAATTAAACATTATAATTAATTAAGTAATTGAACTTTTATAATTAACTAATATTCAATTTTAGAATTAATTAATTAAACTTTATAATTATTTAACTAATTAAACTTTATGATTATATTATTAAATTAAATTATCATAATTAGCCAAAAATAAATAAAATTACAGATTTAAACTAAATTACATACAAGCAAGTACCCAAAAAGAATATATTTTTATATATTTACAATTTACATTGATGATTAATGATAAAATATTGTTAGTAAGGAAAAGAAGAATGAATTTTCAAATAATATAAATAATAATAAAAATGTTATCAGATTCGAGTCAGAAATCAATAGCACAGAATTAAACAAACTATATATGTAAAGTTTTTTTTATATAGAAACACACCCAGAAACCTGAAAATTGTTTAAAAGGCTATTTTATACATTATCAGTAAAATATATGCACAACAATTTTTCGTGGATGCTGAAAAAAAATTGGAACACTGAATATCCTTTCACTGGAGATATAAAAGAGAGATATTTACATTTTGAGATATGAATTTTGTTTCCCATCAAATTATAAATATTCATTTATTTTTATTTAAAAAACGTCACAATTTTGTAACCATTTTTTTTTTTACAAATTGTTGACAATTTAATAAAAATAATTTTTAAAAAATTTAAAAAAAATAAAATAATAAAAAGAAATGAAATAAAAGTAAAATAATAATTTATATATTCCAGAGAAGAGGATTTCAAATGTTACTTTAGTAATTTGTGTGATTCAGGAATTTGACAATTTTATAAATTTTTCAACAATCAAGTGGATTCAAAATTTACAGTATTAAAAATAATTAAATAATTATAAAGATAAATGTTTAATTAAAAATTAAAGGAAGTAATTTTTTGTGTTAAAATTTAAGTAAATTACAAGTATAAATTAACTAATTCAAATAATAATAGTCTCTTAATCAAATAGTTAATAATGGATAATTAAAATTCACTATTAGGTTGTGTCAAAATAACTAAAATTTTCTGAAACTAATTCAGTTAGTGAATTTTTAATTTATTATTAATTAATTAATTATAGTAATTATTAAATAACTATTCATTAATTATTATTTATTAACTATTTTTATTTTATCTTTGACTATTTTTTATTTGCTAATAGTTATTTTCTACTTATAATTAGTTATTTTTTACTAATCGCTGAGTCAAAAATTGAGCAAACATTTTAGTAACAATTAATTATTTTAAACTAATTCAAATTTAGAGAATAAATAATGGAATTTATTTTTATTTATTTACAAAGATAAATTTAATTTTTTTAAACTAATTACTCAAAATATTGTTATTTTAATTGCAATAATAACTGTTACTATTATTATACAAATTTTTATTATTGATATTGTTATTATTTTTTTATTACTTTTATTATTTTTATAATTAATTAAATTATTCAATTTATTCACGTACAGAGTTAAATCTCATTTGATGAAAGTAACAATTATCGATAATAATTAATCATTTATTTTGCTGTAATGTCTCCTTGATCCACTATTAAGTTTTTGTCATCCTCCTTTCATGTTTCACACATCTGATTATCATATACTAGATGAATCTATGTAAATAAATCATTTAAGGCTAGTCTACATATTTATATGATACAACTTATTAGTAGAAAGAAAGAAAAACTGTAAATAAAAAGTATCAGTTCAATTATACTAAGTACTACTATTGAAAAACACAAGCAATAAGAGAGTTATTTTAAAAGAAATTGAAAATGTTATTCAATAGAGAAGGAATTATAATAATTTATAACTTATGTACAAAAAACAATTATTAACATTACATAATCAAGATACTTTTCGAATTATTTATAAAATTATTTTTCACAGTATGAAAAACAATTTAATCCCGAAGTGAAAAAATTATTTTTTTTTTATTGAATATTGAAAACAATTCAATATTCAATAAATGAATAAAATTAATAAACTTAATAAAATTAATAAATCTATTTAATATAGTAAATATAATTAAGTAAATATAATAATAAATTAATTATTTAAATCAAATTAATTTTGTTACAAAAAAAACAAATTCGAACAAAAAATTTTGTTCGAAAAAAGTACTATAAGTTAAAAGTATTATAATTAACAACTACTGATTTTAATTGAAAAAATAATTTTACTATCGCATAAAATATGAATAAAAACTACTAATAACGATGTTATTAATGAAAAAAATAACAAGAATTGTAAAAATTAAATAAAAAATGTAATAAAAATGTTTTTCTACAGGACTAAATAAATTGTTTGTTTATTTTAAACTCAATACTTTTATAGACTTGCACAAGAGTTGTCTATGAAGAAATATACAAAACGTGATTCAGTTGCTATAGCAACTGATTCTGTGTACAAATCCACACACTCTTTACATTGATTGCAGAATTATAAAAAATTCCAGTTTTTATTTGAAATATCCAAATATAAAACTAATTTTATATAGACATAAAAAATAAATACCAAACGAGAAAAATTTCATGAAATATTCTTAAAAAAACATTACATATTAATTGGAATAAATTAATAATTATTTTGAATAAATTATCATTTAAAATACTAATTAATATTTAAAATTTAATAATTAGTATTTTAAATATAGTATTTAAATTGACAAATTATTTGAAGTAAATAATTATTAAAAGTGTTTTTTTTAATGTAATATCATGAATTACTAAATTAAAAATCCAAAAAAGAAAATAACATTAGGGATGATAGTCAATTATGACTTGAAAAGAAATATTCTCTAGAATTTTCAAAAATACCCAAATTTCTTACTTTTTATTTATAAATTCCGTAAAGAAAAGAATACAAACAAAAAAAAGTCCAAGTAGAAAAATTGAAATAAATTCTTAGCTTTTAAATAGATTTTGAAGTGTAATTTTAATTTGAAAAAAAAATTCCGGAATACGCACCAACGACGACGAAGAGAAATAACGTCGTGGCAATTTTCATCTTTGTAGATCCAGTTTAAAAAATTGTGTTTTAAAAAAAAGTCAGACAACTCCCGTCTGACTAGCAAACAAAATTCTCCAATTGAGAATCAACAGTATTTTCCAATTTTTTCAAATTTAAAAAAGAAAATAAAATTATTTTCCCCGAAAAAACACTTCTTTTAAAGACAATCGTCACTTTTTCATTATTTTCAACAAAAAATGCGCTTAATAATAAAAGAGGAAATAATTATAGAATAATAATCGTAAAATAACAAGAGCTCGAGATTTTACACGCGACACGTTGCTCGTGCTCACAGTTACTAATATCCTATGATATACACTCGTTGGAAGAAAAGCATGTCTGGCCGCACTTTCAGATCGGAGAACACCAGTTTGTTGGATAAAAACGAGGTGTAGAACGGCGAAGCCCCACTAAAGTCCCATGGCAAGGCCCCCGCTTCTGCGGGTCAATGATGCGAACGCACTTTGGGTCCCTATGTGACGACCAATGCTCGTGATCATAAAATAAAAGTTGAAAGAAAGAAGAAGCAGTGAAGAAGAGGAGAAAAAAAAGAAAAAAGACTGTATGAGGGTAAGAGGTGCCACTGACCCACTCATTTCACATGATAACGGGATCGTTCACTTGGCGTAGAACTGGAGAACGAAAACATTTGTCTCTAATCCGTCGTTTAGATCTAGAGGTCGAGGATTCGCTGAAAACATGTCAAGAATAAGCGAACGAGGAGGCAGCAAATTCACTCATAATTAAAATTATCCTCCGAAGAATCGTGTACCTAGAAAAAAATACTGTAAACTGAAAATTAGATTTAAATGATTAAAATTTTGCCCAGAATTTTATTAAAATTGTTGAAAATAATTGAATTTTTGTGAAGTTTTTATTATTCATGAAAATAATTTAGTATTTGAGTAGAATTTTATTAAAAAATTGGATTTTTGACAAGAATTTTATTAAAATTGTTGAAAATAATTTAATTTCTGTGAAATTTTTATTATTTATGAAAATAATTTAGTGTTTGTGTAGAATTTTATTAAAAATTTTTTAAATAATTGAAATTTTTCCAAGAATTTTATTAAAATTTTTGAAAATAATTGAATTTCTGTAAATAATTTTATTAGTTATAGAAATAATTGAATTTTTGCGAAGAAATTTATAAAAAAAATTTGTAAATAATTGAATTCGTTTGGAAAATTTAATTAAATTAGTAGATATTGAAAAACAGTGAATTAATGAAAATTTAATAGTGTAAATAACCTAATATAAAAACCTAGTAGCATTTAAATGTTTAATAAAATTTTTAGCATAAAGAATTTCGATTTTCTAAAAATCAATAAGTTATACCAGATGGTTCAGATACAAATTTATAATTTATTAAACACAATCGCATTAAATTTGAAAGTAACAGCAGAAAATATTTGTTTTCACAAAAAAAAGAGAAAGATAGAACTGTTGACAAAATAAATAACCGAAGAGATCAAAAAATGTTTATATACACTACGTATACAATTTGTTCGAGCAAAAAATTATTTTTACTTGTTTGTATTAAAAAAGAGAACAAGAACAACATCAACAACACAAGACAATTTGCACGTATCGACTAGTATTAAAGCGAAAAATTTTTAGAAAATGTAAAACTGGCAAGAATCACTATTTTTTTTTTTGTCGTCAAGACGTTTTTATATTATTATTTAGAAAAAAAAACAAGATTAAAAAATTTGTTTATTATGAAATTATGATATTTTCTTTTTGCGTAAACTGTAAATGAAAGACGTTGAAAAAGAATCGAAAGAATTGGAGATAATTTTAAATCTACTTTTGCCTGCGTTCAATAAAAAACACTGTTTTAGAAAAACTTAATGATATCAGTGTTCCTGATTGATTAAACTCGCATTGAATGAAACTTACATTATTTTTTTTCAATAGACTTAGATCGTAAGGGAAGTGGTTAGAAGAATTCTTCGTTTTTCTCACTTCTTCTTCCTCTTTGCTTCCTGAAAAATAGAAAAATTTGTTAATATTTTTTAATTAATTTAATTTTTAAATAAATATAAATCGAATTTTCGATTTTTGATGGATTGGAATTTGACTGATATCTAACACTCCTTAAAGTGAAGTAACTATAATTTAGAAGAAAATTTAAAAATCTAATTTATTTTCAAACTAAAAATTAAAAAAAATTTGATTCAATTTTCAAAATTTTGAAACTTGATTTTTTAACGGAAAAATAATTCACATTTAAATAATATTCACCTTTCCTTTCTTCGCCATCATAGGACATGACGTTGTTTTAATTTGTACATTTTCTGAATTTGTCAAAACAGTCAGTTCGGAAATATTTTCCAATTTTTCCGATTCAGTTTGAGAATTTTCTGTAACAGTGCAATTCTCCTTGATATTTTCTTGACAATTCAAATCACTTATTAATTTATTTTCAAGACACTCATTATTTTTGGATTTTTCATTTAAATCCGTATTCTTTAATGTTTCACTTAATTTATCTATTTCATTAGTGATTTCAACTTTTTCAACGTCTACTTCTAATTTATCGCTGATAATATTCTCAGTCTTATTATCTAGAGGCAATTCTACATCGTTTGATACTTGATTTATACTTTCAGAATTTGTTAAACAATTTTTTTCTAAATTCTCATCGTTTTTTGGTAATTCTGAACATTTTGATGTATCATCTGAATTTCTTTCCTCTATTTCTTTAATTTCGGAATTTTTAGTAAAATTATCTGAATTTTTATTTATTTCTTCTAGTTCTTTAGTTTCGGAATTTTTAATAGTCTCTTGTTCTTTTATTTCTTCGGTTGTTTTTAATTCTTCTTTAGTTTCGACACTTTCGACTTTAGTGTCTTTATCTTGTTTTTCTTGATTAATTTTTTCGTCTGCTGTTGTATTTGTTTGGACATTATCCTTTTCGTCACTTTCTTTAGTTTCGTCTTTCACTATTGAAACTTCGTTTTTCTTTTGCTTCGGGTCTTGTTTCTTTTTTTCTTTTCTCTTTGTTGTTTCTGTTTTTGCTGGTGGATCGTCTGCTTTTGGATTTGTTCGTTTTGCTTCTTGGGCGGCGATATCTTGCATTAATGATTCCTGCGCTTGCGATAAATTATTGCCCAATTTTTCAGAAACTTGAGTGAAATTTTCAATTTGTTCGATTGATTTGACATTGTCTTGATTTTCACATTGAACGGAATTTGATTCAATGGTTTTTTCCTTTAATTGCAAAATGAGTGTTGCACGTTCCTGTTGGAAGGCTTTACACAATTCGAGAAGAAGTAATCGTTTACGATTGAGATCCTCGATTTCGGCATCACGTGTTTGTTTATCGGCGGCCATTTCGAGGAGAGCTTGGTGACTCTTCTCCCAACGATGCTTCCATAATCCTGTCTCCTTCTCGAGTTTGTGGATTTTCTTCGACATCTGAAATATCAATCATTTGTTTCAATTAAAAATACATAGAAATTAAAAATATAAAAACGTTAAAATAGAAATTAAATTTGTTTACAAATTTTAAATGGTAGACTAATGGATATTTATTTTTGTCTGATGTTTATCTTACTTTTTCCATTTCTTCGTTAAATCCGCCGAATACTTGATTACTTTTAGTCAAAGCGTTTTGGAATTCGTCGTATTTGTCAGTGTACATGCTTATTTGACTTCTCAGTCCCACTTCCTGGGCCTGCATTTCTTTCAGCCTCAATTGATATTCGGCTAATTTCTGAAAAGTAAAAAAAATTATTAATTATTTGAAAATCCAAAGAGAAAATTGTTCTTTTGATTTAAACTCACAGCCAAGAGTTGTTTTTTCTCATTGAGAAGTGCCTCCTTTTCGGATGTCATTTCTAAAGTGACTTTTGCCAATTTAGCCTCGGCCAATTGAATTTCAAGTTGCATTTGTTGATGAATTTTCTCAAATTGCTGCTCCCTTAATTCAACTTGTTCACAGAGGGATTTGAAATTTTTACTCATTTCCATATTGTCCTCGTAAAGTTTTGTATTTTTTTCATTATTTTGACTCATGAGGGCAGTAAGTTCGCCGAGGGTACTTTGAAATTTAGCCGACACTTCCTTGCGTTTCTCCTCTTCTTCACGAAGTTTCAATAAACTCTCCTCTTTAACGGCTTTATTTTGTCGTTGTAATTCACGACATAAACTTTCCAATCGACTTCGAGTTAAAACAGCTTTACTACGTTCCGTTTGTAATTGATCTTTTTCACGTTGTATCATTTGAACCTTTTTCTCTGATTGCTTCAATGACAATTGCAATTTACGATTTTCATCAATAACTTCAGAATATTTTTTGCACATTGCCGATAATTTTTCGTCAGCATTTTCAATGCTGACCAAACTTTTTAAGACCTGCTCAACTCCTCGTTCCTCCTTTTTCTTCGGTTTTTCATCCTTTGCATGCTTTCTCTCCCTGTGATGCACAGGTTTAGGCTGAAAAATTTATTTTCAAATATTAATTCCCTGTATTAATTAATAGTAATAAATTTTATATGTACAAAAAGTATGAAGAATGAACTATTCATTTTTTACACATAAATTTCAAATTTCGATATAAAATTATCCTAATTAGTCCTTGATTACTTTCAATTATTTATTTCATAACTGGATTAATTAATTAATTAATGGAATTATAATTAATAATGGAATTGACCTTTTTTTCAAGACTAAATTTCTAACCTCACTTCTAGAAAATTTTTACCACTTTTTACAAAAGGACAAATGACAAGGAGGATATTATTTAAAAGATATCATTTAAAAATGCTGATATTTAAGAGTATAGTGAATGATTATTTGTTATTTTCCAATAAACAAAAACAATTCTTTCGATTTTTGAGGTTATGTGTAGAATGTGTGTTTTGTCAATAATTTCACTCACCTCAACGGTTATATTTTCAGTTTTTTTCTGAGCATCGCCAGCTTCAATTTTAACACTTTCATTTATATCGTTATCCATTATCAAAACATCTGTAGAAACAATATAAAAATTAATTAATACAACCTCAGAACGACCTTAATTTTTGTTTGGTTTATTCCAAAATGCGTTTGGTGCATGCACTCGGTATAAACAAGAGAATCAGAAATTCGCGGCTTTATTTGAATTTCAGTTTTTAATTATTTTTAGTAAAATTCTTATTCTTTTCTTGAAATTAATTTAAAAATTTATGATTAAAAAAAATTTGGATTTTAAACAACAATTGAAATTTAAAAACAATAATTTTCGTAAACAATGTTTTATGTGAAAAGTGAGCTTTCATTTGAACACTGGAGTACAGTTTGTTGCCTATCAACAGGCGCATCTTAAAATTGTCGATAAAAAGGTATTTCTCTTATTTTTGGATTAGATTTTAAACAAATTAAAGATAAAGATTTTGTAATCAAAGAGAATTGATAATAATAAATAAATTACATAATTTTTGTAATTTTTTTTTCTTTTTTAGTTTTAGTCAATTTTAATAAAATAATTTAAAAAGAAAAATTGTTCTTTATAATAATAGAATTAAAAAATTATAATTTATAATTAATAAAAATATACTTTTTTATTGTTTAATTTTACGCTTATATTTTTACTATTCAAATGTAAAGTAAATAGTAGGTAAAATGAAATAAAAGTTACTTTACTTAAAATATAAATAAATAATTAACTAAAATAAATAAATATAAATAAATATAAACAAATTAAAAAATGAATAAAAATTAAGAAATTATAAAATACATAAATGATTAAAAATGATTATAAAGTAAAGAAATTAAAATTTCGTTAAGAAAATGTTGAGGAAAATGTTAATAAAACAAAAAATCAAATTAGTAAATGCAGAAAAGTTTCTCAAAGAAAATTTGTTTTAATTTTTGTCAAAAAAAAAATAACAAAAACCTTTAAAACAACATTTTTTTAAACAAAAATTTATAAATATTTCACAAAAAAAATCTATTTTTGATACATGCAAGTTTGTCTCTCTTTTTTTTTGGTTGCTATTTTTACAAAAGTAAAACGTTTGAAAAATTGTCTATTGACACTCACGAATATTCGATGCGGACAAAAAAAGTTGAAGGACACTAAATAATATTTGATCACAGTGATTGAAAGAAAGTAAAGTTCCTTCTATAATGAGATTTTTCTCCTTTTTTTTTATCTCGAAAAAAATTGATATGAAAAAAGAAACTTTTTTATTTTCCGGTATGCGGAAAGAAAAACTCGTGATATTCAGATGAGAACAGAAGATGTGTGCCGAGAAAGAAATCTGAAAAAGTCACGTCAGAGGTACAACAAAATGGTACGGTATGAGAGAAAAGAGGGAGGGTTCAACATAGTAGTTATTTTGGGAATATATCTAAAGTTAGATACCTATATAGCAGCTTCTAGACCAGTTTCAAGTATATGTACTTACTATAATCACGTCTCTCACAAAAGTATATATCCCAATGAAATCACATTATTAAATAACAATTCAATTTTTCCATGTTGAAAACAATTATTGGCATTTTTTTTAATTTTTATTTTCTGTACTTTAAAAAAATTTATTTTTTATTTCAAGTCGAAATAAATTTTTCCTATCGTGGGGAAATAAATTTATAGAAAATTACAAATTTAAATAAAGGCGATTTAATTTTTTTGTTTAAAAAAAATAATTATTGTCATTCTTTATAAATCTTTACTTTCAGTATTTTAAAAAAATTCATTTTTTTATTTCAAGTCGAAATAAATTTTTCCTATCGTGGGGAAATAAGAATAGAAAATTATAAATTTAAATAAAGAAAATTTAATTTTTCTGTTTGAAAACAATAATTATTGGCATTTTTTATCAATTTTTATTTTCAGTATTTTAAAAAAATTCATTTTTTTATTTCAAGTCGAAATAAATTTTTCCTGTTGGAGAAATGAATTTATATAGAAAAATATAAATTTACACAGAAAAAGCAAAGCCTGAAACCAAAATAATTGAAAAGTAGTCTTTTTTTAAGCTTGAAACTAAAATAAGTCAACTTTAGAACTTAAAATACTAAACGCTAACGAAAAAAAAAACATTTAATTTATTAATTAATTTGTAAGTAATAAATTATTGAATATTTATATTACTTTTTTGATTTAAGAAAATTTTCTTATGGAACTTTTTTCTTTCAAAAGAAAAGTATTGATAAATGAAAAATGAATAAAAAAGATTGATTATTAAAAAACTAATAAGAAAAATTGATTAATATAATAAAAAAAATCTATTACTAAAAACTTGTTTAGTAAAATATTAATAAAAAAATATATTTGACAAACTTAGGAAATAATAAAAAAAAATATAAATAATGACAAATTAAAAGAAAAATCAGATTGAAATTAATTTTTTTTTGTCAATACACTTTGGTCTTGCAGGTAAGTTTGATTTTGATATTCACATTGTGAACTTTTCGTGAATTAAATTAGCAAAGGAAATAACAAAGAATGATTCTTATGCAGGTTTGGTGCCATTTAGTCAGGAATTATTGTAATCAATTTCCTGATCATTTTCTATATTGTCCATTGTATGTTTATAGAAGTCCATTCAAAGATGAAGGAAATGCTTCTTATAAATAGCACTTGTCTTATAATTATTTGCCACTTGGAAAAATACTCGCATTTTTAATCATCCCTTAAAAAAATGAGAATGTAATATATTTTAATTTACATTTTATGTTCAATTATTTCTTAACAATTTAATTTTTTTAAATAACAAATAAAATTTACTTAACAAACTTTAAAAAAGTTGCTCAACTAATTAATTATAAATATAAATAATTAAAAATTAATTACTCTAATTTTTATTAAAAAGGTTTTATTTTAATTTTTTATTATTTTAATTAGTTTTTACTTTTGTCATAATTTTCATTTTTCATTTATTAATTACATCGGGGTTGTGATTTAAATAAATAGATAATTAAAATTATTATTATTAACTAATTATCTTTTAAACTTCTGGTTACTAATTAAATATTTTCCCATTTTTTTTATTTTTTAAATTTATTTATTATTGAAAATAATTGAAAAATTATTGAAAAAAAAATCATTAAATGATTTAAAGTGAAAAAATTATAATTGCTTACACTTCGCCTAAAATACTTATTTTTTCGTTATAAATTTCCTTTTGATTAAAAAGTACAAAAAAAAATTATTTTCCTCTAAAACTTTTCCTTTTGATTTTACAATTCGTCAAATTTTTTCTTGAAAAAATGATAAAAAAAAAGTTTTTATGAAAAATACGGTTTTTTTTCAACACTCGCATTTCCCTTTTATTCGCACAAATGATAAAGAATCCTGTAATTATTTATTAATAGAATAACTGACAAATTTGTGATGATTCACATAAAATGAAAGGCATCAAATCTTAATAAAGGATCAGAAAATTGTTTAAAGGAAGAGAAAAAAAATAAATTTTTTTTCCTGACGTGAAATTATGAAGGGTATTTGACCTCAAGCTAAAATCGATATGATATTTACGTGATTCCATCTCTTTCTCTTCAAAATTTTTTTTTTGTTTATCAAAAAAAGAGAGCAAAAATTTCTATTCTACTTTATATGTGAAGCTTATAGTTTAATATAGAGTACACATTTATTCTTGATAAGGTTTTTTAAAAGTATGTACTTGTGGGTATAATTAGAATATAAGATTATTGTTGATGGAGCGCTGAGAACATTAAACATTTTATTACTATTTTTTGTAACAAACGAGAACAAGATTCATATCATATTCTACACGAAGAAGTTTTGAAGATTCAATAAAACGGTCAACAGTTTCGTAAGAATTATGATATTTGCATTGGCACGCACGTTTTACGCGAATTGTAATATTTCAAAAGGGTGTTGAAAATGCGAAGGTATCATACATACATTTGTTCTTATTTCAATTTCGATGATTAATTTTTGTAAATTTTCTTTTCAAAAATTGGTATAATAAATATTTCTGCAAAAATTAATTTACAAGTGCTTCTAATTGTATTTTTCTTTTTTTTATTATTTTATTAATATTTAAATTCGAGTGTAAATAAAAAAAATTATGAATACAATAATGAACGCTTAAATAACGATTAAAATGAGTTAACGTTAAACATTAACGTTAACGTTAAAAAAAATGTTGAATATAGCTTTTAAGAAATTGAAAAATTAAGAAAAGTATGAAAATCAATATTTTTTTATGTATCTAACAGAAAACTTGACTTGACTCTTCTATTAGGTGTCACTTTTTTGTCATAATTTTATTAGCTTTTAGGAAAAAAATAGAGAAAATTTGTATTCTTTTTCTTTTCTGCGCCTAACGTTTTTTACACTATAAATGAAAAATGGGTGTCTTATTCAATTATGGACCGTAGTCTACTTATTTATATTTATTTATTTATTTATTTATTAATAAACGGCTTTGCAAAAAAATTAAAAAATGCCCTTTGTTTACTCTCTTTATTTAATTATTTATATATTTTTACTTTTTTACTTATTTATTTTCTAATAAAAGAGTTTACAAAAGATCAATGATAGTTTAAATTTACGTTTTAAATATCTAAGAGTACAATGTGTTTTCTGTGAAATATAGAAATATAATGGATTCTTGCCCTCATTGTCAGACACGCAAAAAAGTTGATTAACAATTTATTTCAGATCTACATAATGATGACCGAAAAACGAGAAAAGAATAATTCTTGTCAAGTGATAGATATATATAGATATTATTATTATAAATTAATTATTTATTTAGGTATTTAAATTTTATGACTTTCTTTTTAATTGAATTATTTATTAACAAATCTAGTAACAAATTACAAAACTTTAAATTTTTAGAAACTAATTAGATAACTTAAAAAACTAATTAAAGAATTTGTAATACTAATTAAAAAACTTATTGATTAATTAAGTTATCAACAAATTAGACAAATTTCTAATTAATCAAACAACTTATCTTCATTTTTCAATTTATATTCATTTATATTCTTAAATAAAAATCTTTACCTTTAGCGGGATTCGAACGCAGACGAATTTACGCTTTTCAATGCTTCAACGACTACGACCAAGACACTTTTAATTTCCATCCTATTTAATTTGAAAAATTTATTTAATAATAAAAATAAATAATGCTATGATTAGTATAAGTTAAAAAGCCTAATAAGTACAGAAATCAAAATAATTATCGTAAAAATAATTTGTTTAAAAAGTACAATTAAAATTTGAATGAAAATATTGAATTTAGAATTTCACTTTGTTTTCAATCGCTATATAATATGAAAACATTCAAGTAAAATTGTGTCGACAATAATTGCGGATAAGATATTTGTGTATACATTTATTGAAAATAAAATTAAAAAAAAAGAATAAAATCAAGAAGAAAAAACAAAAATTCATTGTATTATCACCAAGAAGATTTGCGAAGATGCGCAAATTGTTGCGCGGTGACCCACAATATTATCAGCAATGTTCTCTCTATAAACAAAACCGCTAGGACCTCGTGTTTTTGATCAGTGAGGCGGCAACTGTCTTATTGGAAATATTCTCCACATTTTTTTCCAATTCTATCAATTCCGCAGTCATTTCCCTCCAAAAAAAAAGAAAGAGAGAAAATAAAATAAAAAATCATCAATTTTCATCAAATAAAAATTTTAATACAACGGGTACAAAAAATTTAAAAAACTAAATGTATTTTCATTCAACAATAAACTTTTGAGAAGAAAAAGTTTCTACAAAAAGTGATTGTGTTACATTTAGTTAATCAAAAAAAAAAAACTCTTTCAAGTTTTCGATTTTTGTATTTACCACTCATCAAAAAGTGATTGAGAAAATTATTTTGTATTCCAGTGATTTTTATTTGTGATTTTGATCTGCATCAGTGTATTTTTTGTATAATTGAGAACTATAATCATCGAAAAATTACTTCTGGCCACAGGTATAAAATAGCAGAAAAGGGATTTTGACAATGTTGCCAGATTGAGAATAATATGCCCGAGAAAAAAAACAAAGAAATAAATGTTCAAGATATCAAAAGAAGTTTAAACCCAAAAATAAACCGGTTCATTGAGAAAAAAAGATTTTTATCTTCAAAGGACTTTCATATCAACAAAAATAAAACAAAAATACTCTCATAATATTTTGTTTTATCAAAAAAATAAAAATCTTGAGCAATTCCAAAAAAGAACTAAACAATTCCAAAAGAACTAAACAATTCTGAAAAAACTAAACAATTCCAAAAAAACTAAACAATTGTGAAAAAAAATTTGTAAATTCTTTTCGCATATTTATTTTGCAAATATGATCTTCTCTCTAAACTTTCCTCAATTCTCTGTTGAATAATAAAAATCCACTTCCTGTACAGAAATTTAATGAATTATTTAATTTTGAAATGAATTCAACACACCTATGTTTTATCGTCAATAAAAAATTTCTTCAACTCTAGCAACTAAATAAAAAAAATTCTTAATCAGTTTTACGTTTTTATCACACAAAGATAATGGAATTAGAAGAACGAGAATTTTCTCCTAATTATCAATGTATCATCAATGACGAATATTCGTGATAACGTAAAGGTTTTTAAAATAGTTTATAAAAAATAAGAAAGAATTTCAGTGAAATTAAATGTTTGCGTAGAGAGAAAAAATGAAGATATATTTTAATTGGAGTGTATGAGGAAAGAAAAGAAAACTTATTTTCGACAATAAGTTATCGATTGACATTAATTGGTTGAATGAAATAGGGGTAATAAGAAGGAAAGAAAGAGAGGGCAAAGTCATGGAATATACAACAACATTTGATCATTTAAGCATGATAAACGCTACAAATGATAAAACTGTGCCCCATGTGAGTTTGGCTGCACAAATTTTGCTGACTATGGTATACATTGCGGGTGTTGTTGGCAATGTTTCGGCACTAACAATACTTTTTCATGAAGACAAGGTTAGTAGTAATTTACTAATAAATAATTAAACAAACTGTAAATAAATAATTATAAATAATTGTAAATTTATAATTTATAAATTAGTACTTGTATAAATAAAAAAATAAGTAATTGTAAATTAGTCATCATTGTATAATGGTATTTGTAAATTAATGATTATAAATAAATAAAAAATTATAAATATGTTATAAACAATTATAAATAAATACTTGAAAATAATAAGTAATTATAAATAGATAACTACAAATAATTAATAATAAGTAATTATAAACTCTTTACATTTGAATTATAGTTAAAATTTAAAAATAACTAATCGTTAGTAAAATATTGACTGACTTTTTGTAAAAAAGTAAAACTTTTATTTAATGAAAAATAAGTTATTATAAGTAGCAGAAAATAATTGATTATTAGTATAAATGAACAATGTTGAAAAAAGTCAAATTTTACCAATTATTACAGGGTTGCTGCAGGTCAGGAAAGTCACTATCTAAATTTGAATCAGTTAAAAATAATTGAATCAGAAGCAAAAAGTCAGTCACTGATTGTCAGTTAAAACTATGATTTTTACCTGATTTTTCATTTCTGACAATAATTTCTTCTTAAATAACTTCATTCCTAATTCTTGAAAAACTATTATAAAATTATTACTTGAAAATTATTTAATGAATAATTTTACTTCAATATTTCAAAATTAATTGAACTTTAGAATATAAATAAATAAATAGATGAACTTTAAAAGGTTTTAATTTAAAATTTTATAAAATTTCAATTTTGAATGAATTTTATTAGAAATTTTAAAGAATTTAGATTATTGAAAAATTTTAATAATTCTAATTCTTCTGAAATTATAGTTAAATTCTCTTAAATTTATTTAGTTAATTATTCAAAATAATGGATTTATAGAAGAATTTAATAAAAAACACTAAAAAAAAATTAAATTCTGCAGAAGTTGCGCAAATTATTGCAAAAATTCAATTATTTTCAAAAGTAGTAAAATTCTTCGCAGCAAAAAATTTTAATAAAATCCTTGACAAAATTTCAATTATCTTTATAAATAATAAAATTCATCCCCGAAATTCAATTATTTTCAAAAATTTTAATAAAACTCTAGGCAAACTTTCAATTATTTTTAAAAATAATATAATTCTTTGCAGAAATTCAATTATGTTCAAAAATTTTTTTAATTTCTGGTTACAATTTAAAATTTTAAATAATAAAATTCTCCGAAATTCAATTATTCTAAAAAATTTTAATAAAATTCTTAGAGAAATTACAATTATTTTCAAAAATAATAAAATTCTTCGCAAAAATTCAATACAAAAATTTTAAAAAATTCTCGTCACAATTTAAATTGTCTTTATAAATAATAAGATTCTTCGAAATTCAATTATTTTTAAAAATAATAATATTCTTCGCAAAAATTAAATTATGTTAGAAATTTTTTTAAAAAATTTTTGTTAAAATTCCAATTATCCTTATAAATAATAAAATTCTTTCCCAAAATTCTATTATTTTCAAAAATTTTCCTCAATTCAATGATTTTCAATAAATAATTAAAATTTTACAGGAATTCAATTATTTACAAATTTTTTATAAACTTCTTTGCAATAATTCCATTATTTTCATGAAGAATTACATTTTTACAAGGAATTCAATTATTTTCCAAAATAATAAAATTCTTTTTAGAAATTCAATTTTTTTTATAAATAATAACTGTTTGCAAAATTTTAATTATTTTTAAAACAATTTCAATCAAATACCTCGAAAAATGTAATTATTCTTAAAAATTTTATTAAAATTTGTGGAAAGAATTCAATTATTTAAAAATTTGTTGATAACATTCTTTATGAGAATTCAATTTTAAGAAACAATGAATTATTAAAAAAATTATTTATTTTTCTATTTAAATAATTAAATTCTCGTAGAAGTATCTCATGAAAATTGATTTAAAAATTAATTTTAGTTTAAATAAGATAATAATAAGATAATAATTCAATATTAAAATTATAGCGAGAATTTTTAGAAATAATTGAATTTTGAAAAGCGTTTCAAATTAAAATCTTTGACAATCTGAATTTTTCATTCAACTATCAATTCTGTAGAATTAATTTTTTTGAAAAAGTTTATAGAATTTTTTTTTCAAATTATTTCAAATTTTTATTTTCTAATATATATTTAATTGAAGAATTTTCGAATAATCGAAATTTTGTACAATTGAATTATAATCAAATGAATTTTAAAATTGTGAAAGAACTTTTTCAAAAATTATTAAAAATAATTTAAAGAAGAATTGTTGTTAAAAATTCTAGGAAATAATAATTGAATTAAAAAAATGAAAATAATTTTGAAAGGTACAGCAACAATATTTTTATAATATAAAATAATGATTTTATCAATCTGTCATCTTTAATTTATTATATTATAAAACACGAAGAAATTAATTTAATTAGAATTAAATCGAAGTGCATAGAGTAGAATTAGTATTAAATCGAATTATTTGGAATTTTTAATTAAAAATTAGAATTGAATCGAATTAAATATGAATTAAGTAAAATTAGTATTAAATCGAAGAATATATTTAGAATTAGTTATAAAAACCGAAATTTTATCTATTTTTAAATCCATTTCGCTCGAATTCCATTATTTCAATAGTGCAAATAGTAGTCAATAAACATATTTTTTTCTTTTTACTATTATTGACTAGTTTTTATTAATATTTACTAAATGATTCAGAAGGTATTTATATTTTCTTTTCCTAAGAGAAAATCTATTTTCTCAACAATCGTTTTTTCCTTCTTTTTTGTATACAAACAATATACCGCATGCGTATATTATTTTTGTGGGGAAAAAATGCTCTTTGGCACGTTTCGTAAAGTGTCATTTTTTACAAGTCCATTAATTTTAATTTGAATAATTGCCTGGTTTTGTTTCTTTATTAAAAGAAGACAGTGACGAATACTGTCTATAAGATATATGTTTTTTAATGGTTCATTGAACAATAAACGAGGACGAATTTAGATTAGGGCGAATTTGATGTGAAATATAATCAATAATGGAAATTAAATATTAACGGGTGCAACACAACAAAGTGTGTCTAATGCGTGTTAAATTTTATCAAGATGACAATTAATCGGCTATCAAAAGGATAATATCAAAGTTTTATGGAAAAAAATTTCTTTTGTTTTGAATTAATTGAATTAAAATAAAATAGGAAATAGAATAAATGAATAAAAGCTCAGGGAAAAGTTTGATTGAAACAAATAAATTTTGATTAAATAAACCAAAATATGCATTGCACTGAAAAAAAATTTTAAATATTTTTTTTCAGAGAAGAAATCCAAAGCATCTTTTGATGCTTCGGTGTCTCGCTACTAACGATTTGGTGGCATTATTGGGAATGTTGATGCAAATGTACATGACAATTTATGTTAATGACATGCAAACATCTCAGGTGGCTTGTTCATTTCGTGTGATTTGGAGACTTTTTGGACTTTTTAGTGGATGTGTTGCCATTGTTATGGCAGCAGAAAGATGGCTTGCCCTAACCAGACCCTTCGTCTATCAAAAGGTACGATAATTTTACGATTATTCTTCATTAAATTCTATATTAAAATTTTTATTTTGTATTAATTTTAATTTAGTACCTAAATTAAAAGAAATTCATTAAGTTTAATTAAGTTTATTAATATTTGGATATTTACGAACTTATTGGTTTTATTAATCAATTTATTTTATCAAACTGATTTTTCTTAATTCATAGTAAATAAATTTATAAAATTACTGAAAAGAAATTAACAATTAATTTCCTTTTAATAATTTAATTTATTTATTTACTATGAATTAAAGGAAATTTTAATTTCAAGAAGCATGTCAAATATAAAAATAAAAAGAAAAAAGAAATGATAATAAATAAATAAATCAGTCTGAGAGACGCTAAAAGATGATTGCAAAGAAATTTCACGGCAAAACTGTATATATATAAAAGAAAATGAAAATATTTGTAAGGTTGAAAATAGTAAAGCAAAGGGTTTATGGGAAAAGTCGTTTTGAGTGAAATCAAATATTACTAAAAAATGAATCAGCAAAAACGCGACTTTATCACCTAGACAGAAGATTCCTGCGAGGAAATTAATTAAATCAACAGTGAAAATTTCTTGTACAAATATAACTCCATTGTCAGTATTTGAAAGCGAACATTTTACTATTCTAGATGTCAAATTCCATCAAAAAACATTATTGTTATTTTTATTATTATAATTGTAATAATTAAATTTTAATTTTAATTTAATAATTAAATTTAAATAATTGCAATTTAATAATTAAATTGTAATAATTGTTATTATTATTATTATCATTTATAATGAAAATAAAAACAATTTAAATTATAAATAAATACTGATTCTATTTATAGTAAAAATGACAATATATACATATAGAGAGAATTAGATTGAAAAAATGCAATCTATACTTGATACTGTCTAATATGTATCAAATGAATGAAATAAAACCTGAAAATGAAAATAGCACAGAAAATATAGTATTAGTTCAATTTTGTCTCATTGTGATGTCTGAGGACACTAATTACCTCAGCATGAACATATCAGACAATATATTAATGATAGATGGATATAAAGAGTTAATTTAGAAAATTGGATCCATATTGGCCTGAAACTATATATATTTATAATATGTACATAAATTGAAATCTCGATTTTTTACCATTGTGTGTGTATTAAAACATCATCATTATCATAAATTATACAGAAACATTCAGAATTTGAATAAATAAAATTAATTGTAGGGTATTTTTTATCAGTGGAATTTATTGCCAATTAAGAAGACAATTATTTTTTTTATTATTAATTACTATTATAATAATTATAATAATTAGACATTTATATTAGCATATTTATTATAAATTTATAGTTTTGTTTATTATTATAAAATTAGAAATTACTACTTTTGCGAATTAATATTAATTAATTTAAATAGATTTGAATAATTAACAATAGTTATAATATCAATTTATACCAAACATATTTTTATTAATTATTAATTCTTGATAAAAATATTAAGCAAGTATTTAAATTTTCGATATCTTGAGCTAGAGCATCAATATTATATATATACAAGAGGAAAAAATGAAAAAAAAATGTCTCGGTCAATTTTTTATTCTTTAAAATTAGTCACTATTAAGAAATGATCTGACATTGAAGATACTTTTAAATTTCTTCTTTGAAGAAAAAAAAAGAATAGTAATTGAAAATTCAAGTTTAAGAATCATTATGAAATTCCTTTTTTCTCTTCAATTATTCTAAATTAAAGAAAAAAAATACAATTAATTTTTTTTATAAAATTTTCAACACTATTATGAGAGAAAAGAGAGAGAGAAAAAGAATAAATTTTTTAACAATACAAAATTGCTTCAATTTATAATACGGAGGATTATTTTTCATTTCCAGAAAGAAAAATAAAATATTTCTCTGCGTTTTCTTTTTTTAAAACTGCAAACAGGAAACTACTATTTTATTGGTTTTTATTGCAACTAGACGCATTATTTATTTTTTTTTTTAAAGAGAAAAAAAATATTGCATGAGATGCGTGAATTTTGTCATTGATTTCAAAAAGTGATGATAATAATAATAATAATTATTATTATTATTATTATTATTAAAAAAAATATAGAATAAATAATTATAATGAATACAATTTTAATTAAAAAATCGAATCAGTTTTTTCTAATATTTAATAACTAAAAAATTTTTTATAATAAAAAATCATTAAAAGAAACAAAAAAAGTAATAAAAAATCTCTTAGGCTTTTTTTGTTACAAAATAATTAAAAAAAACAGCTTAAACAAAATAAATTTATTTATTATCTACGAGAGTTTCAAAATAAAAACTTTTAAATAAATTTTGTCAAATCTTGAAAAAATGTTTCAGTATCGTCATTGAAAATTCACACATCGTATATATTATATGAGGAAAAATGTAAATTGAATTTTTATTTTCTGAATAAAAAAATCACGAACACAGAAAAAAGTGTTATTTTTCAATCAAAATGTGTTATTTTGCAATCTACCTGATACATTGTTTTAAGAATTTAGAATCGCAGACTGGATTTTTTTTATCATAAGTTCATAGGTCAGTAGCAGACAATTCTGTACACTAATAATCTTGACCTCATGCGTCAGTTATCTCACGTTTAAAATACGTAAGTTGTCTCCTACATTTAATCTTTTCGGAGCTCTCTCTCTCTCCCAATTTCCTTTTTTTCTTTTAATAATACAAATAACAATTTTACTTAATCAAAAATTATTAGCTGAAAAAAAATATATATATATATACAAAAAAATATGATTAAAGTAATTTAATTTCAACTTTTATATATTTTACTGCGAGGAAATTAAAAAAAACAATAAAAAATTATTTTTAGTCTTTTTATTATTGTCTTGTTCGTTAAATGTTATAAAATCTATATTATATTCTCTTGCGTGAGTGGTGTATTTATATGATAATTATTTTACGACATCTTTCAACGCCATTGATAATAAAAATTTTTTTTATTATACTTTTAAGTTTTTTTGGGGGAAAATAAATAATTGCAAATAGAAACGAAGGAAAATAATGGACAAATATTTAGTTTATATTAGTTTTTTTGTTTGTCTTTTTTATAAATTTTTATTATAAAGTAATATATATTTAATTATAATAATTATTTAATGTGTTATTAAAAATAATTATTTATTTGTCTTGAATCTTTCTGACGTCATCATAGTTTGAGAAAACGTCCTTTGCACAATGTGTGTCGTCTTAATAATACAAATGCCCTTTATTTTATTTCTATTTATTTTAATTTCAATATAAAATAGTAAACATTATTTTAAAAATAGAAAATTTAGTTATTTTTCTTCTATAGAAAAAATCTATTTTTATTTTAGAATCGCAATTTTCACTGTGTCAAATATTTATCCAAAGCATTTTCTCACTTTCCTTTATTTTCACATATAACACGAGAGGAAAAAGTTGATTCATTGACTTATACCTTCGAACTAAAGATGAGAAATGGACTTTTTGACACGAAAAACTTGTAATTGAATATAATTTTTCTTACTTGATTCAATTTTCGATTTTCTAAAAATATTTCTCCTAAATAGCAAAATTATATTTCTGTAATTTTATTCACAATAAAAATTTTACTAATTTATTTATTAACATTTTTGAAGTATATTTCTAATTTTTAATAAATACGTGCAATTTTTTTCGATTTTTGCAAATTTTTGTTTGGTCAATTCGCAATTTTTTTTGGTAAAAATTTTACGAGTGTACAAATTTAATGGAAAGCAATTATTAGTGTAATTAAAATAAAAATAATTTTTGTATATTCAATGTAAAGTAGAACAAATACCAAAAATTGTACAAGTTTGAAATTAGAATCAAGGATATCCTAAAAATAAAATTTTATTTACATAAAGACATCATCTGTCAATGTAAAAATATATATATATTCGTGAAAACTAATGAAATTTACCGGGAATAAATGTCATATTGTTAAGTGCATCATTAGTATATTTGAAAAGGAGATAAATTTTTTTTGTTTTTATTTTTCTTATAAATTAGAAAATGAGGAAAATTTCATTAAATGCGCAGCAAAAATATTTGACTAATAAAATCATATTTTTTTTAGGAAGCTTTTTTTCAATCACTTACCGAAAATATTTCATTAAAAAAATTAAAATCCCTAGAGTTTCTTTCATTATAATATTTATATTATAAAGAAAATTTTTTTCGATTTTTGAAAGTTGATAGAAATAATTAAAAAAAATAATTTTTTTATTTATTTGGAAAAAGTTCCTAAAGCTAAAATTGTAAAAATTGCAAAAAAATTGACTTTCCTTTGATTATTTTCAAATTTAAAAATAATTTAAGGCAGTAAATTTTACTGTTTTTTTTCTATTTTAATCTTACAAAAAATTGAACAAAACGAGAATAATTTTTATTTTTTAGATTACAATTTCCTAGGTCTAATATTTCATTTCACCCTCAATTTAAAAGCAGTTGTTATCCCTTAAGTATGCATAAATGTCAAAAAATAAAAAATTTTCCCTTTTTTTTCAATCTTGAAAGATATTTATTGCTGTGAACAAAAATTTGTTAGAAATTTAGAAACAAAAAGTATATCATTAATCTTCTTCTCTTTTATCCCATTTATATTATGTTAGACGAATTTTCTCAATAATTTATTTTATATTATTTTTTGTTTCGTTTCCTTAAATTTTTTGTCGAATTTTTCTTTTTTTTTTTCTCTTTCCAAAATAGAAGACAATTCTTTCGAAATCGATCCTTTTATTTCAGGAAATTATTGCCCTGAGTTCCGTTTGTATTTAGGGCTATAAAAAATCGTCTATTCGGCAAAATCGATGACTTAATGTACATTATTGCTGAATGGAGCTGGGTTATCTTTGAAAGAAGACAATAAAGTTTTACTATATATAGAGACTCTATGGGAATTAGATAATAATAAAGTATAATTTGTGAGATTTCACAAAATTAAGGAAAAATTTTTAATTTATTGAATTCTTTCATTGTAATTAGGGGTCATTCGTATATTACTTTATTCTTTTTCCCCTCCCCCAAAAATTAGCGTTTTAATTTAATTAATTGAATTAAATATTTATATAAAATCGAAAAAATGTAATTAATCAAAAATGGACAATAATAATTAATTAATTACCGAAAATAATAATGTGAATTTTTTTTAGCACGTGACATTCCCGGTGATTGTGAGATTTATGTTGATCCTCTGGCTGGGGGCAGCGGTACTGACAACACTGCCACTTTTTGGATTTGGTCTTTATTATCAAAATGGAAAATGCCGTCGATATAGAGAAGCGGAAGAAACTGGTGACATTGCGTACGCGTACATTTGGTTCATATGTGGTTTGTAAATAAATTTTTATCAAAAAATTAAAATTAATAAAAAAGTTAGCTCCAAAAAAATGCAAATTGTAATAAAAGATAAAATTCTGATGAATTCTCTATTTTTTTTATTAATTATTTTTTGTTATAAAGAATAAATACTTTTTTTGGAAAAAATAATGAATTTCTCCTTTTTTTTCTTTTTCTTTAGGCACTCTTCTCTGCTTTTTCATTGTGTGGTGTAATTTGGCAGTTTCCCGAGCACTCAATCGAATGGGACGTCGAACAGGAAATATAAGACGTATTTGTCGGTCTTCATCGAGAATAAAACCACTTTTAACGGTCACTGGTAAAACACAAGAGGTAGTTGCGACAGCTGAAGAACGAGCATTTTCCCGTCTTATGGCAGTTTTATCAATTTCATTCGTTGTTTTCTGGATGCCACAAATGGTGAGATTTTATTTGAATTATGTGGTCAATTTATTCACGAATCATTTCTAATTTTAGTAAATTTTACAAATTAAATTACAAATCAATTTAAAAATTGAATTTTAGAAAAATATTTCTATTAAATTGACGAAAATTTAATTTTCAATAGGAAAAGAAATTAAATACAAAATTTTTATACATTTTATACATTTTTGGATTTTTTTATACATTTTATTCAAAAATTAGTCGATTTCGAGTGAGAATGGAAAATAGATATTTTTTTTAAATATCGAAAATACGTAAAAATTTAAAAGAAATGTATTCCTGTGGTCTATATATAGTAATTTTTATCACGTACAGTGAAGTATAATTTTCATATATTCAAGAGGGAAAAACTGGGGATTCCGCCTCGAAAGATCTTCCCAAAGCGATAATTTTTCTTCCGCAGTATAATATAAAATTATAACTGGTCCATTAGAGGCGAAATGTTATCATTTTCCGTTTCAATTCAATGGTTTCATAAAGTTCGGGAAATGAAATAGAAACTTCATTTTTTTTTCTTTTTTCTAAATAAATAATTTAAATCGTACATTTTTTTTCAAGGATATACTCATATTTCCCATGTCGAGCTATAAATATATGAAGTTACTGATAAAAGATTCCCTTGAGATGAGGCACAATTTACAATTTTTTCCATATATTTTATGTGTATACTTATTAAAAGTATCGTTAAAAAATTTTTAATGCTAATTTTCTTCAAGTTCCAAGATTTATTTTTCATTTTTGAAACTATTTATTTGGTATATTATTTATTATTTAATTTTTTAAAGGGGATATTTTTTTATGTCATGTAAAAAATTTATTTTGTATTTTTAGATACAGAATTATTCATTTTTGTTTTCTAAATACACCATTTTTAGATTTTCTTCTTTATAAATACACTATTATTAATTTTCTAATGTAACAATTTTTTAATCGTATATAGAAATAATTTTGAACGAGTATTTATTTGTTACTTTATTTTGATTTAAAATTTTTATATCAAAATATTTGTACTATTTTTCATTTTATTTTTATTTTTTATTTTATTATCATTTTTCATTATTTTTATTTTTTTACTATTTTATTATAGAACAAATTCAATGTATTTCTTTATTCCATACATACCTGAAAGTCTTTTATATTATTGTTCCCTGACGATTGAAAAAAAACTAAGAGAAAAAAGTCTTTTTCTCCTTTTTGGTTTTTTCTTCTTAAAAAAAATATTGTTCATAACTAATATCCAGTCAATCAAAATTTATAGTCTGGACTTTCGCTTTTACGAAGCAAACAAAAAAATAAGAATACCCTTAGGTCAAGTGTATTATATCTAGAAGAAAATACAATTGTCGTGGCTTGTTCCATTTTCGCGTTTTTTGCTTTCTTCCTCTCTTTCTTTCCTTATTTTGTACGTCTGGAAAGAAATCTTCGAAATTTCACAAAAGTTCCATACTCGACTTATGTCACGTAGTCAAATTAAATTTGTAATTTTTTTTTAATTCGAATTAAAAAAAAAGAAAATAGGAGAAAAAATAATCAGTTAATTATTATCCGGCAATTAAATTTATTTTTCAGAAAGAATTTACTAAATATCTATTTACTGATTCCTCATAGTGTTAATTTAAATACAGAAAGGCAAAAATAACAAAATCTTTTACTTTTGAGTCAAAAATTTGCTGGAAGTTCCTTTGATTAATTTTGATGAATTGAATATAAAAAAAAAAAAGAATGAGCGGAATACAAAAGTTGAATGTCAATTCTCTTTTATCGCGAGAGTAATATTTCGCGTTGGAACAATGCCCCAGAGGGGAATGTCGTTGATGATGTGCATGTAAGTTTTTATGATGCTTGAATTGCACCGGGTGACAATGACAATGAACCGATAAACATAAAAAAGGACTCTTTAATCATTCGCTCTGTTGATTTAATAAAAGACACTCCAAGGTTTTTTTGATTTGAGATTAATATTTGTATACTGTATTCGTGTGTACTGTATTTCTATATACTGTATTTGTATAATTTATTAACATTTCATTACAATAGATATTAATTATTAATTTTTTAATATATACAGAATGTATGATAATTATTCATTTTTCAATAATACAGACATTAATTATTAATTCGTCAATATACAGAATTAATAATTAATTTTATAGAGATGATTTATTTGTTTATTATTAAACGTGTGATTTTATAATTTCTTCTTTTACTAATTTTCACCAATTTATTACAGATATCAATTCCATTGACGCAATATGAGCATACAATGAATGACGATGGAAAAATTGTACACAGAATTTTTCGTATATTTTATGGAATTGCTGATATACTTTTGTGCGTCCACTTTACTCTGGATCCATATATTTACGTAATATTGAGAAGGCGACATCCGCATTTTGGCTTTTTCAAGCCATTGTGCCGTATTTGTTGGACACCAAGAAGTAGATCGAATTCATTGACAGGTAATAATGTTTTTATTGTTGTTTTCGTTCATCCTTCGATTATCAATTTTTCTATGTTTCAAATTACCTAATTAGCATTTTAATTTTAAATTAACACAATTCTTTTATTTCTTAATTTATTATTACTTGGTTTCTTTTTAATTGGCTGCTTAGAAATTCATCTAATATGATTATTTCGTTTTCGACTATTTTTTTGAATTAATTATTTAATTATTAATTTTTGAATTCATTTTTAATTGATTAATTGACCTTTATTGCGATAAATGTTAAATTTTTTTTATGCTTTTACTAATGAAATCAATTTAAATTTTTATAGTTCTATTTGTTCCGGAAATTCTGAACGTTCAATTGAATGAAATTTATTTATTTCTTCTTGAAACTAAAATTTCATTATAATAATTTTGCGTCACGTGTAAAAAAATAAATTATAAATTCAAGGCTGCCACAAATCAGGGAATTAAGGGAAAAATCAGGAAAAAAGAAAATGCGGTCTGGGAAATTAGGAAAATGTCAGTAAATTTCATCAAAAGTACTGGGAAAAATTCAAAATTAAAATACTTCTAAGATTTCAATTGAAGTGACGAAAATTTATAATAATTCAATATCAACTTAAAAAATTATTTAAGTTTTGAATAGTTGTTTCTTTTAAATTAATTTTAAATAATTAAATGTCGAAAAAATTAGATTTCTGAGAAATTTTTAATCAATGTTTGAAAATACTTGCATTTTTCCAAATATTTTATTAATAAGTATTTGTCAAATTAATTTAAATTTTGTGAATTCATTAATTTAAATTTTAATTGAAAATAATTTTTGGTAAAGAATTTCATTGGAGATTAAAAATGTAATTTTTAAAGAATTTTAATTAAATAATTGGTCTATAATTGAATTTTTATAATGAAATAAAAGAGTAAAAATTGAATGTATTCATATGTTTGTTAGTGTATAAAGCAACATTAAAGAGTCGAAATTGAATCTAAAATCATTTAATTTCGAAAAAGTTACAATAAAAATTTTTAATAATTAGTGAATTTTAAGAAAATTTAAAATCAAAATTTTCTCTAAAAATTAAAGATTTGCAAAAAATTTAAATTCTCAAAAATTAGTTTTCAAAATATTTTAATTCTAGTTTTCTCAAAGAATTTTTATAAATTTAGAACCTCTGAAATACTTAAAATTTCCCAAACTTATACCAAAAATATTATTCAACTTTTTAAGAATTTTATTGAAATTTTTATAGAAATATTCGAGGGAAGTTTTTTATAGTTTGAAATCATGTGTTTGTTTTATAATAATCTTCTCTTTTTATAATTAAACTCCTCTTAAATTTTTCCTTTTCATACGTATCAGGAAAAAAATAAAAATTCTGTCTGGAAAGCAGAGAAAAACAAAATCAAATTTTTGTGGTAATCCTGAAATTTTAGTAAATAACAAATATTATTATATAAAGTGAAAAATTTTTGCAAATATTTGTAATGAAAAATATTTCGTTCATTTGAACGTTCAAAACTTGTGGATCACTATTTCTATCCCTTTTTTGATGAAAGGGAAAAAAAGGAAATTATATTATGTATAAACTGTGTAATTTTATATAATAAAAAATGCTAATAAATAAAATTCTAAATTAATAAACAAATGGCTGTAATTAATATTAATTTACTTTTCAATTTCGTTAATTTCTTTATTTTTTAATTTTAATTTTCATTAATTTTAAAAAAATTTATTTTTCAACAACTAACCAATGTTGAGATTATTAAAATTTTTAAATTGATTTAGGAACAACTGAGAATCATTGTAGTAGTGCTGATTTGCCAACACCTATTACTGAGGCTCCATCAACACCAGTCAGTGAGGTTCATGAACCTCAATTAGTTTCTGTTGCTGTATAAATCATAATTAAGTGGGAAAAAGAAATTATATTAATTCTAGGTGAATTAGATGTACAATATTTTGATCCTGACAAATGGAAACATCAATTTATTATTTCTTTTATTACTGGTACTATTGGTATTATATACTTAATACTATTAATATTTCTATTTATACTATTATTAGTATAGTTAGGAATTTTTCGAAAAGTAGAAAATATAATTTAATCTTTTTCATCACTTTTTTTTCATCTGCAGTTGACTGGGAAATTTTGTAATTATATACAAATACGCAGATGAAAAAACAAGTATTTAAAAGAAATTGTAAAAAAGGGATTTTCAAAAAGATTCCAAAAAAGATTTTTTAAATTAGATTTTTTATAATTTCTACACAAATTTTTTTTAAATTAAATTTAAAAAAAAATTTTTATGGAATTTACGTAAAAAAGAATTTAATTCTTATAAAAAAAAATATTGTCAGTTATATGATTTGAAAAATGAAGTATTTGTCGAAATATGAGAATTTTACTGCAAGCAGGAAGAGAGGAGTTAATAAGACACGAAATAGAGTTAATAAGTTCAGAAGAAGTTATTGGAATAGTTGTCAGAAACTAAAGTCCTTACTTAATTACTTCAACGAAAACTAAATACTCTTATTAGATTCTCTTCTAATCTGTCTTCGAAACAAACAAGATCCTTATGGATTTTTTATTACAAGACCTAATCATCATAAATAATATTTATATATATTTTAATTTAGTTTCGATAAATTCTGTAATATTAAGAGAAAAAAGTTTGTAAGAAGAAAAGTATATTTTGATAAACTGATATGAAACTTATTTTAGGGGTTTGAAAGTGTCAAACGAATTTTTTTAAAAATTAAATTAGATTTTTTCTTAATTGGTCGATAACATATTGATCGATGTTCATCTTTAAAAATTAAAAAAAAATTTCTACTTCTATTGTAAATAATTAAGTTACTTATATACAAAAAATGACAACAATATTTTTTTAAATTTCTATTTTCAACGTATTTATTATGTGAATGATAAAATTTTCTCTTGATATTAACGTATTATTATTCTTATTCTTATTATTATTTTTATTATTATATATTACCATTATTAATATTATTTCTATTATTTAATATCAAGTGGAAAGTTAAATTCTAGAATTTGTGATCTAAAAATTGAGATTATAAGGTGCAAAGACTTTGTAACACATTCCATCGAATAGTTTATAATTTACAGTTATCTATAAAAAAAAAGAAAAAAAATTAATCTATTTAAAATGGATCGAAAAACTCCGATCATTTGTTTTTTGCAAGTGAGAGTGACGTTTTTGTTTTAAAATTTCTAAAATTAATATTTAAAAAAATTTTAGTTAAAGAGAATTTTTAATCAAAAAATATATCTCATTCTTCAATTAAATATTAGAATTAATTTAAATTAAATTAATAAATTTAAACTCACAGTCAACATGTTGCGATTGTAATTTTTTACTCTATTATCATTTTCACAAGTATAATTAAGAAAACTGCAAGTTTCTTCTTTTCTTATTCCAAATAAACACTAAAAATAAGATATTTATTTTTCATGACAAATTTATACAAATCATTGTAAGTGATAATGATCTTTGTGATTAAATGTCCACTTATCTAGTCAATAAATGTATCACTTTATGAAATAAGGTAAAAATTATGAAATTAAGATTAAAAACTAGAATTAGATATAAATGAATCTGTATTTTAGTAAGAAAAAAATCAATTTTTTTAAGCGTTCGCTTTTTTATTTTAAGAGTAGGTATGTCATTATTTAATAATTCTTCTCTATAAAAAAAAAATTAATTCATCGAATTTTTAAATTTTGACAAACAAAAATTGTCTGCTGATTAAATATTACAATTGTTTTTATAAAACAAGAAGTATCGAAATTTAAATAATTGAAAAGTTTAAAAGTAATAATGAATATCTTTATAATTGAAATTATAAGATATATTAATACGTTAAATAAATTAATTAACGAATATTGAACAAAAAGAAATTGTAAATTCAGTTCTGTAAATATAATGTGAATATATATTTTTTTACTATTTGTCAATGCTATTCGCAAAATTTGAATTTAATTGTATTTTGAATTAAGTGAAAATTGTGTCTGAAAAGAGTTAAATATTGACGTGAATAAATTAAGAAAAAGACATAAATGTGTCGTTCTTTTTACATCGTCATGTGAAAATTGTGCAATTCTGTAATAATTAAGTATTAATAGTAGTTTTTTTAAAAATATTTTTTGTGCTATTGTTTACTGTTGTTCTCAGTCAGTGTAATATTAATTTACTAATCATTTTTATATTTTTCATTTTTATTGATTATGTTTTTATTAATATTAATAATATTAATATTAATTATAAATAATGAAATTCATTGTAGGAATTTAATTATATTTAATACAATTTTAATCAAATTTCTAGATAAAATTGAATTATTTAAAGAAAATTATTAAAATTCGTTCAAAAAGATTCAATTATTTTCAGAAATTTTGGTAAAGTCTTTGTAGGAATTCAATTATTTTTAGTTGACTTGAATTTTTCTTAAAGAAATTTTATTATTTTCAAAAATTTCAATAAAATGCTTGTAAACAATTCAATTATTTGCAAATATTTTAGTAAAATTCTTTGTACGAATTCAATTATAATATTCCATACAATTTTAGGCGAATTTCTGGATAAAATTCATGTATTAAAAAAAATTAATAACATTCTTCGAGAAGATTGAATTATTTACAGAAATTTTTGGTAAAATTCTTTGTAGGAATTTTGTATTTTCAATAAAATTTCAGTTAAAGTTCTCAAAGGAATTTTATTACTTTCAAAAATTCAAGAACAATTCAATTATTTAAAAATTTTTTTTAATTCTTCGAAAGAATTCATTTATATTTTTAAATTTTAATTAAATTGTACGAAAGAATTAAATTAATTAATTTTTTTAAATTATTTAATCTTCAATAAATTTTAAAGGAAAAATTATAAAAAGGAGAAAAGAAAAAATAGAACAAAAACTAACTGCAAATAGACGTCCGGAATACAAAGATTATTAATATAGAAGAGTATAATAATATTTTTATTTTCAACAATCACAATTATTATTTAGTAAATCGTTTTAAATATTCACATAATAATAATTATTATTAAATTTAAAATTATACATAAAATTATAAAAAGGTAATTATTCCGAAAATTTTTATAATAGTAAAATTAGATTTTTACTAGTATTGGATTATTCCTAATTCAATTATTATTGAAATATATTAATATATATCTATATATTAAATAATATAAATATTGTATTTAAATACTGCTTTTATTTAATACTATTTCTAAATATTGTTTGTAAATATTTTTAAAAATCGTCATTTTATATTATTTTTATTTAAAGTGTAGAAATTTCCATTATTAGTTTTTTGTTTTTCTTAATAGTAAGAGATTTAAAAAAAAATGAGGAATTGTTGAGAAATGTAAATTGAATAATAAATATACGTATATAGTACAAATATATTTAGCAGATATGCACTTCGTTCATTAGACACAAACATTGAATCGTTGGAAATATAATTTTATCGTCATCATATTTTACACAGATTGAATAAAAATGTATAATATATGGCTATTTATAGTCTTCTTTTGTTCAGTTTTACAATTTTTTTTTTCATTAATTATAATTCATTATAATTATAATTATTTTAAAGAGAATTCTATAATAATAATTGTGCTATTATAAATTTTTCTATTTCTGAAGATTCTTTGACTTTTTTTATTTTGAAGAAAAAAAATGAAAATTTGCACGAAGAAAGCTCTACTTAGGCAATTTTTCTACCTGTTATACTCTTCTTTTTTTGGCACATTTTTTTTTATTAGAATTTTAGGCGCGCTTTTTCAGGTACTGCATTTTAGATTTAAATCAATATAGTTTCACTTAAATTTAGATTTAAATCGTGTAAATTTTAAATAAATTTTATAATTTATAATTTATAGTTTCACTATATAATTTAGATTAAAAAGTAATTTCACTAGAATTTGGAAATAATTTTCGCTAAATTTCGCTATAATTTTGTTCTAAGAGATTGAATAATGGCGTGAGATTTGAATTGAAGAAAAAACAGTATATATTGTCTGATTTGAAGGCAGCAGTTGATTTTGAAATTTCGTCGAAAAAGGTATATATTATTATTATTATTATTATTATTATTTGTAATCGTTCTTAATTAGAATAAAGAAGTTGAAACATTTATTGTTATACAATATACACAATAGACAATTATTTAGAGCTTTAAAAGCTTTCTCGCCCTTCGTTTTTGTTTTTAGAAAACTTTGTTTTTTTCACTACGAAAGGTCTTTCATAAAATGCTTCTTTTTGTACAAAAATTTATACGTATAGCAAAAAAGAAAGAATAACTTTGTTCGCACGACAAAGTTTTATTTCACAAAAAACACGTATTTATTTATTCGATGGTAGAAATAATTAGTTAAGAAGAACTAGATGATTTTCATTAATTAAGGAACAATTGTGTAAAAACGATACAATTATCGTAAAATTCTTTGCAGGCAGTGCGATAAATTCTTTTCAGAACAAAAAATAAACACATTCCCTAGTATTCAATGGTGGCTGTAAATTAATTTTCCAAATCGTAAATTTTCAAATAAAAAGAAAGGGAAATTTATATTTGTTGAATTTATTTCCAGGAGATAAAGAAAAAGGTATGAATCTAAAAATAGTTCGATACTTGAAATACTGATAAGTCATGTCAATGAAGAGTTTATCGAACTTTTTTTGGGGATGTAATTTCACTTGAAGTAAAGTTTCTTTTTTTTGGGGGAAACGCACGTCTTTGGAAAATTAGCTTCGGATGTTTCTTTTTTTTCTGGGGGGTAAAATTTACAGCCCTCTCCTTTCATTCCCTTATTTGCTTTCTTTTTCGCCGATAAAGAAATTCGCTAGGGATTTGACTTCAACAGTGGACCCCAAACCATTAACTAAACTTTTTTTCCTCTCTTTTTTCTTTTCCTTGTTCAACCAACTGGCCGTCCATTTTAACTTTGCAGGAAGTAAATCGCTTCCTCCAAATGGCAAAGTTGTTTCCATTGGTTCGAGAAGCAAATTCAGTAATCCCAAGGATTTATCAAGAACCACTGGGACTTCCTTTTGTTGTCAAACGACGTGACTCGATTCACTCGACGACGTGTCATGACGAAATTCAGAAATTATTTTCCGGACATTATGCCGGTTTGTGGTGTATCAAACTTTCCATAATAGAAGATGATTTGTCGAGTCCTCACGACCGGCTTGAAGTTCAGCTGACGCTTGTGGTCCACGAAAGTCCTCGTAACCATCGCCTCCCGATATTACCAGAAGTTTTCCATGATTTATATTATTTTGTTGAACATTGCCCGTGTCATAGGTGTAGCGACTCATTTTTGGACGAGTATCATTTTTTGATTGTGTCGACATTTCGACGCATGTTAAAAATCTCACGTGGCCAGTGTGTCCATGAGGAACGCCTGAAATTTTTTAAATTATTATTTTTTATTTAATTTATCAGAATAAATTTTCATTATTCTTAAATTTTACAAATGTTTTACAAAATTCTTACGAAATTAGTTAAATTTTTTAATATATATTTAACTAGTTTTATTAAAAATAATGGATTTATATAGAAGAATTTTAGTTAAAAACACTAAAACAAATTGAATTTTGAAGCAATTATAAATGATTGCAGAAATTCAATTATTTTCAAAAGTAGTAAAATTCTTCTTAGAAATTCAATTATTTTTAAAAATTTTAATAAAATTCTTGTCAAAAGTTTAATTATTTTCATAAATAATAAAACTCAATGCTGAATTTCAATTATTTTTAATACAATTTTAATGGAATTCCTCGAAAAAAGTTATTATTCTTAAAAATTTTATTAAAATTTATCAAAGAAATTTAATTATTTCAATAACTTTTGCTACAATTTATTTATTAGAATTTAAGTATTATTTTCAATAAATTTTTAATTAAATTTCTTTAAAAAATTAAATTATTTTCAAAAATTTAAATTAATTCTTTGCTTAACAATTCCAAATTATTCTATTATTTTTATTAATTATTTCTATTATTTTTATTATTATTCCATTTAATAAAATTCTTCGCAGAAATTTAATTATGTTTAAAAATTTACAAATATTCTCGTCAAAATTTTAATTATCTTTATAAATAATAAAATTTTTCTCCTAAATTCAATTATTTTTACAAATAATAAAACTCATCGCAGAATTTTAATTATTTTTAATACAATTTTAATCAAATTTCTCGAAAAATGCAATTATTCTTAAAAATTTTATTAAAATTTGTCAAGAGAATTCAATTATTTAAAATTTGTTGATAAAATTCTTTATAAAAATTCAATTTTAAGAAACATATTCAATTGTTTAATAAAATATTTATTTTTATAATTAAATAATTGAATTCTCGTAGAATTTTCCAATAAATATTGATTTAAAAATAAATTTCAAATTAAAATCTTTGAAAATTTGAACCTTTCATACTTTTAAGTTTAAGAATTCCTATAGAATTAATTTTTCTCAATAACTTTAACATTTTTTTTAATTATTTGAAGTTTTTAATTTCTAATATATTTAATTGAAGAATTTCAGAATAATCGAAATTTCGTAAAATTTAATTGTAAACAAAAGAATTTGAAAACAAATAATTATAAAAATTATATTATTATTGAATAATAAAAATTTTTATTAATTAATTAAATAATTTTAATTTATTTTATTAATTTAATTAAATAAATTATTTATTATACAAAACCTTTATAATTTAATTTGTTTCATTATTATAAGTACAAAATATGATTAAACAATAAAAATATTTAAAAAAGAAAGATTGAAAAATGAAAATATATTTGATTTGATTATTTGAATATTTGAATTTAAAAATTCGTGAAACTGCGCATGCGCAAAAGGTCACGTGATCTTTTAAATTTTAACTCTAGTATAATATTAATTTACAGAAAGTTTATTACTTGAAAAATAAAGAAAATTTGAGTATTCACTTATTTAAATAATATGATTTATTATTAATAAGCTTTAACAGTCTGAAAAGTGGATAAATTCGTAAAGAAAGTGTTATTCGAAAAGTGATTCGTTCATTTGGAGTTATGAATAGTTGGCAACAGTGCTTTGAAAGCGCAGCAAGCTTCACTTGCTTTGCGCATGGTTTTAACTGTTTGTTGTGCTCCCGTTTTGCTGATTGTTTTTTCTTTAAAAATTATGTTTTAAACGAGAAGTTTTTCATAAACTAACTTAAAATCCTAAAAATTAAATCAAGTGTAACATATATTTGTGCAGATGCAATTGTGGATGAAGAGGATTCTCATTAATTCACTCCATTTTCTTTTTGGATCAAGTGATGAACGCAATCTCATCACGTGTCTACAATGCCGGTAAGATTATACATTTTACAATAATTCTAATAAATTGTTTGAATTATTCAATAATACTTTCAATTACAAATTTTGATTTTGTCGCGTGTATTTTATTTACATTCGGGATTGTTAGTTCAAGAATTAGAAAATCTGCATTATTGTCAATGTTTTCCACGTGTCGTAATGTGATGTGAGAAAATTGATTGTTTTTTTATGGTTATTTCTCTCGATTTGATTTATAAATTATAATCATTTCGGATTAATTACTTTTAATACAATTTTTTACAAATTAAATTATTTACAAAATTTACTTAAATTTTATATAAAAAAAATGGTGTAATAAAAAGTTAGGTTATGTGTACTGCTGTTAATAGTCTAAAATTATGCAAAAATTATTTCCTATAATATAAATTTATAAATTATTTATTACTTTATAAATAATACAAATTACAATATTCACATCTTTTAATATCGATTTTTATTGCTGTAATTCGTATTTAGTTAAATTAAATCGTAAAAGTGCAAAAATTACGTTTTAAAAAATCGCGCCATATTCGATTATATTTTTCAAACGTTGGCAACACTGACATGCAAGCTGCTGCCTGATGGCCTGCGTCACTTGCTTTGCGCATACTTGTAACAGTTGTAACTGCTTATTGTGTTTATGTTCTCAATTTTCTGATTATTTTACATAAAAAATGTGTGTTTATCGAAATATTTTTCTCGATTTCAACTGGAATAGTGAAAACTCAAATAAATATGAATATTTTGTGCAGATGTCTTTGTGGATGACATTGATTCTTATCGATTTGATCCTGTATTGTCAAGTTACGACGCATTCTCATCGTTTACGATGCCGGTAAGTTTACTTTGCACATATAATCAAATATATATTGTTTAATTTACTCATTAACCTGACTCACCTGATTTAATTTTCTTTTTATAATATTCCACTTTTGTCTTTCCTTTTATTTTTAAACAAGATTCTTTTATTCTAAACCTAACCTTCTTTATTGTTGTTGTCCATTTTCGCACATCGTGCTTCTAATTTCTAATATTTGGCGAAACTATTTTTGCTTTTTTCTACTTAAAAGTTTATTAATTAACTTCCATTTATTAATCAGAATTTTTTTTCGTTACGCATTTACTAAAAATATCGACTTGATCTTTATACTTTGTAATTTAAAAAGAAAATTTTTATTCTTAATTCGTGGAATTCGTGTGACAAAAAGTTAGGTTATATTCATTGTTACTAAAATTGTAATTGTTTTTTTTATCAAAAATATCAGTTTATCGATATTTTTGGTTTAATCCGTTTAATTTTAGCCGGAATTTAAAAAATTTAATCAATTATATTGTTTTTTTCTAGATTTTATTCCGAATTAACGACAATTATGATGGACTTTTTCCTCTTTTTTGTCAAGTGACGACGCGGTCTCTCATTATCCAGAATGCCGAGTAAGTTTACTAATATATTTTAATTTTAATATATTTTTTGCTTCAGTTATTGTGATTTTATATTTTTTTCTAAATGTTAACTTTTTTTTGCATAACAATTTTGACATTTCATTTCATTTTTACATTGAAATTCTACTCATGAGTGAATATTTTTTAAATATTTTCTTGGAGTTTTCTAGTTTATATTGAAAATATTATAAAATTCCGCAGATTAATTAATAACTTGAACAATGTGAATTAAATAATTTTTAATCGCATTAATTTATATTAATTAAAACTATATTAATTAATTAATATTATATTAAGATTAATTAAATTTAATATATAAATTAACAGAAACATAATAAACAAATGATCATTTCATGATCATTTAGCTTCCTCAATACAATATATACCTATTGTATAATTTTTTATTTTAGAATAATTATTTAAAAGTGTTAAGATACACATGCTAGTGTTCAGTCTGGTTCAGTCCCTACTAGAACGCTGGTAATTTTCAGATGATTAGAATTGTTAAATTTGGAAGAAATAAATTTTTCTTTTCGTTTTTACCAAATTTTGATTGTCTGATGGCGTACGGGTGGACCTGCTACTACTAAAAAGTTGAAATAAAATTCTCTATTCTTCAGGATTGTGTAGGTTTCAGTCCCTACTAGAACTCTGGTAATTTTCAGATGATTAGATTAAATAAATTTGGATGAAATAAATTTTTATTTTCGTTTTTACCAAATTTTGATTGTCTGATGGCGTACGGGTAAACCTGCTACTACTAAAAAATGGAAATAAAATTCTCTATTCTTCAGGATTGTGTAGGGTTCAGTCCCTACTAGAACTCTGGTAATTTTCAGATGATTAGATTAAATAAATTTGGATAAAATAAATTTTTATTTTCCTTTTTATCAAATTATGATTGTCTGATGGCGTTCGGGTGAGGGTGCTACTACTAAAAAATTCAAATAAAATTCTCTATTCTTCAGGATTGTGTAGGGTTCAGTCCCTACTAGAAGTCTGGTAATTTTTAGACGATTAGATTGAATAAATTTGGATGAAATAAATTTTTATTTTCGTTTTTACCAAATTTTGATTGTCTGATGGCGTTCGGGTGAGGGTGCTACTACTAAAAAATGGAAATAAAATTCTCTATTCTTCAGGATTGTGTAGGTTTCAGTCCCTACTAGAACTCTGGTAATTTTCAGATGATTAGAATTGATAAATTTGGAAGAAATAAATTTTTATTTTCGTTTTTACCAATTTTGATTGTCTGATGGCGTACGGGTGAACCTGCTACTACTAAAAAATGGAAATAAAATTCACTATTCTTCAGGATTGTGTAGGGTTCAGTCCCTACTAGAACTCTGGTAATTTTCAGATGATTATATTAAATAAATTTGGATGAAATAAATTTTTATTTTCGTTTTTACCAAATTTTGATTGTCTGATGGCGTACGGGTGAACCTGCTACTACTAAAAAATGGAAATAAAATTCACTATTCTTCAGGATTGTGTAGGGTTCAGTCCCTACTAGAACTCTGGTAATTTTCAGATGATTAGATTAAATAAATTTGGATAAAATAAATTTTTATTTTCCTTTTTATCAAATTATGATTGTCTGAAGGCGTTCGGGTGAGGGTGCTACTACTAAAAAATTCAAATAAAATTCTCTATTCTTCAGGATTGTGTAGGGTTCAGTCCCTACTAGAACTCTGGTAATTTTCAGATGATTAGATTAAATAAATTTGGATAAAATAAATTTTTATTTTCCTTTTTATCAAATTATGATTGTCTGAAGGCGTTCGGGTGAGGGTGCTACTACTAAAAAATTCAAATAAAATTCTCTATTCTTCAGGATTGTGTAGGGTTCAGTCCCTACTAGAACTCTGGTAATTTTCAGATGATTAGATTGAATAAATTTGGATGAAATAAATTTTTATTTTCGTTTTTACCAAATTTTGATTGTCTGATGGCGTACGGGTGGACCTGCTACTACTAAAAAATTCAAATAAAATTCTCTATTCTTCAGGATTGTAAAGGGTTCAGTCCCTACTAGAACTCTGGTAATTTTCAGATGATTAGATTAAATAAATTTGAATGAAATAAATTTTTATTTTCGTTTTTACCAAATTTTGATTGTCTGATGGCGTACGGGTAAACCTGCTACTACTAAAAAATGGAAATAAAATTCTCTATTCTTCAGGATTGTGTAGGGTTCAGTCCCTACTAGAACTCTGGTAATTTTCAGATGATTAGATTAAATAAATTTGGATAAAATAAATTTTTATTTTCCTTTTTATCAAATTATGATTGTCTGAAGGCGTTCGGGTGAGGGTGCTACTACTAAAAAATTCAAATAAAATTCTCTATTCTTCAGGATTGTGTAGGGTTCAGTCCCTACTAGAACTCTGGTAATTTTCAGATGATTAGATTGAATAAATTTGGATGAAATAAATTTTTATTTTCGTTTTTACCAAATTTTGATTGTCTGATGGCGTACGGGTGGACCTGCTACTACTAAAAAATTCAAATAAAATTCTCTATTCTTCAGGATTGTGTAGGGTTCAGTCCCTACTAGAACTCTGGTAATTTTCAGATGATTAGATTAAATAAATTTGGATGAAATAAATTTTTATTTTCGTTTTTACCAAATTTTGATTGTCTGATGGCGTACGGGTAAACCTGCTACTACTAAAAAAAGTGAAATAAAATTCTCTATTCTTCAGGATTGTGTAGGGTTCAGTCCCTACTAGAACTCTGCTAATTTCCAGATGATTATATTAAATAAATTTGGATGTAATAAATTTTTATTTTCGTTTTTACCAAATTTTGATTGTCTGATGGCGTACGGGTGAACCTGCTACTACTAAAAAATGGAAATAAAATTCACTATTCTTCAGGATTGTGTAAGGTTCAGTCCCTACTAGAACTCTGGTAATTTTCAGATGAATAGATTAAATAAATTTGGATAAAATAAATTTTTATTTTCCTTTTTATCAAATTATGATTGTCTGATGGCGTTCGGGTGAGGGTGCTACTACTAAAAAATTCAAATAAAATTCTCTATTCTTCAGGATTGTGTAGGGTTCAGTTCCTACTAGAACTCTTGTAATTTTCAGATAATTAGATTGAATAAATTTGGATGAAATAAATTTTTATTTTCGTTTTTACCAAATTTTGATTGTCTGATGGCGTACGGGTGGACCTGCTACTACTAAAAAATTCAAATAAAATTCTCTATTCTTCAGGATTGTAAAGGGTTCAGTCCCTACTAGAACTCTGGTAATTTTCAGATGATTAAATTAAATAAATTTGGATGAAATAAATTTTTATTTTCGTTTTTACCAATTTTGATTGTCTGATGGCGTACGGGTGAACCTGCTACTACTAAAAAATGGAAATAAAATTCACTATTCTTCAGGATTGTGTAGGGTTCAGTCCCTACTAGAACTCTGGTAATTTTCAGATGATTAGATTAAATAAATTTGGATGAAATAAATTTTTATTTTCGTTTTTACCAAATTTTGATTGTCTGATGGCGTACGGGTAAACCTGCTACTACTAAAAAAAGTGAAATAAAATTCTCTATTCTTCAGGATTGTGTAGGGTTCAGTCCCTACTAGAACTCTGGTAATTTTCAGATGATTAAATTAAATAAATTTGGATGAAATAAATTTTTATTTTCGTTTTTACCAATTTTGATTGTCTGATGGCGTACGGGTGAACCTGCTACTACTAAAAAATTCAAATAAAATTCTCTATTCTTCAGGATTGTGTAGGGTTCAGTTCCTACTAGAACTCTTGTAATTTTCAGATAATTAGATTGAATAAATTTGGATGAAATAAATTTTTATTTTCGTTTTTACCAAATTTTGATTGTCTGATGGCGTACGGGTGGACCTGCTACTACTAAAAAATTCAAATAAAATTCTCTATTCTTCAGGATTGTAAAGGGTTCAGTCCCTACTAGAACTCTGGTAATTTTCAGATGATTAAATTAAATAAATTTGGATGAAATAAATTTTTATTTTCGTTTTTACCAATTTTGATTGTCTGATGGCGTACGGGTGAACCTGCTACTACTAAAAAATGGAAATAAAATTCACTATTCTTCAGGATTGTGTAGGGTTCAGTCCCTACTAGAACTCTGGTAATTTTCAGATGATTAGATTAAATAAATTTGGATGAAATAAATTTTTATTTTCGTTTTTACCAAATTTTGATTGTCTGATGGCGTACGGGTAAACCTGCTACTACTAAAAAATGGAAATAAAATTCTCTATTCTTCAGGATTGTGTAGGGTTCAGTCCCTACTAGAACTCTGGTAATTTTCAGATGATTATATTAAATAAATTTGGATGAAATAAATTTTTATTTTCGTTTTTACCAAATTTTGATTGTCTGATGGCGTACGGGTGGACCTGCTACTACTAAAAAATTCAAATAAAATTCTCTATTCTTCAGGATTGTAAAGGGTTCAGTCCCTACTAGAACTCTGGTAATTTTCAGATGATTAAATTAAATAAATTTGGATGAAATAAATTTTTATTTTCGTTTTTACCAATTTTGATTGTCTGATGGCGTACGGGTGAACCTGCTACTACTAAAAAATGGAAATAAAATTCACTATTCTTCAGGATTGTGTAGGGTTCAGTCCCTACTAGAACTCTGGTAATTTTCAGATGATTAGATTAAATAAATTTGGATGAAATAAATTTTTATTTTCGTTTTTACCAAATTTTGATTGTCTGATGGCGTACGGGTAAACCTGCTACTACTAAAAAATGGAAATAAAATTCTCTATTCTTCAGGATTGTGTAGGTTTCAGTCCCTACTAGAACTCTGGTAATTTTTAGATGATTAGAATTGATAAATTTGGAAGAAATAAATTTTTATTTTCGTTTTTACCAATTTTGATTGTCTGATGGCGTACGGGTGAACCTGCTACTACTAAAAAATGGAAATAAAATTCACTATTCTTCAGGATTGTGTAGGGTTCAGTCCCTACTAGAACTCTGGTAATTTTCAGATGATTATATTAAATAAATTTGGATGAAATAAATTTTTATTTTCCTTTTTATCAAATTATGATTGTCTGATGGCGTTCGGGTGAGGGTGCTACTACTAAAAAATTCAAATAAAATTCTCTATTCTTCAGGATTGTGTAGGGTTCAGTCCCTAATAGAACTCTGGTAATTTTCAGATGATTAGATTGAATAAATTTGAATGAAATAAATTTTTATTTTCGTTTTTACCAAATTTTGATTGTCTGATGGCGTTCGGGTGAGGGTGCTACTACTAAAAAATGGAAATAAAATTCTCTATTCTTCAGGATTGTGTAGGTTTTAGTCCCTACTAGAACTCTGGTAATTTTCAGATGATTAGAATTGATAAATTTGGAAGAAATAAATTTTTATTTTCGTTTTTACCAAATTTTGATTGTCTGATGGCGTTCGGGTGAGGGTGCTACTACTAAAAAATTCAAATAAAATTCTCTATTCTTCAGAATTGAGTAGGGTTTAGTCCCTACTAGAGCTTTGGTAATTTTTAGATGATTAGCTTAAATAAATTTGGATGAAATAAATTTTTATTTTCCTTTTTATCAAATTTTGATTGTCTGAAGGCGTTCGGGTGAGGGTGCTACTACTAAAATATATTATTATATATAATTTTAAAAGTTAAATAATTATAATAGTTTATTAAATATAATTAATAAATCTTCTTTTTAATAAATCAAAATAAAAATTAATGTTTTAAAGTATTAAGATAAAATTTCAAAAAATACAAAATTTCAATTTTTTTATGAAAATCTAAAATATTTATTAATTCTATAAATATTGATAAAATATATACTTTATATACATGAATCGATTCGTTTTTATGTCAGAAATGCAATTTTGACAAGAATTAATGAAATTTTTAATATAGAAAAAAGTTATTTTAAAAAATCCAAAAATTAATTTTTTCAAAAATTAAAAAATTGTTGAAAAAATTTTTTTTTTAGATATTTTTGAAAATCCTTCTGTCTGATTTTTAGTATTCATGACCGTAATAAACCTACAAAATTTTATCAAAATCCGTCAAGACGTGTAAGAGAAAATTTGTCCACAAGAATCGGTGACATACACACACAGACACACACACACACATACATACACACATACATCCGGACATTTGTTCCTCTCGACGAATTATATATACTACACTTGAAAATTTGTAAAAATAATTGATTCTAAAAAATTCGGAAATCGACTTATAGTGATAAGGCTTCCTTTATGAGGAAGCAAAATTATAAATTTAATATATTTATAATTAAATTTACATTTAAATTAAATTAAAATTAATCATAATTAAAAATTTTTTTGAAAATGACAATATTAATTACTATTTTAAATAATTTACCTGTTACAATTGGAAGTTGGGTCATTCTTTGCGTGGAAGGTTTAATGTGAGGAATAGGCATTGTTAAAAGAACTCCTGCACTCGTTCCAATCCATAATAAGTCGTTGCAAGCTAAAAGCGCCGTGACCCTCAGACATGCGGCTTTATGTTGTCTAATTATGTCATCGCAACCTGCAACAAGATTAATATTTTCGTTAAAATAAATTTCAAAGAATTTTCTTCTCGCTCTTTCCACTCGTCCATTTGTTTCAGATTGTAGAATATAAAAATTTCTCCTTTTTAAACTTATTTCAAATGACTAAAATTAAATAAATTTAATTTATTGTAATTAGGTTAAATTTAATTAATTTTAATTCAATTAAAATTGAAATAACTTTAATTAAATGTATTTTAATTAATTTTAATTTAATTTCACTTGAATGAATATTAATTTAATTAAAATGAAATTTCGCCAGACTTAATACTTACTAGACAGCATTTTCGTTACAGCCGGGGCAATATTGATGTCCGATAAGCATTCGTAGCTGGTTGCATGAAAAAGTTTAAGTACTGCGCTATTGTGTAGGGAAATCCAAACACCCAAACCCCCTGAACTTGCCATACACGATACCGTTCGACTAGCATCATTGTTAACAGTAAAAGTATGTTCTATATCCAAAGAATAAGTGTTCAAGACTTTAATTGTATTGTGACAACCACACCACAACTTTCCCGAAACTGATAGCATTTTTGTAACAGGCGAGGTGTCTGTACTGACCGATACAGTCATAGGATCTGTCGTGTTCCAAATTCCCACTAAAAAAACAACATTTTTTTGTTACTATTATCCAAGGATAATCCTTTTTTCTCAATTTCTAAAAATTTATTTCTATTATCTCACATTGATCTCTCGAATACACTGTGACGTCCCCATTTGCCAAGGAAACAAATACTTTGTTGTCTAGATAACTGTAAAAAAAATTCAAATTTTAATCGGAATTAATTTTTATTTAAATGATAACAATCAAACTATTCTATTACTTTTACAATAATAATAATAATTACTATTATTATTATCTGTTTACAAATTTTTTTATTTTTTTAAATTACCTAATTGACATTTTAATTTTTAATTTATACAATTCTTTTATTCCTTAGTTATAAAGGAAAATAATTAATTGGCCGATTAGAAATTCATCTAATAAGATTATTTCGTTTCCGAGTATTTTCTTTTAATTTAATTAAATATTTATTTATTAATTTTTTAATTTACTTTTAATTAATTAATTTACCTTTATTGCGATAAATGTTAAATTTACTTTTGTGCTTTTATTAAAGCAATCAATTTAAATTTTCATATTTTCATATGTTCCGGAAATTCTAAACTTTCAATTGAATGAAAATTATTTATTTCTTCTTCAAATTAAAATTTGATTAAAATAATTTTGGGTCACGTATAAAAAAAATTATTAATTCCGGGTTGCCACAAGTACTGGAAAACTTTCAAATTTCTTGAATTACTAAAAAAGTTCTGCTTTCTATTATCTAAACATTTTTTTGAAAAACTCAAAAATATTTCATTCTTTTTGAATTATTATTTCATTTATTATTAATAAAGAATTGTTATTAAATAATTAATTTAGAATAGTAAATAATAAGTGAATAAAAATAATTAAATTATATAAATGAAATAATTTAAATTATTCTCTGATTAATATTTTAAAATTACAGTTGCTCTATTTTCCAGTTTATAAAATTTTCAAATAATAAGTGAATAAATAAAAATTTTAATCAAAAAAGAAAGTTACGTGAAATGAAAGTTTACTAAATAAAAATATTTTCAATTTAGATAAAAGAGAGAAAAAAAATTGATGGAAAGTAAATTAATTTGCGGGAAAAATAAACTTCACGAGAATATGGAGATTCGAAGCTTTCACAAAGGGTAAAATAATTCTCATTCAATTAATTGTTACAGGTGTTTCTAGATATTTATATTTCTCTTTAAAGATGAAGTTTATTTTATTTTATTTTTTTTTTAGAATATCAAGCAACTTTTATTGAAAGATAATTATCAGTGTTTTCTAGTCGCGGAAAAATTAATTATATATATATAAAAAGAAGCAGAGAAACCCACGTGTATGCAGCGTTGACTGTAAAAAGGGTTTAAATTTACACCGTTTATAAAGAGGTCGTTTTATGATTAAAATAGAATAGAAAGAAGAAGAAGAAGCAACCCTTGTAACGTCGATACTTTTTTACTAAACACAAAACTCAAAAAAGGGTGTGAATTAAAAATTGCTTTTCTAAAAAGTATTTTTTTTAGATTCAATTTGGAATATTGTATAGAAAACTGTCATTGAAAAATATGACAGAAATTTGTGGAATTAAAACTTATTTTAAATATCGTTAATCAATAAACATTCCCGTTTTTCTTCATCAGCAGGTCTTTTTTCACTTTAGCGTTAAATTATATAATTTTCAGTGTCGTAATTTATTTAAAATATTATGTTAATATTAAGTTGATAAAAATTAAGAGAATATATTAAATTGCGTAAATTTTTAACTCTGAATAATTCTTAAAGAGAATTTCTTACATTCTCATCACGTGAATCCTAAGGAATTGAAAAATAATCCAAATTTAACGTTTAATTCAGTTAAGAATTTTTTTTTTTTTAGTGTAAAGAATATTTTTTATTAAATACTATTTAATTAAATTAAAATGCATTAGTAACAAAAATATCGACGTTCATTACACAGAAAAAAATGTAGAGTAACTATTGCTATGTACAAAGTAATTTTTTTTGCAAGCGCATTTCTGCTTCGCAACTTTTAGAATATTTCTAATTTTTACAAAAATATACCTCGAACATAAGAACTTTTTCTCTGAAAATAGTAAAACTTGACAGAAATGGGCAGAAGTTCCTAACAGTTGAGATTTTACTTTGAAAGTATAGTAAAAGTTACTTTATTCGTTTTTTTTTCATTGTAGAGCGTATAAAACTATATAGGGGCATTTTTTTCTTCTTGAGTGTATATAGTTTTGAAGAGAAAAGAAGTTTAGATGAGGAAATCTTACATTATGCAGTTGACGTTACTGCCGTGTTGAATTTTGACTTTATTTTTCTTGATTCGAATATTGTCGCTACAATTATAGACGTGGATGCAACCATCCTCAGTTCCCAGCCACATTGTTGGCTGATTAAAGTCTTCTTCGATGGTTGCTCCATCGATACTTGACACGTCACCACCTAAAGAGGTACTCGCTGCGTCCGCGCATGGAATGTCGTCAGAATCCGAATCTTCGGAGCTCGAACTACTGAAAATGGATTAATACAAGTCAAGTATATATATATATATATGTATATACATATTAGTCAGTAGTTCCTCTTTAAGAATCGTTCATTCACCTCCTCACCACAGCATCCCTGTCCTTAATCCCTTGGGTAAAGAGCAGAAACGCAACTTTCGAGAAAGTATATTATATACTTTTTTCTCACTTCCTTAATTCTATTAATTAACAACGGAATAACAGTAATTGCCCTCCCGAAAAGTTAATTATTATTCGAAACATATTTCGATTAATCGGGGTTGCTACGCAACCTGGAAAAGTCAGGGAATTTTTATCGAAATCCTGGAAAATTGTTGTTTTCTAAAGTTATTGTGTTTATTCTTGAAATCTAAATCCACTTAAATATTTGAAAATTAATTCAATTTTAAAAGAATTGCGTTTACAATTTTCATAAGTACTAGATGAACTTTAAAAGATTTTGATTAAAAATTTTGTAAAATTTCAATTTTAAATGAATTTAATTAGAAATATAAAAAAACTTAGATTTAAATAAAATTTTAAAAACTAAAATTCATCTGAAATTAGTTATATTTTTTAATATATATTTAACTATAGTTTTAATAAAAATAATGGATTTATAGAAGAATTTTAGTTAAAAACACTAAAACAAATTGAATTTTAAAGCAATTACAAATTATTGCAGAAATTCAATTCTTTTCAAAAGTAGTAAAATTCTTCTAAGAATTTCAATTATTTTTAAAAATTTGAATAAAATTCTTGTCAAAATTTTAATTATTTTCAAAAACTTTCCTCAATTTAATGTTTTTAAATATCTACTACTTTAATAAAAATTCTTAAAAGGATTCAATTAGTTATAAAAACAAATTTAATAAAATGCTGAATTTCAATTATTTTTAATACAATTTTAATTAAATTTTTTTGAAATAATTCAATTATTCTTTTAGATATTATGAAAATTTTTCCCAAGAATTCAATTATTTACATAAAACATTCTTCGAAAGAATTAAATTATTAAAGATAAATAACAAAATTATTCCTGAAAATTCAATTATTTTGAAGCATTTTAATAAAATTCTTTGCAAAATTTAATTGTTTTCATTAAATTTCTCGAAAAATGCAATTATTCTTAAAAATTTTATTAAAATTTGTCAAGAGAATTCAATTATTTAAAAATTTGTTAATAAAATTCTTTATGAAAATTCAATTTTAAAAAACATTTAATTGTTTAATAAAATATTTATTTTTATAGTTAAATAATTGAATTCTCGTAGAATTTTCTAATAAATATTTATTTAAAAATGAAATTTAATTAAAATCTTTGAAAATTTGAACTTTTCATACTTTTAATTAAGAATTCTATAGAATTAATTTTTCTCAATAAGTTTAATGGAATTTTTTTTAATTCTTTGAAGTTTTTAATTTCTAATATATATTTAATTAAAGAATTTCAGAATAATCGAAATTTCGTAAAATTAAATTGTAAACAAAAGAATTGGAAAATTCACAAAGAACTTTTTCATAAATCATTAAAAATTATTTTAAAAAATTGAAGAATTTTAGTTGAAAATTCTAGAAATGAATAATAATCGTAATGATGAAAATAATTTTTGAAAAACTTACGATAACAAAGTAGCAAGTTTTAATTGTTATAAAACATGAAGAAAGCGATTTTCTTCCTATTTTATAACAATATTCTTATGTTATTGAATTTCAAATTTTTTAATATTTTAATTTCTATAAAAAAATAATAATTAAATATTTATTTAAAAATGAAGTTATTGATGTTTTCCTGGAAAACCTGGAAAAGTCAGTTGATTTGAAAAGAGCAAAAGCGTGGCAACCCTGATTAAATAAACTACAAATTTATACTTCGAATCAATATTTGCATGAATATTTATGTAGTCGAATTATAATTTATCTGAATTATTATTTGTTTAAATTGTAATTTATAAGTTAAAAATCGAAAAACAAAAATAGGTTAATTTTAATTATTATTAAATTTTTAATAAACGTAAATCTGTTGGTAAAGAAAATTAATTTCTAGAAATTCTCATTTATTTATAAATGATATTGATAAGAATTTTCAGATTATAGAACTTATAAATTGCAGCACAATTATTTAGTATAATTCGAAATTAGCAGAATTTTTTTCAATGAATATTAGGTCAAATATAAATTTCATTATACAAAAATTCTGTCAATTTTAAATTATATTAAATAGTAGTGCTGCAACTTATAAATTCTGTAACCTAGAATAGATTTTTGTTTAATAGAAATTCGTGATAAATAAAAATCAGTTATTTTTATATTCTTCGCTTTTTAAATTAACATAAATTATATTTATACAATCTAATTATTCTTATGGGATAATTAGACATCACAAAGTAAATACTAATATTAAAAAAATTATTGAGGAAAAAATATCAAAAATTAGTTTCAAGTTTATGAAATGAAAAATTTTGCACCACCTTTATTTATCTATTTTTTTTGTTATTGATAAAAAAGAGGAATTGACAAACCTGTCGAGTTGAATGTTTCCGCTGCTTGTTTCCGTGTCCTGAATTGAGATACTAATTCCACTTTTATTATTGACAAAGGTATTGTTGTTGGGTAGGGAACACGTTCTAACGAGGATAGAAAATAAAAAATCAAACATTTGTTTTTTTGTTCATTCGCGAAAATTATTTAATTTTTTGTGGTAAAAAAAGAGTTTAGAAGAAAGTAGATATATATATATATATATATATATATTTACCCAGAAGTAGCGGCGGGAATGCCAGCAACGCAGAGAATTCTAGCATTGCAAACACCATTGCAAGAGGTGACTTGTGGTGGTTCTGGACTAAGACTCAAGACACAAACTTGACCCACGTAACCGTCACTATTGCAGACCCAGACATCCCTTATTCCCTGCTCGTTAGCTAAAGTGGGTGCTGCACATGTAAATTGAAGGCCAGCCCGGGTCTTTCGAATTGGCAAAGGTCCTACGAATTCAGGACAAGGTCTTCGATCGGCTGACAAAGCTGAAAAATGGATGATTTTTTCCCTTCAATTATCGAAATTTGAATTCTGTATCTGCCAAAAAAAGAAAGTTCGTTATTTAACTGCAGCGTTTGCAAATTCTCACCTTTCTGTCTCTTCAACAATTATTATTATTATTATATTTTTGTACAATTTTCCACCTTTTACCAATTTTAATAATTTATCTATTCATGCCCCTAAAGTTTTGAATATACAAAAGAATGACGTTATTTTTGTTACTACTCTTAATTTGTATTTTATTACAGACTTCGGACTGAATTTATTTAGGGAAGAAATTAATTCAAAGACTGAATAAAACTAGAGACCATTAAAAATATCGCAAATTGAAATAGATTAAAAATTGAAATCCATTTATACTAATTACCAAATCCTCTAAATTTTATTATAATTAATTAGAGAATTACAAATATTGACGAACATCTTGAGATTCAATATGGAAATGCTACTCTCCACCTGCGAACGCCAAGGTCACCGATAGATGGCTGCTGAGTTGTTAAAGTCATATTTCTCGCCACCTAGTGTCAATCTTGGCGTTCTCAAGTGGATAAATCCATTTTATCCCTCAAAAACTTTTTTATAATTCAAAAAATGTTATTGTGAGAATAATTTAAATTGTGTTTTTAGTTTTATTTTCTAGAATTTTAATAAATCCTTCGAAGCAATTTAATTATTTTTTTTTTAATAGTAAAATCTTTGCAAAAATTTAATTATCTTCAAAAAAAATTTCTCGAAAGAATTGAATTTCTTTTAAATTCGTTATAAAATATTTTAAAAGAATTCAATTATTTTCAAAATTTTTAATTAAAATTATTAACAAAACTCCATTATTTTAAAAAAATTCAAAGAAATTCTTCAAAAAGAATTTAATTAGAATTTTCAAAAATTTTAACAAAGTTTCCTAAATAATAAAAAATTTTTCGAAGAAATTCTATTATTATCAAATTTTTTGATAAAATTCTTTGCAACAATTCGATGATTTTCAATACATTAATTTCAAAGTTAAAAATAGTTAATAAGAAAAATTATTAAAAAAGTTTAGAAACAAAAAAGCTGTGATGTGATTTAAATTCACATTTCTCTGAATATACAGTTTTCTTTTAAAAAAATTTCTCTTTTTGGCAATAATAGCACTGATATAGCATATTTTTCTCAATTTAAAAAAAATTGCTTACCCAATTTTTGCTTGGCTTCATTGAAACTCTCCTCCCAACTTGCCCGTTTGTCCGGCTTCGTAAACATAATTGAAATGTTCTCGACTCCTGCTCTAAAAGTAAACAACCATTTTTCCTTTTTATTGTTTGCTTGAATTTCGAATAGTATAATCTTCATAATTTATATGTGACTTAATATATATACGCCGTAAAACGGAGTTATTTCGCTCATTGATGCGTATAAATTCGCTCACCGATTTATTTCCTCATATTAGCTTTAAACTATAGCATTAAATTAAATTTTGATATGTTTATAAACAAATTAATAAATAATTAAAAAAACAAATTTATCCACAATGAAAGAAATAACTTGGCCTTACGGTAAATAGCAGTAATTTAACATTTAATTTGAAACAAAATTTTCCTTTTTTTCCATTCAAAAAATTATTAAAAATAATTGATTTGAAATGATGAAAATAATTATGGCAACCCTAATGATTTAAATTATGCCTGGAAATAAAAAAAAAAAAATTATTTTGCATGACCAGGCTTCCTACAGAATCAGGAAATCATGGAAAAAGCCTGGAATTTTAAAAAGTTTCTAAATTTTTCCTGTTTTCCATTTTAAAAAATTCGGTTTTTTAAATTTTTGGTAATTTTTGATAATTTTAGATTTTTTGCTAAAGGGTGGAGACTATTAAATAAGTAAACGTAAAGTGTTTTTAAAGAGCCCAAAAATAATGAAGCTAAATGCCATAAAAGATAAGAAAAAATGTTGACAAAGAAAATTGTTAGAAATCCCTGTTAATTAATTATAATTTGAATGTCAATTATCTAATTATAATTTGAACGTTAATTATTTTACTGTGTATTAAGAGTGAGTTCCAGGCATGCCAATTGAGAATGTGCCGCATTCCTCTCTGCTAATTGTCTCTGTGACTGACAAAGTAATTCTTTTATCATTTCCTCCAATTGTTGTTTTGATCCATGTAAAGACATCGATAATTCTTGAAGATGAGTTAATGTCGCGCAATCCTCTCGCAAATGGTCCACCTCACGTGCCATTCTTCGTAAATTTTCATCCTTGGCTGTAAATCAATTTTTTTCCTTTTATTTCTTCGCATTTTTTTTCGCACGTGACAAAATTTTTGTTGATAAATTTTATATTTATCTATCCAGAAAATATTGATAAAATTTCGCGAGAATGTTTTCAATTTTTGCTTTTTTGCTTCCATTAATTTTTTTAATTCATCAATTGAATTCTTTAATTCATTAATTTTTTTGTAAATTAAATTTTTTAAATCATTAATTGTTTTGTTAGTTAAATTCCTAGATTCATTAATTTTTTTGATAATTAAATTTTATAATTTATTGTTTCGTTAATTAAATTCTTAAATTCATTAATTGTTATGTTTATTAAATTTTTAATTAATTGTTTCGTTAATTAAATTCTTGAATTGATTAATTGCAGTGTTAATTGATTTTTTTTTATTATTTATAAATTGTTTTTTTAATTAAATAACGAAAATTGTAGAAACACAATGGGAAAAAGAAATTTACTAAATGGATTTATCGAATACTTTAATCAAAATGTAATTATTTGAAGATTTTCGAAACAGTAAATTCTTGAACAGCTTCACTAACTTTGTTCATTTCAGAAGCTTCTTTAGTTACAAGAACTTTAGTTGACTATAGTTTCAGTAGCTTCTCAGGTTTAGTAATTAGTTTAATTATTAGTTCTATTACAGTTCCATTAGATCCATTACCTTGATTACGACTAACCTTTTTACTATTTTTGTTGTTTATGTATTATTTTTTATTAAATGTATTTTTCATTTATTTATTTACTTACAAGATAAACGAGATTTCAAAAAATTAAAATTCCCTTTTGGTACAAAAAAATATCATATAATAATAATTGTTATTAAAATTATTTTTATTTTTACTTTTATTATTTATTTATTTAATTTTTATTTTTATTTATTTAATATTTTTTTATATTTTATTTATTATTATTTCTTACTTTTTTCCAGCAGTAAATTCTCTTCTCCCCCTACCCCTTATGTAAATGAGTTAAATGATAATTTTTTTTCTGAATTTTTATGAGATGAATTCGTTTACCTTTCATCACTTCGAGATCATCCAATGAAATTCTCATTAGCATTTTGTACTTATTTGCTTCCAAAAGGCCAACCAGACTATTTGGACACGAACTTCTGTATTCATAATGAAATAATCGGGACTAATTAAAATAATTAATAATGTAATTATTTATATATGTCCAATTAACTCACGTTGATGGCTTTCTTATCGTTCCACTTCTTCGTTTGATGCTCGTTATAACTAAAAGATCGGAAAACAAAAATAGGGCCCTCTCTTTTCGAGTTCCTTGATTTGACGCTATTGTCACCAGATCGTGTCGAATAAATGCTCTGAAAAATTCGTTATTTCGACTTGTAATAATTTATTATTAATTACTATTACATTGTTAATATAGTAGAAATTTAGTTAGTCAAACCTATCATTAGCAACAATTCCCGCGAGTCCCTCAACAAGTGCCTGAACTTCTTTCAAAGTCGTTTGCTGTTGTTCCCATTCGAGACTCTCCCTCTCGGTGCAATTAATTTTCACCACCAATTCGTGAACTTCTTTTTGAGCCGCTGACAAAAGTTCATAATCCGGATGCGATGAATCGGTATGTTTCAATAGTCTCTGAATTAAAAGTTCGTAACGTGGAATTTTTTGAACAGGCTTTATCAGCAATTGATCTAATCCAAGTTTCCCTTTATGCTCCCTTTCCATCGTCTATATTTATAAAATTATAATTATTGATCAGAAGAAGCTAAATATGGTTTATATATGTGACACGCTTCTCCAAGAAAGGTACCTAAGAAGCAACAAATTTTAGCAGGTTATGTTTATAATTTTTTGAATGAAAATGCAGAAAGAAAATCAATTTCTAATAATTAAACTTTAATCAAGACAAATCTAATACAAACATGACCAATAATTCTTTTGCTGCTTAGGTACTTTTCTTGAGAGCGTCACAAATAAATAAATAAATAAATATATATTTGTTTGTGTATTTATTTAGTGATTGATTTATTTATTTATATAAAATAAACCACTTTTTGGAAGGAAGTGAAAATAAGTTGAGGTCATCATTTTCTAAATTTGGCATTTGTCAAATATGGCCTCGACAATATAAAATGAGTTCCAACTTTCCAACTCTTGTGTTTTTAATATATAATAAATATAAACATATATGAAAAGCTAATTCTAGAAGCTCTTGGGCATTTTTGGGTTTGGTTAGAGGAATAGTGGGAGGAGGGTGAGAATCTTGACATGCCAACTTTAGATAGATAATAAATTATTAGAAATTTATTGAACACAATTATTATATCTCAACCAGTTTTCAATTTTGTTTTAACAGATTATATAGACATTGTTTCTCGAGGTATAATAAATTTAAATAAAATATTTTCAAATTAGAATAAAATGAATGCTTTTAAAGAGATCATGATCTTTTTTTAAAAAAAGTCTCACCTCTAAAAATCGTGCAAAAGCTGGTTTTGAATGACAGGTATTTTTAATGGCTGTCTTTGCAGATTTCCAATTATCGAGAAATAGTGTGTAGGTTTCCAGGACAACTGGTTTCATAAACTAGAAAATAAAAAATTGACAATTTGGGAGATTTATTACTATCAAAAATAGTAGACAGTTTATTTTTTGAAAAAAAAATTAGTAACGTTTTCTTCATTTGTAGTAAAATTGACTTTACAAATAGTAAAAGTATGAAAATAGAAAAATTTGTCAGAAATATCCTTACCACGTCAAGAAACACATCTCCTATTGTTTGTCCAGGTTCCCATGTTTCCAATCGTTTTCGTAATTCTTCGAGAAATACTTCGTGGTGACTGAGTATTGCTGGAATCTATAATTAAATTATTTATAATCTCTATATCACAAAAGTTTTCTTCTTAAATCCTTTTTATAGAATTCCATTCTTCTTTTTCAAAAATCAACTTTTGTTTCACCATTTCATGACTATTTGATCAGTTTTAGTTTCTATACCAGAGATATAGAAATATAAAGTTTAAAAATAGAATCTCTGCTATAAACTCTTTAAATTCGAAGTGTATTGAAAGTTTATTTCGATTTTTGTAATCGATAAAATATCCGTTTAAATTCTTTTGTGTCTTATTTTATATAAAAAATGTACAATGGAAATTTTTTTTTCTCTTTTGAGGAAAAAAAAGCTTTTTCTACAGGTACTCCCAAAAATTACAAACAAACAAAAATCGATTATTGTAAAACTGGGAAAAATAGCGTGTTTTGTATAAAAGAATTTGTAGAAAAAGTTTGTAATTATATTCTCTGATATAAATATTATCGAGTTACGATACACTAATTATAATGATGAAAGAATATAAAGGAGATAAAAAGTACCTGATAGAATATTTCATCGACTGTCGCTGAATCCACAAGACCAGCATTTTCCGGACTCTTGAGTGGTTGCAGATATTTCTGCAATAATATTCAAAATATTATCCAATTTAAAATGATAATAATAATAATAATAATAATAAAAATTATTATTATTACCATCATTATCATAATTATAATAATAATTCCAATAAGTTATGTATAATTTATTACCTAATATTAATTTTTTTTATTTTTCTTATTATTATTTTTATTTTTATCACTCTTTATTATATAAAATTTCGATCAATATATTTCACAGTCATTTAAAAGCAATATAAAAATAATTGAACTCGAATTTCTTTTCCCTTGTTTCCAATTAGAAACGAAGATTTTCCCAATGATCTCCAATTTCATTTTCTCTTGTTACCAATTAAAATAAAGTAGCATTTTATAGATATTCTTGAAATGCACTTTTCAAATCATTTTTCATTTAACGTCCCATTTCTCTGTAGTTAAACGAGTCCATTCTTTATAATCTTTAATTCAGCTGCTCTTATTTTATCAACGAAAATAAAAGAAGAGAAAATTTAGTTTTGAGAATTTTTTCTAAACTTTTATTCTTTTTGAAAATTTAAGTTTTTTTAGTCAAATTTAATTTTTCGATAGCTACACGATAGTCAATACACGGAAAAAAATTAATTGTTAATAGAAATTTTCATTTGCTAATAAAGTAAATTTTTTGTTGTCTCAACAATTTGGAATTGTTGTAGTAACAAAACCACTTCAGGTGATTGCAGTGAACACAAACTTAATTGTTGATTCTACTGCAGCAACCAATCAGATTTGTTAGTTCTATATTAATAATCTAATAATAACAATATTTTTTTAAATGGATAAATAAATATTTAAATTAAATAAATTAAATTTAATTTAGTTGAACTAAATATAAGATTTATACAACAAAATAGTGTCTTTGATTGATTCAGATATATAATTTTCTTCTGAGTGTAGAGTCATAACTAAAAAGGATTATTATGCGCCTGAGGGATGAGTATGTTTACGGAAATTGTTTCGCTCCTCTTAACATATTTTCCGTTACCTACTCTCGTGTTATATATCTACTCTTGCCTCTTTTTTATTATCAAACTTACGTGCGTTTTCTTTATTTTATTTATTGATTGGAGAGGTTAAAGGGTTTTATTAGAGTTGTTTTCTTTTGTTGGATAGTGTAGGAAAAAAAGAATGCGACAAGGACATGATAGAAGATGAAGACAATGATCCTGAATATAAAAAGATCCTTTGTCCTCGCACTTATAAGTCCATAAATGTTTATGTGTGTCGCAGCTGCCCCTGAGATGTTACCCTTGAATGGAAATGCAAGGCTCGCATGGCCATTCCCTTGAGACAATAAAACGTCACATTACGTATACCAGTTACTCATATGCTTATGTTTATATCCTCTCTCGAAAATTTTCACACTGTATAACTGAATTTCTGAATTTCATTTTCGTCTCCCCTCCCGCAACTTTGGCGCCTTGTCCGCCCAAAACACGTCACTGTTATTTACATGGCGCCTATATTCCCGCAGATTTATCATTCAGGTATTTCCATTTCGATAGATTGATTTATTAAATCTCATCCTTTTATTTTGTTTTTCTTTTATATATAAATCTCACTCAAAATTTAATAAACGAACATGTGTTGCCCATATGGAAATTTATTACGGCCTCAGAACGTCTCGCCCTAGATTGGCTATTTGCTGTAGTGTAACTTAATAGTCTTGAAATTAAATCTACTCATCAGTGCTTGACAACTAAATTATTTTTTACTATTTTTTGTGTCCACGAAAAAATCCGCAGTCGCCAAGAATCGAACCTCGGTCCCCCTATACTGCTTTCGCGAGTCTAGTAGTGAAGCCACTGAGCTATTGCACTTGACAATGTCTACAAGTTAAAAATTTGAGAATAAAATTAAAAAATTTCAATTTTCTGAAGTAGAACTTGTTATAAACATGGAATTCATATTAGAAATCATAAAACTTAAAAATAAAAACACATGGGACGGGAAATTTTGAATAATTTAATTTTCTGAAAAATTGAAAGAGTACAAAATTTTTGTTGAATGTATAATTTTTTTTTGTGTTTTCTTGATGAAAAAGAAAATTTTTTACGAAATTGAAAAACAATATTTAAGTGTAATCGAAAATTGAAAACAAAAATGAATATTAATTTGCAATTAATCAATATTGGTTTGTCGTACGTCCTGCACTTAACGTCCAGGGTTAATGAGAAACTTCAGGAAATGAGTAGTTATTGAATGAATCTTATGTATGATCATAGTAACGTCGCTACTCGTTCAACTGGAATAGTTGTTTTGTTGTTGTAAATAAAGGGAGCTTGTTGACAAAAATCTCAGTTACGCGCAATTTTCAGTAAATGCGTATTATTTCATACCAAACTTGAAAAAAAACCATGCAGTTTTATTAAAGGATCCATAAGTAATTGGAAGCATTCCCTAAAATTGATTTTTAAAATTTCCCAAAGTTTTGAACGTTCAAGTGAACGAAATTTTTTTTGTTTTTAAAAATTCACTAATTTAATTAAAATGTAATATAAATAAATTAAACACTTTAATTTAGTTAAGAAATTAATTTTTTAAGTAAATATACAAATTGAATGAAGTAACAAAAATATTGTCATTTACTTGAACGTTCAGAATTTTTTTAAACTTGTTACTGTTTACTTTAGAATTTTCAATTCTTTTTACTAAAATTTTAATTAAAAATTACTACATTTTAGTAAAAATTCATATATACTAATGCAGGGTTGCCACAGGTCAGGGAAATCAAAGAAGAGTCAGAAATTTTTATTAAAAGTACTGGAAAAAATTTTCAATTATTTCCATAAATAACAATATTCATCACAAGAATTCAATTATTTTCAAAAGTAATAAAATTCTTCGAAGAAATTCAATTATTTTTAAAAATTTTAACGAATATCTCGTTAAGAATTCAATTATCTTTATAAATAGTCTTTATAAATAATCTTTATAAATCTTTCGCCAAAAATTCAATTATTTTTTAAAATTTAAATAAAATTCTTTGCAAAATTTAAATTAGTTTCAATAGTTTTTCGCAATTCAATAATTTTCAATATTTACTATTTTCATAAAATATATTAAAAAATTTAATTATTGCAAAAAAATTGTTAATACAATTCTACGAAAACATTCAATTATTTTCATAAATAATAAAATTTTATTTAGGAATTCAATTAATTTCATCGCAGAATTTTAAATATTTTTAAAACAATGTTAAATAAATTTTTCGAAAAATGCAATTGTTCTTAAAAATTTTATTAAAACTTGACAAAAGAATTCAATTTTAAGAAACATTCAATTTTTCAATAAAATAATAAAATTCGTTGCAAAAATTCAAATATTTTCATAAAAAACTTGTAAAACTTGTTTCATAAAAATTCGTTGCAGAAAATCAATTATTTTCATAAGTTAATATAAAATTCTTGGCAAGAATGCAATTATTTTTATAAATAATAAAATTCTGTAAAAGAATTCAATTATTTTGATAAACAACAAAATTCTTTCCAAAAAATCAATTATTTTAAGGAATTTTAATAAAATTCTTTTCCAAAATTCAATTATTTTGATAAATTACAAAATTCATCACGAAAATTCAATTCTTTTGAAGGGTATTTTCAAAAATTGTGATAAAATTTTTAATTCAATAAATTTCTATAAAATTTTAATTAATTTCCTTAAAAGAAATTAATTATTTTGAAAAAATAAAATTTAAAATTCTTCATAAAAATTCAATTCTAAAAAACATTCAACTATTCAATGAATTATTTAGTTTTGTATTTAAATAATTGAATTCTCGTAGAATTTTCTAATAAAAATTTATTTCAAAATGAATTTCGGTTAAAATTTTGGATAATAATTTTATAAAATAAAGCTCATGATTTTTTAGAAATAATTGATTTTTGAAAAGCTTTTAAATTCAAATCTTTGTAATTGTAAATTTTTCGTACTTTTAACTAATAATTAATTTAAAGAAAAATTGTAGTTAAAAATTCTAGAAAATATTAATTGAATTTAAATGATGAAAATAATTTCGATGAAGTTAGAGTAACAATATTCTTAAATAAAAAAATAATTTTATCACTGGGTTATCTTTAATATTTAATTATTATAAAAACATGAAGAAGTCAATCACTTCGAGTCGAAGAATTTCAAAAAGGTTTAAATTTGATATTTTTGAAAATCTTACTTCCCAAGGAAAAATAATATAATCAGAATATTCTTAAGGGTCAGGAAAAATGTCATAATTCTCTCTGGAAATCAGGTAAAAGTTAGGGAAAAACAAAATTAAATTTTTGAGGCAACCCTGTAATGTGAAACATTACTAATTATTTATTAATTAGCTATCAACAATTAATTCTAACAAATTGAATAATAACTAATTTTAATAATTATAACTAATAACTTATTATTAATTAGTTATCAATGAAACAGACAACAATAAATTATTTATTAGCGTATAAATGTACAGTTAATTAATTATTTATTGGGATAAAGAGGAAAGCAATTTGAAAAGCAGGAGGACTTCCGTAGTGATTTCTACTTAAAACTTTAAAAGTTAGCTTGCAATTAAAACTTGAATACAACTTTAATATTGTATAGAGAATGAGATTAAAATTTTAGATAGAGAAACTATCTTCTTTGGAATTAGTAGAAACATATTCTTATAATTAACCTTTTTTTTTGTCGAGGATTTAAAAAAAATTCTAATTATTTAAAATTATTTTTATATTGCAATAAATAAATTCAGTTAACATATGGTTTTTATATGTTTTGAAATGTTTTTTCCATGTTTCATATATAAATGTCGGGAATTATGCAATAAACTTACATTGACTAGTATTTGTAGAGCCTCGACGTAAGATCTTTCTGTATCATAAAGTTCAACGACAACGTGTGTTCTTGTATCCTGCAACAAGAAGAAACAAATATTACCATTCATGATAAATCTCCCTTTTTTTATGATATAAAGTATTTTATGTGGAAACTATTCAAGTATTTTTGTTATTTATTTTTCAATTTATTTAAATACATTAATAAAATAAATTAAACTAAAATAAAATTTTAGTTCAGTCACTAAAAGCTACTATTTCTGTTTTTTTTTTGAGAATTTCCACTACTTTAAATTCGCTAATACTATAAATCAAAAATATTCTCAAAAATTATATATAATTAAATTCTTTAAAATTATATAAATTATATATAATTAAATTCTTTAAAATACGATTATTTTCAATCTCTAGTATTTTCATAAAATTTCGAAAAAATCAATTACTTAACAAAATTTGTTCACTAATATTAATAGAAATAATAAAACTCATAGAAGAATTTCAATTATTTTTAATACAATTTTAATCGAATTTCTCGAAAAATGTAATAATTTTTACAAATAATGTAATACACAAGAATTTAATTATTTAAAATAAAATTTTCATAATATTTAATATATTTCGAAAAAATTAATTATTTAAAACAATGTTTATAAAATTTAGAGCTGTGCCAAATAATTCGAACCGAACTGTTCGAATTTTTTCGCCTAGTTCGAATGTCGAAAATTCGACATTCGAGTTAGCTTAGTACGAATGGAGACGCATGCTTATTCCCGAAATCTTTTTTAACCAAATAGTTATTTGATATAAAACTACTTAACTTAAAATTCACATAATATGCACATTACTTGACATAAATTTCATTGCACACAAAAACCATTTAACATAAATATCATTTGTCATAGAATTCATTAAACAGAAATATTATGTTACATAAAACTCAGTTTAACTTAATTCCCATTTGGCATAAAAATTATGTAACATAAATTTCTATTGACATAAAAATCATTTAACATAAATTTCTTTTGACATAAAACTCATTTAACGTAAATTTTATTTGTTATGAAATTCATTTGACATCAATTTCATTTGGCATAAATGTCATTTAACGTAATTCTCATTTGACATAAATATCATTAGACATAAAGTTCACTTGATATCAATTTCATTTGACGGATAAGTCATTACACATAATTCTCATTTGACATAAAATTCATATGTCACAGATTTCATTTTACAAAAAGATCATTTGACATAGAAATATAGGCGCGAATTTCAAAATTGGCGAATCACAATGTTGTTGATTATATCTAATTGGTTACTTTTAAAATTGGCGCCGATATTTTTATGTAAAATGTAATTTGTGTAAAATGATTTTTATGTCAAATGAGAATTTTGTTAAATGACTTTTATGACAAATGAGAATTGTGTTAAATGTCTTTTATATCAAATGAACTTTATGTCAAATGAAAATTATGTTAAATGGGATTTATACCAAATGAAATTTATGTCAAGTAAATTTTATGTCAAATGGCATTTATGCTAAATGAAATTTATATAAATTTAATTTTACGTTAAATAATAATTATGTTAAATGATATTCACGTCAAATGAAATTTATGTCAAGCTAATTTTATGTCTAATGATATTTAATATGTCAAATGAGAATTACGTTAAATGATTATTCGACATTCGACATTTCGGCGCCTCAAAACCGAACAAAACTCGGTTCGGTTCGAATTTTGCACAGCTCTAATAAAATTCTTATGAAAAATTCAATTATTTACCAAAATATTAGAATTTTTCATAGGAATTCAATTATTTTCAAATATTTGAATAAAATTTATAGAAAAAAATCAATTATTTAAAATAAAATTTTAATAAAATTTTTTTGAAATAATTCAATTATTCTTTTGGATTTTAGTAAAATTCTTTCCGAGAATTTAATTATTTACATAAATAATTCTTTGAAAGAATTCAATTATTAAAGATAAATAACAAAATTATTCCGGAAAATTCAATTATTTTGAGACATTTTAATAAAATTCTTTACAAAATTCAATTATACTTTCATAAATTACAATACTTATCACAAGAATTCAATTATTTTTAAAAGTAATAAATTTCTTTTTGGAAATTCAATTATATTTAAAAAAATTCTAATTAAATCGTTCGCATTAATTCTATTATTTACACAAATAATAAAAAAAATATTACGAATTCTGTAGCGTAAAAGTAAAATAATGGCTTTTTTTTGACCCACCACCCTATTCTACTAAAGTTTACACTGATAGTTTATAATTGTTGAATTATGAGAGTCACGAGTTTTTATAAAATTGTTGCCCGCTAAAAAGTTGTCATTAGTGAATTATATAAGTTTTACGAGTTTTATATATGAATATTAATAAACATAAAGATATATTAATAAATGAAAGATAACAAAAGGGGTCTACACATATATGACATTTTGAAAGTGTCATTCTCTGTGTCTAACTTGAGAATATAACTGATTTGTTATCGGGAACAATTGTCTCAAGGACAATCCTATTGAGGAAAGCTCGGTACTGGCTTTAACAACTTTGTTGCTTCATATGGCCTCGATACTCATATATATCACGTTGCAGGCCCAAAACAATGCTTTATACATTTTAGCACGCGCGAATTTAATTTTGCTTATGGTGCTCGTATACACTATATACGTATTTCGAACGTGTAAAAGACACCCACCCCTAAAGGCACGTGCTGCGTGTACGTCCAAAACAAAAGTTCATGGTTATTGAAAAGCTTCGCGAATAAAAAGACAAATCGATATATAAAAGTGAATAATCTCGACGAACATATTGACATTGATTGATATTTAAATGATTGTATAAAATAAAAGTATTTAACCGGAGAGAAAGAGAAAGAGAGAGAGAGAAAAAGGGGAATTTTTTTTAGAAAAATTATAGAGAAAAAAATTAGTAATGAAATAGTTGACGCAGTTTGATTTTTATTTCACAATTTATGTCTCCTTTTTTAAAAAAAGCAACCGACGAGTTTCATACAGAATAGATTTTTTTTAAAATAAATTAATTCAATTTAGTTCGTATATTTTTTATAGCGAAAAAGAAAATAAAAAAGCCAAGATTCAGTTATTTATAATTGATTCAATTTGAGCGGAAAAAAATTGAATGTCTAAAAATTTTATTTTTATTACACTAGAAAAATCTTTATTTTAAATAGAAAAACGATGAAATTTTTTAAAACTTTTATATAAAGTAGATATATATAAACGAAACTTTTATATCAACTATTTTAAACTCAAAATTTCGTAAATTAAAATTTTGAATTTAAAATTCAATATTTGAAAAAAGTTAAATCAAACATTTCGAAAATTTAAAATTAAAAAGTTGAATTAAACATTTTGAAAACTTAAAATTAAAAAGTTGAAATTTACGTTTTGAAAATTTAAAATTCAAAACCTAAATTTAACAAAACTTTGAGAATTTAAGTTAAAAAAGTTGAATTACCAACATTTCGAAAATTTGAAATTAACATTTTGAGAATTTCAGTTTAAAAAGTTGAATTATAAACATTTCGAAAATTTAAAATTAAAAAATTGAAATTAGCATTTTGACAATTTTAGATGAAAAATTTTGAAAATCTTAATTAAAAATTTTCATACATGCTTTAAAATAAAAATTTTTTACACATTTAAAAATTTTTAATTTTTGAAATAATTTAAAAGCATAAACTAAATCTTTTATTTAAATTACCTGATTATTTGAAAAAAGAAGTGCGGGACGCTAAATCTGCATTATGAGAAATGAATAATTTTTTAAATGATGTTATAAATTATTTACCCACCACTAATTTTAAGAAACAATCACCATCATCACTTCCTTCTGAAGATTGACTGCAGAGTCTTTCTTCCACACTCATACTTAATTTTTATCAAAAAAATTTACAATTGTTTTTTATTTACTGTTTCGTTAAACACAGTTGAAATTTTCAATTCTCATCTATTAGTGATTTCTTAATTTTTTTTACTCGACACAACACTTCTTTTTATATTAAATCATTCATATTATTTTTTTTACATTTTATATATAAAGTCACCTGAAGCTGAAAAAAATTCATAATAGAACAATTATAATTTATAACATTTGTTGCTTTAGAAATGTTTAGTTGTACAGTAAATCTTTTATCTACTGCAGGTTGTTTTGTTCTTTGGTTTCAGTTTAAATTTCATAAAACATTTTTTTAATTAACATTTTCAATTTTAATTTAATTTTTAATTATCAGTCTATAGAATTTTATTTATTATAACTTTAATTATTAATTATTACCCTTTCGTCTGTTTCTATTTTTTTGTCTTTAGTTAAATTTTAAGGAAAATAAAGTTTAAATGCTTTTTATTTTTTAAAGGAATTTACAAGGAATAAATAAATAAAAATATAAACTATTTACATAAATGAAACCATTTCTTTATTTAAGTAATTTAAATTTATAAACTAAATTAAATTCCTATAAATTAATAAAATTCTTATGGTTAAAATTTCAAAAAAAAAATAAAATAAAATGGATATAAGTTTAAAATAATATTACGAAAGTTTATCATTTATTTATTTTAAAAAATCAAACAAATAAAATTAAACTTCTATTAATTAATAAAATTTTTGTGGTTTAAATTACGAACAAAAATAAATAATGAAATAAATAAATTTAGGTAAATTTCTATTAATTAGTGTAATTGTGATTAATCTTTGTAATTACAAAGATGAAGAGTAAATAAAAAACGTCTGAATTTGGAACATTTCGAAAAATTTGAAAATTTCGTTTTTATAGAAATTAAAGGACTTTAAAGCTTACAACACCAGAGCAGGCAATGTTTACATTGTCTACTTTAACCGTTACGCAAACGCAAACATTTGAAACGAGAAGTGCTTCAAAAATGTTTAAAATTCGTTTGCAAGTGATTAACATTATATTTACATTTTCTAAATTCATAAAACCAGTGCTCAGCGTTTTTTTAAATTACAATTTTTTTACATCCCTTACTTTTAAAGTGACAACTTTTTTTCATTTCAAGAATTTATTTTTGGTCCTCTCTTTGTTTAATGAGATGGAATAAAATTCGAAAAAATTGTTTAAATTTTTAATACAACTTTGATTACTGCTAAGTTCTTTTTTTGACTATTTTTATTTATTATTTATATTGATTTAGTGTTTATTATTTATGCTTATTTATTGTTTATTACTTATATTTATTTACAGTTTATTATTTATTTATCTACTTCTTATTATTTGTATTTATTTACTGTTTAATATTTATATTTGTTTACTATTTATAACTTATATCTATTTACAGTTTATTGTTTATATTTCTCTACTGTTAATTATTTATATTTATTTTGTTTATTATAATTATATTTATTTGCAAAATATCACATTTTTCACAGCAACGTTTATTCCACCACCAAACACGTGTTCTCCTCGTTATTCACGCAAAAGAAAGTCACGCGCGTTTAATTGCTGGAAAAATAAAAAAAAACCTTTTTTCTCTATTACAAATTTTGACTATCTGAAAATTATAAGAGAAAAAGAAATTTTTTCCAGTCTCTATTAAATAAATCGAATAAAAATAGTGAAAAAGAAAAATTTCTAAATTTTAATTTAAAAAAATTCGAATTTATAGAGAAAATTTTTTTTTTATTATTTATTAAAAATTAGTTTTTTATATTTCAATAATACCGTAAGAAAGCGCGAACGGGGATGAAGCGTGCAGCAACAGGCATTACATCCCAGATACTATTCCTCCCAACGCAACGACTAGATACAAGGGGTTGATCGATGCCTTTAAGTGGAAAAGAGAAGGAAAAGGCGCAGCATCGGAACGCCGGCGCGTAATTTAACACTTTGTTGCTTTTACGGAAAAAAATATTATATATATATACACTAGAAGCCGATACGAGTAAAAAAAAGTAATCGCGCACTATATATATATGCAAACAAACAAAAAAATATGTTCGTGTATTAATAATTAAAAGTGTTGAGTTCATAATGAAATTATCAAAGGTAGCACTGGAAAACGCCGCAGTTTTTAGATCAAAGTGAATCAATATTTTTTTTTCAATTTTGCAGAAAAAAAAATTGGTTTTTTTTAAAACAGAAAACTAATATCTAATATTGGAAAATCGTATTCACCTGAATATGTTTTTTAAAAATAATTATTTTTATGTCACTCGGGAAAAAATTTATTTCAAAGTACCAAATTTTTGTTCAATTATTAATGGAATAAATTCGCATTCCTGTATAATTAACAAAATGTTCAAATTGAAAAAAAAATTTTATTGAATTTTGATTTAAAGTTCGTAAATTGTACGATATAATTTGGAGAATTTTAGAGAAATTACAAATGATTGCAGAAATTCAATTATTTTCAAAAGTAATAAAATTCTTCTCAGAAATTCAATTATGTTCAAAATTTTTTAAAAATTCTCGTCAAAATTTTAATTACCTTTAGAAATAATTAAATTCTTTTATGAAATTCAATTATTTTCAAAAATTTTAATAAATTGGCAAAATTTCAATTATTTATAAAAATTTTCCTCAATTCAATGATTTTTAGTATCTACTATTCTAATAAAATTTCCCAAAAGAATTCAATTATTTAAAAAAAAATTTAATAAAATTCTACACAAACTTTTAATTATTTTCAAAAAATAATAAAAATTTCACAGGAATTCAATTATTTACAAATTTTTTTATAAATTTCTTTGCAATCATTCAATTATTTTCATAAATAATAAAATTTTTACGCGGGCATTCAATTATTTTTGTAAATAATAAAATTCTTTTTAGGAATTTAATTATTTTCATAAATAATAAAACTCATTGCAGAATTTCAATTATTTTTAATACAATTTTAATTGAATATCACGAAAAAAATCTTAAAAATTTTATTAAAATTCGTCAAAAGAATTCTGTTATTTAAAAATTTACAGATAAAATTCTTTATGAGAATTCAATTTTATGAAACATGCAATTATTCAATAAATTGTTATTTTTGTATTTAAATATTTGAATTCTAGTAGAATTTTCTTATAAACATTGATTTAAAAATGGATTTCAGATCAAATTTTAGATTATAATTGAATTTTAAAGGCTTTAGAGCGTAAATTTTTAGAAATAATTGAATTTTGAAAAGGTTTCAGATTAAAATCTTTGAAAATTTAAATTTTTCATATTTTTAACCAACAATTCTGTGAAATGAATTTTTTTGAGAAACTTTAATTGCGGATTATTTTGAAATTATTCAAAGTTTTTATTTTCTCATATATATTTAATTGAAGAATTTACGAATAATTGAAATTTTGTAAAATTGAATTGTAAACTAAATATAAATTCACTCTACTTTTGAATACTTAAAAGGAAGTGACACCTCTTTCAAAAGAGTAACGAGAGTATATAATTAAACTATAAACATCCGGAAAAATGACGTTGATAAAGAGGAATGTGTTTTTCGAATTTTATTTATTTATTTTTTTGTGCACGTTACCAAAAATCAGGATACAAGAACGATTTAGACAATTACGAATTTATAGTTGTTGGAAAAATAAAAAAAGAAAATTGAATATAAAAATATATTCTATTTTTCGCCCTGTGTTGTGAAGAGTAGTAGTAAATATTTGCGGATCATCACTTGATGATCATTCATTCATCCTGTGAATACGCGCGCATTACTATCTCGTGCGACCAAGAAATCCGGATCGAACGACATATATGTATATAGACATTTGTCGGTTGTGTTCTAATTTTGAAGGAATGAATGCTTGATGTATTGAAATATAAGAGTAGGAGTTTTGTGACGTTGGCCACCTGGTGGGCGATGCCGGAACTCACACCTGCGTCAATGCGAATCACGCGTGCTTTGTCTATTTCAGCCCGTATAACTGTCATTCAAAAAAGTCTTTATTCAACTTTTATACAATGATATTATACTACTCTCCATTATTAGATCACATTATACATTCTGACAATCCTTTTCAAGATATTCATTAATGTATAACTTTAGATGCATATAATATTGACAAGTTCGCGGAATAATATTGCTCTTCAAGTATTTATAATATATTATACACGAGATCAGGAAATTTTCATATTTATGAAGATATTGGAGAAACAGAATTAGAATTCAATGTTCGATACTGTGTTTCCTACTTTAATAATGGTGAAAAATAGAGCTTCTTGCATGGAAAAAAAATATAGGGGAAAGTGGGGCAAAGCTGGATACTCTTGTTTTCCATTTATAGGTACCATGGAGAATAGACTACAGGAGACCAATCTAATGTATTTGAAATCGAACACTTTTGCGTCTGAAGTTAATTGTAGTTCACCAATTTCTCGCCTGTAGCGTATGTATCGGTCGTGTAAGTTGTGAATAAACTAACCAAACTTAACCTCTAAGCACTTTGTTTTTCTAAATATATTCTATACATTTTACTTTTATTTGTAAAATAAAAGTAATATTTATTATTCTTCTACATTTTAAAAATTTATTATTCAATTGTTAATAAAATTTAAAAACAAAAATTTGAATTTTGTATCACAACTTACACCACCGATTCATGCGACACAGACGGAAACTTTTGAACTAAGATTAGCTTCCGACGCAAAAGTGATCGGCTATATTGAAGTACGAGCATAGCAGTTTGGTCTCCTGTAGTCTATTCTCCATGATAGGTACTTTCAAAATTTAAATCCATTTATATTAACTGTCAAACTCTCTAGATTCAACGTCCGATCATAAATAATCATAAAATTACGAATATCTTGAGAATTAATATGGAGATGCTATTCTCCACCTGCGAACGCCAAGGTCACCGCTAGATGTCAGTATAGTTGATAAAATCGAATTCCACGCCATCTAGTGATCACAGTAAAAAGTAAATCTTAAGCTGCCTTAAATTCAACACTGTCTGCTATAATGTTAAAGGATACGAAAAACGTGCGTAAATTCAACATTGACTGTCTTAAAAATGTTGCATCTTAATTTAAGGCAGCTTTCGTGCCTTAAAATAAGATTTTCTTTTTACTGTGATGATCTTGACGTTATCAAGTGGAGAAATTAAACCACCATTTTATCCATCAAAAAATTTGTTATAATTAATAAAATGCAAAAAATGTTATTGTGAGAAAATCTTATTAGTCTTATTTTTAAGAAGTTAATTTTTATTTATCAAAAGTTTTCTAGAATAATTATTCTATTATTTATAATTGTTTTTTTTTTGGGAATTATTTCAATTATAAAAGTTTTTTTAATAATTGTAATTTAATTCTTTTATACAAAATAATTATTTAATAATTCTGAATAAGCTTTTGATTTTTTTTTTTTTGAAAACTATTTTCTAAATTAAAAAAGAAAAATGAATTGACAAACTTTTAGTACAATATACATTTTGTTTCTCATTATTGCTAAACACTGTTCAACTTTCAAATACTGATGTGCACGTGCACATCAGAGACACGTTTTTGCTTCATATATGTTTTAAAATTACGCAATTTGGCAACAATTTTCTGCAGGTGGAAAAACAGAAAATTCTTGTTCCTGTAGAATGTGTGTGAATAATAAATTGAGTTCTGTAACTATAGATAGTAGCTTCTTTGTATTTTTAATTCATAATTTCTAATTTTTGAAAAATAATTTAATTTTGATTTTTTTTTTTTGGTTTGTTTTAGAAACACACAAGCCCCATCGCGATGCTTGGAAAGATTCTCTGACAGTCAAAGATGTTTAAAGGATCGGCAGTCAAGGTAGGATTTTTAATTACATATTAATTAACATATTAATTCTCTTCAATTTTGATGACTTAAAAATTTGAATTTTCGAAAAGGGAGGTGGGATTAGATAAAAATTAGAAAAAATGTTCTTAAAAAAGAAAAAACCCAGTTAATTCTTACACGGAATTTGTTATATTTAAAAAAAACTAAACTAATTATCAAAGTTTGTTAAGTAGCGAGAATTAACGATAGAACTGAAGTTACAAACATTCTTTGTCGACGCAAAAAGAGAAGAATCTTTCTTTTTAAGAGCAAGAAGAAAATAATTTTTTATAAAAAAAACTTAATTCTTATTCCCATTACGTCCTAAACAGATTTTCAATCCAATCGATGCGGCGAAGACAATACTGGAAAATTAAAGCTTTTTTTATTTAATTTCGTCGACCTAACCGTGTCAATAACTTCAGTTTCATAATTAAAGTACTTAATGTAATAATACTTTCTAAACGAATGAGAATATGTATATAAAAGTCGTCCAATCGTAAATTAGATTTTCTGATTTAGTGAAGGAAAAGTTTTTGGTAAATTAATCATTGGGAGAATGGCAGGGAATTTTGAAATTGAAATTTTACTGCTACAAAATAATTTTTTTTGTCACTCTCAAAGATGTTTTGAAAATTGGCCATTCCCCTATTCCAGGCTTGCTTCCAAGTATTGCTGAAAGCTATTTTTAAGAAAGTATTCGTCAATTTTATTTGGCTTGGGTCACAACTAAATTTTGTGCATATTTTAATTCCAACACGGCGGAGGGCACATCTCCAGAAAAATGTCAATGACAATTGATAATAATAATTACTTGTCGTTTAAATTTATCTATTTTTTTGCAAAAAAGAAAAACTGCAGACTAGAAAAATAAATCAAAAATATTTACATTAATTAAAAAATTAAATAATTTGATTTAAAATATTTCATATTAGAACAATTTTCTGAAAATTATACTATTTTTAAACGGAATCCTTTCTTGAAAATCGAAATCCCAATTGAAAAAACGTAATCCCGCTTTTTAAAAATTAAAATATATTTTTTTTGGCATAAATTGCTATGAAAAAGAAAAAGAAACAAACAAAAAATAATTTATATTTTCTGCATGAAGCAGGTATTATAATAAAATTTTGAACTTGAAAAAGAAATAAATAAATTTCGCTCATTTAAATATTTCGAACTTTAGAAACCTTTCGAAACTTGTAACAGAAGAAAAAAAAACAACAAATAATAAAAATGTTTGCTATATAATGGCAATTTAAAAAACTTTGTTTTCTCTAAAAATAGAAATTCCTGATGAGTCATTTTCGCTCCAGTGATTTTACACTGGATTCTCATTCTCTCTCTCTCTCTCTCTCTCTTTCTTCAAGTCAACAAAAGTTGGTCTCGTGCAACTATAATAAACTTGCACTAGAAACAATAGGTTTTCGACCTACCAGGAGGTCTTTATGTTGAACGATAACTCATCAGAGGAACATGTTCGCTTACACGCTTCATTTAAAACGTCGTAAACTTTTTTTCTCCTATGCAAGTAGAATTCATCACTTGTTTAACACATCTCTCAATAGTATAATAAATTCCTTGTGTGAATTTTTATCACTTAATCCAACATGGGGTACTGTTCGTTTATTTATAATTTTCGGAAAATTAAACAGAATTCGAAGAACAACTTTAGATTGAATCGGAGTGAAATTTACTCTGCCGGGAAATAACGAATATAGTAACTTTTACTACATTCATGAAATCTAAACAGTTGGATTTTTGAAATACTGAGGAATTTCTCACTATTTTTGCGATGTCAATTTTTCCTATTTTTTTTTTTTTTTGAGTAAATTTTATTTCTTTCCAAGTAAAATTTGATAAAAATTAGTAAAATTTACTTCCGACGTGTAGTTAAGTTTATTCCGCACGGAAGAAACAAAAATAAACTTTTATACTACTGACCGGAATTTATGCATTTCTGGCAATGTTTATTATTTCCGGAGTAAAATTTACTACTTCCGAAATCAATTTTTGTAAAAACAATTAGTGAATTTTACTTTCGAGGTATAGTAAAATTTACTTCACTTAGAAAAAACGAATATAGTAACTTTTACTATACTTTTATAAAATCTAAACTTGTCAAGAATTTTAAAGTATTTTTTAATCTGCAATTTTTACTATTTTTGGAGAGTAAATCTTACTACTTTTGAATTTTTAGCATAACTTATTGTTAGTGAAATTTACTTTCGACATATAGTAAAATTTACTTCGCAAGAAAAAAACGAATATAGTAAATTTTACTAATTTTATGAAACCAAAACTTTTAGGGATTTCTGTATATTCTTAAGATGGTAATTTTCATTTTATCCGAAGTAAATTTTATTACTTTTCCCATGTTCCAAAAAAAAATTTTAGTAGACTAATTTTTTTCTTTTTTAAAAATAGTTTCAATCTCGAAAAATAGTTTTGACGCTGAGCGTGAACTAACTATATAGGAACTTAAAGTTACTCAATTTCCATTCTGAAATAGTAAATGTTGATGTTGCGAAATTCGCAATTCGCAATTCGTAGTTTTTTATTTATTAGTTGAAGAGTAACTTACATTCCGTTGAGCCGGAGCTCGAGCAACTCTTTCCGAGGAGCCTCGAAGAAGTTCTGCTAAAAGTTCCGGACTTGGTCCAGGTAATCCTTCCAATTTACTGGGACTGGATGTTGTTCTGTGATGGCAGGGCGTAGGTGGTCCGGAATTGCTATTTGTACTCGAATTAAAGGAGAGATTCGCTGAAATTTTTCTTCTTGGGTGTAGTCCCTCCTCTAGACTCATGTCCGTTGTTCGTGGCTTTGCCATTTCTGCCTCTAGCATCTGACCATAGGGACCTCTTAACGGCCTCTTACTGTATCTAAAAGGAAAATAGTTTTTCAATATTTGTAATTTAAAATTTTCTCTCCCTTCAGAATTAACAATATTTTGATACTCAAAAATCAGAAAACAATTATAGTTTTCGACGCCAACTTTAGGGACCCAAAGCTGTTGGTAATTCACCAATTTTTAACACCAAGATTCTCTTATTTTTATTTTTATTCAGTGACAAAAACTTTAGGGTTTCTATAATTTTTGTTTCGATTCTGTAAAAATTTTTTTTTGTTGGGAAAATAGAATGAAAGTTTAAAGCAATATAACAAAATAAGAAGATAACAGAAGATTTGATCGTTTTGCTCACCTTCTGGGAACTTGTCCCTCACAATCGGAGAGATCGCTAGGCGTTGCTGGGGGATCATCTTTTTCTTCGCTACTCTGAGCCACGAGTTTGCTCCGATCGATGTCTGATGGTTCTGGCCACTGAGTTATGTAGACTCCTTTTCTTCTTTTACTCGTGTCTCCGCGATATCTTCTCACTTTGCCTGAAGGCGAAGAGGTTTCAGAAGCTGCTTCACTTGGAGCTTCACTTCCTTCACTGGCTTGACTCAGCCTTGGCTCCTCGGCCGGTGGTGTCACTATTACTTCGTGCGGTTCCAGTCTCATCTCTGTGAAAATTCATTTTCCCTCCGTTAGAATTCCAAAAATTAAAAATGGCTAATCCAATATGGCTACTAACATATTTCAATAAAATCACGCTATATTGCTTTTAATATTCAATTATTATCTAACATTTTAACTGAAATTAATTTTTAAATCAATTTTTATTAGAAAATTTTACTAGAATTCAATTATTTAAATACAAAAATAAATAATTTATTAAATAATTGAATGTCTCTTAAAATTCAATTCCCGTAAAGAATCGTTATCAACAAATTTTCAAATAATTGAATTCTATCAACGAATTTTAATAAAATTTTTAAGAATAATTACATTTTTCGAAAAATTCGATTAAAATTGTATTAATAATAATTGAAGTTGTGTGATGAGTTTTATTATTTGTGAAAATAATTGAATCCCTAAGAAAAATTCGATTACTTATGAACAATATTTAATTTTTGCGAAGATATATTATTACTCTTGAAAATAAATAATTGAATTTCTGCAATAATTTGTAACCTTTCAAAAATTGAATTTTTTTCGTGTTTCTAACTAAACATTTTCTATAAATCCATCATTTATAATAATTTTTGAAAAAGATCTTTAACAATTTTCAAATTTATTTGTTTACAATTCAATTTTACAAAATTTCAATTATTCGTAAACTCTTTAATTAAATATATATTAGAAAATAACAACTTCAAAAAAAATTCAATTAAACCTTATGAAAAAAATTAATTGCACAGAATTGTTAGTTAAAATTTTAATTTGAAACCTTTTCAGAATTCAATTATTTCTAAAAATTCTATGTTATAATGGTTTTCATATTCAATTATTATCAATAAAATTTTAACTGAAATTAATTTTTAAATCAATTTTTACTAGAAAATTTAACGAGAAGTCAATTATTTAAATACAAAAATTAATAATTTATTGAATAATTGAATGTTTCTTTAAATTAAATTCTCAAATGGAATTGTATCAGAATTTTTTAAAATAATTAAATTGATACGAAGAAATTTATAAAAAAAATTTTAAATAATTGAATTCTTGCAACGAATTTTATTAAAATTTTCAAAAATAATTGAATTCTTACGAAGAACTTAATTATTTTTTTTTAATTAATTAAATTCTAGCGAAGAATTTTATAAAAATCATTTTAAATAATCGTTTTTTTTCGAAAAATTTTATTGTTTGTTTGAAAATAATTAAATTTCTGTGAAAATTTTATTATTTAAGAAAATAATTAAATGCCTGTAAAAATTTTATATTATTTATGGAAATAATTGAATTATTGCGAAAAAATTTATAAAAAATTTGCAAATTCATGTTTGAATATCTTTTTGACTTAAAATTAAACTGTAATTTCAAAAAGTAATTTTTTAAAATAGTCAAATTATAATTTTAAAAATTTGTCAAAAAGAGTAAAATAATTAGTACAATAATTATACAGACAAAACAATGTGTTAAATATTAAATTTGAAACGTCAGATTTTATTTTTAAATTCCAACATCTTTTTTGACCCCTTGTCCCTGAATCTGTAATAATATTAATTTTCCAACTAATACCTATAATCTATTCACAGAAAATCATTAAAATATTTTTGGTATCAATCGTGTCAACCGAAAGAAAGATTATGAAATTCCACATTTCAGAATCGATTTATCTTTATGAGGGTGAAACTATTTTCAGTGCATCATTAGTACAAAGGTTCCAAGTTTATTTTGTGTGAAACTATTTTGGCTAAGGTCTCAATGCTAAACGAACTTTTTTTTTTTTTTTGAAGGAATTATGAAAAATAAATGATGGACAATCAATGAACTAATTAATGGTCACATAAATACCTTTAAACAGAAGATTAAAAAGTATCATGAAACCATTTTTTCTCTTTAATATATTTTTTTTCAATTAAAAATTTCATTGCAATTAAAAAAAAAAATTTTAATGGCGTTAATTATTTAAAAATGAACTGTCAATTTTTTTTTGCTTTTGATAATAATGAAAAATGTTTCACAACCAAGTCTTTGAACTTAGTGTCGGCGCTAAGCGTCGAAAATAACTTTTTTGCGAAATCGGAAGAGAATCAAATTATTTTGATTCATGAATTGAAATGAAGTAATAGTCAAGTGACAATGAAATCAAAGTGAAATAAAAATGAAGTGAAAGTGAAATAAAATGCAGATTTGACACAGGTCAGGGAAAAGTCAGGGATTTTTATTAAAAGTACTGGAAAAAATTAAATTTTTAGAATTCATAAGAAAATTCTGAATGTTTGGTGTTTTTTTTTGTTTTAAAACTTTTAACGCAAATAACAAAATTCTTCACAGAAATTCAATAATTTTTAGATTAGAACATTTTTTTGAGTATCTAATAATTTTTGGAGTGAATCAGAATATTCTTCAGGGTCAGGGAAAAAGTCAAAATTTTGTCTGGAAATCAGGGAAAAGTCAGTCAGGGAAAAACAAAGTTAAATTTTTGTATGGCAACAATGGAGTGTCAATGCCAACTTGAGGGTCATTACCAACCTTTTATTAAAGAATCGGAAATTCGTGTTTCGAAATGTCGATCGTTAGCCGATGGGGAATCGTTGTTAACTTGAGGTTGCACCAACTCGATCCGTGGTTCGGGAATTTCGTGAACTTGCGGTTCGGGACTCGTTAAGGCGCTTGAAGTTGCGAGACTGTCGGAGCCATCACTTCTCGGTCGAAGTTCACTGAGACCAATTTGAGGTACACCAAGTCCTTCGGCCGATCCAACTGCACTATCAAGGCTGGGCGTTGAAGCTCTTGGACTTTGGTGATTTGGACTACTGCTGTTTCTCGATGTCGACACATCTGGACTACTAACTTCTCCACGACGTCTTGGCAAAGTGCTCGCTTTTATTTCCTTCTCCTCTGTTTCATTTGAATTGTTCGCTTGTAATTTCTGTCGATTCGCTAAAACTGAAAATAATTGCAAATTTTATTAAAACCGAATTTTCTCAATATTAAATATTTACATTTACGGGAAAGTGTGACAACAGGGTTGCCACAGGTCAGGGGAATCAGGGAAATCAGGGAAAAGTCAGGGATTTTGATTAAAAGTACTGGAAAAAATTTAATTTTTAAAATTTATAAGAAAATTCTGAATTTTTGAGTCTTTTTTGTTTGCCTCATAAACTATGAAATTGCCAAGAATTTCTAATTCTAATTTTTCTAATTCTATGACAATAATTTCTTTTTAAATAACTTAATTCTTGAAGAACTGTCATAAAATTATTATTTATAAATTATTTAATGAATAATTTTACTTAAAAATTTCAAACTTAATTTGATTTCAAAAAAGTTGCAAAATTTCAATTATTTTCCAAAAATTTTCCTCATTTCAATTATTTTTAATATCTATTTTAATAGAATTTTCCAAAAGAATTCAATTATTTAAACAAAATTTTAATAACAGTTTCACAGGAATTCAATTAACCAATTTTTTGTATAAATTTCTTCGAACCAATTCAATTATTTTTAATTTTCTAATGAACTTTCTCGAAAGAATTCAAATATATTCAGAGAATTGAAAAAAAATAGTTCTAAAAAATTCAATTATTTCGAAAAATTTAAATAAAATTCTTTTAAAAATTCTATTATTTAAACAAATATTGACAAAATTCTTTACAAGATTTAGTTAATAAAATTGCAATTTTAATGAAATTTCCTATACAATTCAATTACTTTTAATACAATTCTTCTTCAGAATTCAATTATTTAAGAAAAATTGGAATAAAGTTCTTCGCAAGAAATCAATTATTTTCATAAATAATAAAATTTTTCTCGAGAATTCAATAAGTTATAAAAAATGTTTGTAAAAATCTTCGAAACAATTCAATTATTTTCTTAAAAAATAAAATTCTTCGAAGGAAAATCAATTATTTAAGAAATTTTAATAAAATTCTTCCCAAGAATTCAATTCTTTTCAAAAATAAACATTTTTAAAGCAATTCAGTTATTTAAAAAAAAAATTTTTTTTTAATTCTTCGTCAGATTTCAATTATTTTCAATTTTTTAATGAAATTTCTCGATAGAATTTAATTATTTTCAAAAAGTTTTAAAAAATTTTGGGAAATTCAATTATTTTTAAAAATTTGAATAAAATTTTACACAAGAAATTAATTATTTTCATAAATAATATTTTTCTCCAGAATTCAATTATTTTCACAAATAAATTGTTTCATAGGAATTCAATTCTTTAAAAAAATTTTAATTAATTTGAAAATTTGCAATTAGAAATCACAGAAAAAAATTTTAAAATTTAATTTTGAAATTGCTATTTATAATTTAAAAATGGAGAAATAAGAAGATCAAATTTAAATCAAGATTTTTAATTGATAGTTTTAATTTAAAATTGTAATAATAAAAATAAATTTTTTAAATTGAAAAAAATTCAATTTGAAATTATAAAGTTTTGAAGTTCAAGTGGAAAATTTCAAATTTTATAATTTTGAGTTTAAAAGTTCTAAGTTGAAATTTTACCAAAACTTGAATTTTCATTTTCCCAAATTATTTGAAGTTAAACCTGAGATGCTACATTAGATTTCCGGTCAAATTTTCATCAGAAACATAAACGCCGTTTGCTTTCTCTCTTGTGTTATAAAAATAGACACGGGGGTTTTTCAATCAGTAAAACCCGCACTCTGAATAATTCTATTTTCGGAATATATAGCTATAGAGAATTAATTTCGGAAAGTATATTTCAAATGAAGAATCTTGCAAAACTAGAGACCAAATTATAATTTTTTTTTTTGTTTTTTTGTTGAGACGAAAGAAAACGAGAAAAAAGAAAGAAGAAAGAAAATCGACATTCTCGCTAAATCTTTTTTGAACTCGACGAATTTTAAAATAGTGTATCCATAAAATATTTCCTAAGGTTCATCAATTTGAAATCTTGAATCCCGATTTTATTTTTAGAAACTGGAAATTCTTTCCGATTCAGAAATATAAAAATTCTTTTTTATCTCACGTTATTATATTTCTTTTTCGAATACCTATATGTTTAATAATCGAATTGCCGATAAAATTTTGTCAATATTTTTAGTATTTTTGCATGAAAATTGTTTTTGAAAAATTATTTTAAAATTACATGAAAAGTTAAAAACAAAGTTACGAAAAATTTGTGCATTTTTTGCAAATGTTTTTTCTTTGTAAGAGAAAAAATTTTTTTTGTTTAAATAAAAATTGTTCGATATAAGTAAATATTAATTTGATAATAGACAAGTAATCAGTTATTTAATTCAAATAAATTGTTTTTATTGGAGGTAAAAAAAATTTGGAGTAGATATTTTCGAAAATTTTTGCATCTGGTTTGAGAGATATATTCTAATTGTTGATAATGAATAATATAGTTAATATGACTCTCGAGGAAAGAAAATACAGAAAATTTGAAAATTATTTAGTTTTTTCCGCAAATAATAATAAGTAATTTTGTAGAAGAAGAAAAATGATTTATTTTTTAATAAGACGCATTGTTTTTAACTCGAGTCAATGTCACAAGTTCAAGATTCTTATCTTAGTATCACTCTAAACTTGTTGATGTTATCTGCTTCAAAAGCTTTTCATTATTTACAATCGTAGCATCTCATATCACGTTGATTGTTGATAACGACAGCCACAAATTTGCTACAATTTTTTTTTTTAAGAATATTCGTTTCAAAACAATTCCATATTCAAAATATTATTTTCGAAAATGCACTTTAAAATTTTGAAATTTAAACTTTACAATTATTTTACAATTTTTTTTTTAAATAATTGAAATTTCTTTACATTCTATTAAAAGAAGTTAATTATAATTTCTTTAAAAAAATTTTATTTAAATTTTTGACAATAATCAAGGGAAGTTAGTCACCGTAATTATAATTTTATTTTAAAAAATTTCTTCGCAATATGTATTCAATTATTTTCATAAATAGTAAAAATAATTGTAGAATTTCAATTATTTTTATAGTACAATTTTAATAGAATTCCTCAAAAAATGTAATTATTCTTAAAAATTTTATTAAAATTTGTCGAAAGAATTAAATTATTTTTAGAAACTGAAATATTATATTATTTTTAAAAAATATTCTTCACAAAAATTCAATTATTTTCATAAATTTCTATAAAATTCTAAAAAACAATTCAATTATTTTCAAAAGTAATAAAATTCTTCGCAAAAATTCAATTATGTTTAAAAATTTTTTTAAATTCTCCTCAAAATTCCAATTATCTTTATAAAAAATTAAATTGTTCTCCACATTTCAATTATTTTCAAAAATTTTAATAAAATTCTATGCAAAGATTTATTTACTTTCATAAATATGTAATAATATTCTTTAGAAGGATTCAATTACTTTTATAAATAGTAAAATTCGTTGCAGAAATTCAATTTGTATCAATACATTTTAATAAAATTGAATTAATCAAATTTTCAATTATAATTATGAACAGACCAATTATTTTCCAAATTTTTAATTAAAATTATTAAAAAAAACATTATTTTCAAAAAATTTAAAGAAACTTGTCAAAAGAATTGAATTATTCATAAAAACTCTAATAAAAATTTGGAAACCATTTGTAGTTTTATTTATGTTCGAAATCAAATAGATTTAAATTTTTAAAAAAAAAAAAAACTGGGAAAAATTTGGATAAAGTCGGGAAAAAACCGGGAAATAACCAGGAATTTTGTTGAACGAAAATAGTAGACACCCTGGATTAAATAGATTAAGCTAAACAAAAGTACTCAAGTAATTAAATACTGAATTATTTATTTGTTTTTAATAAAAATTTCATTTGATACAAATAACTTTTATTTTAAAACTTTTATTTTCACATATAAAATTTATTTGAACCAAATAAAATTTTCGTTTATTAAATGTTAACATTTAATAAATAAATTAGAATCTGAGTCAGATATGTATATCTTTTTTCTGGTTATAATTTATACACTCAACAGCTAGGAGTATCTTTTTTCTAAAGTGTAGAAATGAAAATTTGTTGGTTAATTTTCTAACATAGTAGAAAATGCGTGTCTGTAACTACGAACTCCATCTGGACTTAAAGCGTATTAAGGACGTCTAAAGTTGAGAGACGAGGCCGTTTGTAGACGACTCGTGAATGTCTTTTTGCTTCGCGCTGTCTGGGGCCAAAACGATGTGTAGTGAATTTCGACCACGCTGTTGATATTCGCGTTCATAATGCTTTTACAGAGTAGGGAAAGAAAACAAACGTGGCTAACGATTGAAATGAACGCTTAATGCTTGTTACAAAACGGTGTGGAACAAATCGAATAATTTTCACTATTAAATTTAAATCCCTCACGCTTTCATCTCAGATCATAATTGAGAAAAATCGAGAACATTTTCCAAGGAATCAAAAAGAGAAAAGAAAATCTAAATAATTTTCTAAGATGCAATCGGATTATTTAGGTTTTCATTTTTTTTTTCTTAGTTTTCTCAACAAAATATAAATTTGGTCCGTGAAATTTAAGTTATGTATACAAAATTCCCCGGAAAATGACATTTGGAATTTCTACGAAAATTCTGATGTGAGATTCTATAATATTTGTATGGAATTATTTTGTAATTATAGATTTAAAAAAAATTAATTTTGGCACAAGTCGAAAGCAAGCATAATAATTTATTTTGAAAAGTTTTAACTTTACTGGTGATTGTTATTTAATTTTTCAATATCTCTGAAGTTAGCGTCGAAAAGTTTTATTAGACATTATTAGAGAGTATTTTAGAGTAATTTTTTGACCTAAAATCTTTGAAACAATTATTTGATTCTTTTCGATTTTGTGAAAAAAATTGTTGTTGACGCTAACTTCAGGGACCTATATTTTTATGGAATTTCTATTGGAGCTTTTATGGAAATTGCAAACTTTTTTCTTTTCAAGGAATTATAGTTATAGTTGTGAGTCGAAAACAATTGTAAATTGTCACCTTGATTGAAATCCGCTTGTCCAAATGAAGCACTTCTATAAGGTGTATTCGATCTGTGAAAGCAGAGAAAGGGCCCACGTGGTTCTAATCTCGTGATCGCATCTCTTGCCTCGCTCTCGTTACTAACAGGTTCATGAAAATCGCGTCTTGTCACACCTTTTGCACTGTCCACCAAAGAATCACTGTACTGCCTCAAATGCCTTCCACCATTGTTTGTTTCACTTAAAATACACTTATCAATATCACTCACATCGGCACTATTTCTTTGCTTTGATTTACTCAAATTTGAACCATTTTTTGCCCACACCATTGAATCAACACTCGCTGATGATTTTCTATTGGGTTCCAACAATTGATCACCATAAAATTCTTCACTGACACTTTCACTTCTGGCAAATGTTTTCGCATTATTCCCCGACACATGACTTCCTTCACTGTAGGTGTTGCTTCGACATGTTGGCAGACCGTCGTAGCGATTACAATCATCAGAGTCCGCCGATTGTGGAGACTGAAAAATTATTTCGAAAAATTATTTATTCGTGGAGGAGAAGAAAAATTTGTTTATTTCATTTTAATGTGTTAGTGGAATTTCAAGTTTCTTCCGGGATGATAGTTGGCATGAGATGCTTAAGAGTGATTAGCGTCATTTTTGATCATAGCTTAGGATGAAATTTATTAAAGTTGGATATTAGAACACGGAGTCGTTGAGTGAGTGTCGTTAGTTCATCTAGACTCTATTCTTTGTTTTTGAAAACGTTTTTTTTCTGTTTTTTGAAACTAAGTTTTGAGTTTATTAAAGTGATCATGAAATTGCATTTTTGGATCTATTTTCCTATTGCTATTTACTTACTGATTGATCTATTTACTTTGACATCTGATTAAACATCATTAAATCTAGAAACTTTGATGATGATGATGACTAATACATAACCCAAACAATGATCAGCATAGATATAAAAAAATAGAATCAAGATCCTAACAAATCTAAGATCTTTGAGTTAATCGAAATGATTAGAAGAAACAAATAATTTTTATGAGAAGAGGATAATCAGTTTCTTCAAGTGGATTAAATTGTTAAAAATTATCATAAGAAGCTTTTCAATAATGATAATCATAATGACCGGATTTAATTTTTTCGAGAATCTATAAATCTTTTTGGGACTGGTAATTAAAGAATGATAGTTTAACTAGGAAGGGTCTAAAATTTAAAAAATTCCCATGATGATGATCATTACTTAGGTGTTCTTGAAGGTATCAAACTGATACCAAATTATATCAAATTTCTAGCAAATTGATACAAGTGAGATCAAATCGACATCGGATCTAATTGATACAAAATTTGAACAAACTGATACCAGATTGGATAAAATTGATAGCAAATTAGATGAAATTGATACCAAATCGGATCAAATTGATACCAAAATAGTAGCAATTAATTACCAAAATTTGGATCAAATTATGACTATCCAAATATTGTTATTCGTTGCAATTTGATATTTTCAAGTTAACAATGAATGTCAATTATCTAATTCGTTTTAAGAGTGATCGGAACCAATCCAGAATCTGCTTCTACAGAATTAGTATAGGTCTCTAAAGTATGTAATTAATCTAACTCATCAGCTCTATAGGGTGATAAAGATCATCTTGAAAATTCCATGATGATGTCAAATTACGATGAATGTATTTATCAAAATTAACCATTTCAAGGATCATGATAAATGGAGTCAATCTAAATAATAAATGGATAAACAGAGTCTCCAAACTGATCAGAATAATGAAATCAACATCCAATAATGTAGAATTAGCAACATTATTGGATGTTGATCATTTGCTAGAATTGGGATAGAATTTAGGTATTTTTTATTTTTTTTTAATAGGGAAATTGAAGGAGAAAATTGTGTAGGGTGGGATTTGTTAAAATGTAGAGATTGCAAGTGTTGGATGTGACCAACCTGTGGATTGTTTGATGAGAGGTTTTGTTGGCATCCGCTCGAAGGTGGTGGTGATGTTTGAACACGCGAAGGTCGCCGTGGTGGTGGGACGGGTGCTGGTCCTTTGAGCTTTTCCGTCAGTTCACGAAGGCGCTCGGCCTTGTCGCTGCGGGGGCCGGAAGAGGACTTTTTGCCGCTTCCTCCTCCACCCCCGCTCCATCGGAATCTCTGAAGTCGATCCACTGCTGTCACTGTTGGATCCTATAACAAGATGATCATTGCTCTCACTAAAGTTTACGCATCTTCACTTTTCTTTTTCTTTACGCCCCTCTACCCCTTCTATTTTACTCTCTTACCCCCTTTATTTTTTACATTCTCTCCTGTGTCTCTCTCTCTCCCTTTTTCTCCTTATTCTTTTTCCTTCTTTTGCTCTCTTTTTCTCTTATTTCCCCTTTTTACTCATTTCTGTATCGTTCCACCTAGTTACTTTCTTTGACTCATGATGATGTTTTTAATGATTAAAGTGGTTATAATTAGGAGGATTATGATGATAATGATCATGATGATGATGCTCATGGTGATCATAAATACAGTGATCAGATTATATTTATGATAATTATAATTTTAGTAAAATGATCATAATAACATTGAACAGGTTGATCATAATTATGGAGATTAGGATGATTACGATTATAGTAATTATGGTAATTGTTTTTATGGTTATTATGATTACAGGGATAAGAGTGATTATTATTATGATAATTATGATTATAGTGATCGATTTAAGTGTCAGAAAGTCCCATTTTTAGCACTTTTTGAAGCACAGTAAAATAAAAATGCAACATGATAAAAATCTCCAAAAAGGGCTCAAATGAAAGATTAAATTATCAACTTTAAGGCCCAGAATTCAAAGTTGATTGATAATCACGGGGAACCTATTTTTATCAAAAGGAATCGCTACCTCAAATAGTCAAAATAGATTGGGTCAGGGATATAAAAGTAAAAATCGATTTCCAAGTAAAAAGTTGCATTTAAGAATTTTAAAAGCCAGTAATTTTTAGACATTTTGGGCGCCAGTATAAATTCGACATTTTTAATTTTTTAAATCTAACTTTCGGCTTATCATTAACAACCTCAGAAATCTCCAAGTTTCCTGTGATTATCAATCATCTTTCAATTCTGGGCCTTAAAGTTGATAATAATTATCAACTTTAAATTATTTAAACTTTTATTTGAGCCCTTTTTGGAGATTTTCATCATATTGCCTTTTTATTTTACAGTGCTTTAAAAAGTGCTAAAAATGCGATTTTTTGATACTTTAATCTCGTTTTTTATGGTACTGACCGAATAAAAGTAATTTATTTTTGTATATTCTTATACAGTGACACTTAAAGTAAGCCAGTGTTATCATCATCATTACTATCATCACTATCATCATAATTATCATCATCATCTTCATCATTACTATCATCACTATCATCATCATTATCATCATCGTCATCATCATCATCTCTTTGCCGATCACTACTTGGAATTCGCACAAACCAGACAATCATTTCGCTCGATCAGACAAAGCCAAAAGTAAATAAATAGTCTAGAGTAGTTTGAAGATAAATCTTTGTGAAGATGAGAATGTAATACCTGAAGTTTAAGAGTTTGATGTTTGGTCCATTGAGCGAGTTGTCGCGGCACAGAGACGGAGTGCGATACTGAAGTTGTATTCGCCGGCGAGGTTGACGTTGCCGTCGTCGTTGTCGTCGTTGTCGTCGTCGATGACGAGACGATTGTCGGTGAGGAAGAGGTGGAAGTAGAAGAAGAAGAAGATGAAAATGATATCGGCACTGATGATTGTGAGTGTGGACTGTGGCCGACGTTAAAGTTGGTACTGATGCCGCTACCCGTTTGCAGCCACCCGCAGTTATTATTAGAGTTTGAGTTTGGCGGCAGTTGCGTCGCTGGATCCGCAGTTGCCGCCACACGGGTGGGAGGTTGAGGTTGAGGTAAAGTAGGAGAGGTCGGACCCACGTTTGACGATAATGGAATTCGCGATAGAGGCAGTCGCGATCGTGGACCAATGCAGCAGCAATCTGTCACACTGTTGACAAATTCAATCGACGACGATCCACTCTTTTCACCTGCTGATGATGATGATAATAATGTTCTGTCGGTTAATCGTTCACGAGATTCGCTATCTCGCGAATTTCTCTTTCTTCTTCGATCTTGACCCTCTTTCCGCGAGTTCATCAATGCTAAACTGTCCTGCAATTGAAACATTTTTCATTTTATTATTTATCTTGTTACGATCTCATCAGTTGTCACCCTAATTTCAATGTTATCTTTGAACTTAATAGTTAGTGAAGTTAACGTTTATGATCAACATTTCAGAAGAAATATTTTCCTTAGCGAATTTTGTTTTCTGTGTGAAAAATCTTTTTTCTTCAATCGTTGATTATAAACGACAACATTTACAATTTATAAAATTGTAAATTATAACAAAGGTGAAAATTATTAATAAAAAAAGATTGTGAATTCATATTTATTACAACTGTTAACAAAAATGGAATCGTTTTAAAATTGTGCGAAGAAGAATTGCTGCGATAATAACTAAAATGTATGCTTATGGGCATCAAGATGTGCACACGCGAGTACTTGTTAGTTCACTGTTTAAGATGAGATGGTAAGGTGACGCCGTCTCTTCCCGTGAACTCGTTTCAGATAAACTCTTCTGAAATGTATCTCTTGCACATAATGCACCATTCCTTTTGTACAAATTAAGTGCAACATTTTTTTTCTCCCTTCGTAATAACAATTTTGCGTCTTACAATAATTCTTTTCTCGCTATTCATAATCTAATTTTTAATTCTTTTTATTTTGAAATTAATAAAACTTGTAATAACTTTTAATATTAAACTAATTAATAAATTATTTAATAACTCTTTTTAAATATATTTTTCATTTCAAAATCAATAAATTGAAAATTGAGAAAATTGAAAGAATAGTAAAAGAATATAAATTCGTGAAGTGATTTTAAATCTTTTTTATTTCGAAATTACTGACTTTGAAATAGAAGAAGGTTTTTTCTTAAATAGTAAAAAAAAATTAACTCTTAAAATAGTTTTCAAACTTGTTTTATTTTATAATTTAAATAAATTTGAAATAGAAAAAGATAAGGGGCCGTCCATAAACTACGTTACCAATTTTTCAAACTTTTTAAACCCCCTCCCCCCTCGTTACCATTGCGTTACAAGTAAAAATTTCAATTTTTGGACCCCCTCCCCCCTAATTTGGTAACGTAGTTTATGGATGGCCCCTAATACAAAATGTGTTAAAGTAATTAAATAATGGTTCAAGAAAGTGAAGGTCACAATATAGTCCCAGTCGTTAAAAGTCTAAGTTAGTTGTTAGATAAAATAGTGCGTGTTAAGGGTTCGATCCCCGCTAGAATTAAAAAAGAATAATCATAAGAATTATAAGAAGAATCATAATAAAATAAGTTAAATAGTAAACAAACAGTGAAATACAAAAAGAATCAACGAAAGAATTGTTTTTTTTCCATAAAATTATAATTTTTGAGCTTTTTGCAATAATTGTAAGGAATTATTTATATACTTGAGATAAATGTAAACCGTAACGAGGACCACCGAGAACAACGTAGCCAGTCCCGCTGCCCCCTGTCATGGCCCTCGCAGCACCTCCGAACCATCCACCAAAACTGCTTCCCGTCTTCTCCGCATTGCTGCCGCCTCCGCCTTCGTCTTCGCCGACGCGGGACATTCTTCATCCTTCCTTCACACTGCAAAACAAATGAATTCACCATTTATATTTCTTAATCATTCGATCCTGTTCTCGAGACACTTTAAGAAAACAAAAAGAGACAAAAAAAATTGCTTGCACTTTCTTTCTCGTGCGATTGCAAATTATAAATTGCATTTAATAAAACAAAAGAGGTCATTTTTATCGTCATAATAATATGAACCAAGGTCACTGACCTCTCGCGGAAAAAAGGCAAAATTAATTATTTTTAATATTTAAAAAATATTTTAATTATAAAAATATCGTAAATATTATTTTGAGAATAATATTTTGAATTGAATTTCTGCAATCATTATTATAATTGCTTCAAAATTCAATTTGATTTAGTGTTTTTAACTAAAATTCTTCTATAAATCCATTATTTTTAATAAAACTAGTAAAATATATATATTAAAAAATTTAATTAGTTTCAGAAGAATGTTAGTTTTTAAAATTTTTTGAAATTTATAAGTTTTTTTTATATTTCTACTTAAATACATTTAAAATTGAAATTTTAAAAAATTTTAAATCAAAATCTTTTAAAGTTCATCTACTTAAATGAAAATTGTAAACTCAATTTTTTTAAAATTGAATTAATTTTGAAATTAGATTTCAAGAATAAACACAATAATTTTAGAAAACAACAATTTTCCAGGATTTTGATGAAAAATTCCCTGACTTTTCCAGATTTTTTAAAGGTTTATAAAATTCCCTGACATTTCCAAGTTTTCAGGTTGTGTAGCAAGCCTTGATTTCGAACTTTTTAATTTATTAGAAAACTACTAATTCAAAATTTAGAGGGTAAAATATTGATAATTCTAATGCAGAAAGTATTAGAGTTTTCAATTAATTTTTTTTTACTATTTAAGATGCAGTTGTGTTTCATTATTTTACGATTGTCCTAAACAAGGTTTGTACTTCCGGTGATGTAAACTAACAGTTTGTGAATTATAATAGTGTTGCAATTGTTTGATTGACAGATGCGGAAGCAATATTACAATTATTTTATTGTATTAGAAACTTTATAATTGTTTTAAACTGATAATCTAATACAATTAGAAATGTAAACAAATATTTCATAATAGGATAATTAAACTATAAACACTCAGAGAAACATTTGAATTTTCATTTAACAAAATTATTATTTAACGAAATTGTTATTTTGAAAAATTCTTATTCAGAGGAATAAACTAAATTTTCATTTAACAAAATTTTTATTTAACGGAATTTTCATTTAACAAAACTTATTTTAAAAGATTTTTTTGTTAAACAGATCTTTTTTTTGACAAAAATTTTTTTATAACAGAATTTTAATTTAACAATAAAAATAATTGTATGTAATTTCCATTTTATCGAAATTAAAAATAGCTGGACAAAAAATTGACAGAGAGATTTTAATATGAATGTAAAAAATTGATCAACAGTTTCAAAGTTAATAAACTTTTAATTAGTTTAATTATTTTTTTTTTATTTTTAAATTCAAAAAATAAAATTGGAAAGAAAGTTTAAAAAAGTTTTCAACCCATGTAAAATGAATTAATAATGAAAAATATTACTCTCAATTTTTTTATTCTCAAATTTTAGGTCAAGAAAATATTTTTCCTTTATTTAGAACGTGAAAGGTTTATATATATAAAAATTTGTAACTTTAGCAAAGTGTCTGACTCGCAGTCTTGCGATGCGTGCTAGAAACGTTGCAATTTGCGAGCGTAGGCACATTCTCTCTTTTTCACTCTCTCACTCTCTCTTTCTCTTTTTCCTCAAAGTACATTCATCTGTCAAAGAATTTATTTATTTACCTAAAGGAAATGCGCGCGCTTCCAATGAATGATCTTGAACCGTGTGTTTCGAACGTGAATTCCAAACGAGAGGGGTATAATATTGGCATTCACTGCGCAAAATCTTGTTATGATAAATTCCGGAAGTGCGCGGAGAACATGAAATCTGACGAAATTTATTTCGAAAAATCAACGAACAGGAAGATGAATATTTTGCAAACAGCAAAATTCTTCAGAGTACTTTAACATTTACATAGTCCATCATTTTCATTTTTTACTCATTTATTTTTAATATTTGTGCCATTATTATTAATTCAATTAATTCATGTTTTTAACAACAAACAAATATATATATATTTATAATAAAATCGATTACCGCACTCTTTAATTAGCAGAAACCTACTAATTCATACTTAGAGAATAAATTACTAGAAATTTATATTTAGAAAAAAAAATCAGTAAAAAAGAGGAAAATTAAAAATGAAATTTTACAAAAATGAAGTGGATTCAATAATAAACGAACCCTCATTAATATTCACACTTGCTAATTTGATATTAACACACCCAGGTCGTTAAATTCCGCCTATATTTTTTTTTACACGCGCACATATTAAAGGTCCAAAGTTGCACACGCCCAGTGAGAATTTTAAGCAGGATATTGGGAGGCTCGCGAGACTTTGTTGGAAAATAATGTGCGATAAATATAGTGTAATTGGTACTTAAAAAGTGAAGGCATTTCGATTTATATAAAGTTTTTACTCAAACTTGCCCGATAATAGAGTTATCAAATTCTTTCTTATTTATTTATACGTATATCGTGCAATAATTATAAAAAGAAAAGTAAATTCCCTTGTCATTTATGAGAGCACATATATATTTCTTAAAAAATATTACAATTTTGTATTATGAGGATTTTTGCTCGTTACGTAAATTATTTTTGACTCCTCTTCTTTTTTGTTTTTGTTTTTGTTTTATTTTCTGCTTTTTTATTTAGCTTTGCATATACATTGCGACAGAACACGCATCTTGAATTCCATTCGAGTAAAATTATTTGTTTTTTGGAAAAGGTAAAAATCTTTTCACGATTTGCCGATAAATACAATATGTTATTTTTTCAGTTTGTAAATTACTCGTTGAATTGATTTTGATATTTTACTATTTTGTAAAATAAATAATTTATACATTTAGTTAACTATTTTCATGTTTTTCGTTTTTTTTGTACTTAGACTATATGTTCGTTTTAATTAAGATTATTTATCCAGTAGTTTGAGTGGAGAGTAAAAATATACACATTAGTAAAACTATATTCGTATTAAATGTCGCAGTAAAATGTAAACTTTACGTTTTAGAAGAGAAAATAAATTAGTTAAGTGACTGTATGTTTTAAACAACTATTCATTATGCGTTGAAATATTCGACTTGCATTAGTATTCGTATTCACAGCTTTCATAAATTTCAAATATTTATCGTCCACTCTGGCGCCTCGTGCCACAAAATAAGAAACAACAAAAAAGAAACAGTTGAAGATTCGCGTCAATTGCTTTTAATTGCCGAAAAAGCATTTGTCCGAACGTGATACAAGTTGAAGAAAATCAGATTCAATTGTGTGTGGAAAAAAAATCTCTTCTTATATCTCTTCTTGTCAACATTTTTTATTTACTCAAAGTGATGTTTAAGAAAATATAAATTTAGCAAATCGTTTTTCATGTCAAATTTTATTTAATTCTTACAATTTATTTCGCATTTTATTTGTTGTAATTTTTTTACATTTAATTCTTACAGGGTTCAAACTAGGTCCATAAATTTTAAAAGGTTCGTAATTTGATTGAAAAAACAATAAAAGTTAGTAAATTTAACGATCTAATTTGGAGAATTTTTGTAAAGTTATAAATAATTGCAAAAATTTAATTACTTTCAAAAGTAATAAAATTCTTCGCAAAAATTCAATTATGGTCAAAAAATTTTAAAAATTCTTATAAAAATTTCAATTATCTTTATAAATAATAAAATTCTTTTCCGAAATTCAATTATTTTCAAAATTTTTAATAAAATTCTTCTTTCATGAAAGAATTGAATTTTTCTTTAATTTTGAATAATATTTTTCGAAGAAATTCAATTATTTTCTAGAATTTTAATAAATCCTTCTAAACAATTCAATTATTTTTAAAAGTCATATAAATTCAATTACTTTGAAAATTTTCAATTAAAATTATTAAAGAAACTCCATTATTTTAAAGAAATTCTTCAAAAGAATTGAATTAGGATTATAAAAGTTTTTAATAAAATTCTTCTCAAAAAATCAATTATTAACATAAATAATAAAATTCTTTGAAGAAATTCAATTATTATCAAATTTTTTGAATTTTCAAATAATTGAAATTTCGTAAAATTGAATTGTAAACAAATGGATTTGAAAATTGTCAAAGAACTTTTTCGAAAATTATTAAAAATAATTGATTGAAAGAAGAATAATTTTAGTTAAAAATTCTTGAAAATAATAATTTATTTGAAACGATGAAAATAATTTTGAAGAAGTACAATTTTCTTATAATGTAAAGTAATAATTTTATCACTGGGCCATCTTTAATTATTATAAAACATGAAGAGAGTTGTCGTTTATTGTTAGTTTTACTTAGTATCATTTTTTTTCTCAGTGTTAATTGTTTTAGAAAAATTTTCTTAAATTTACTGAAAATGCAAATAGTGGAAATATATATATTTTTTTGTACAAAAAGAAAAACAAACACAAAATGATTTATGATTAAATTGAATTTACAATGCGCACATGTAATATATATTTGCAAAAGTGTGAAACCGTTGGGACTGCGTCGTATTTTGAAACAGTGGTGGCATTGAACGGCGATAGGTCTATATGCAAGTGTATAAAAGAAACAGCCAAAAATAAACTTTCAGATATTGGAGAAATATCTTAAGAAGAAACGGACTTTAAGAAAAGATACACAGCTTCACTATATATGAATATTCGGCTAAAGGATAAATGCTCGTTTGATGACACACAGTGAAAATGGGTACATCCGTTTTCTATTATAAGCATTTCAAAATTCGCGGAATTTTCTTTTAGGCCAACTGTTGAAAGGTACCTTTAATCTAAAATTTATTTTCATTAATCTATCATTAGATAAAGTTGGATTATGCTTTCGAATTTTCTTTTGGAGAGAGGCCTCGGATCGACTTCCGTGCTTGGAAAATTTCTAAAACTCTT